GACCTTCCGTGGCTGCTGGCATTGTCATGGAGGTCCAAGTCAGAGTCGATGGCCTCGAGCTTGGCCTTCTGCAGCTGGGCCTTGAGGCCGTGGGCCGGCAAGGAGGGAGAAATGGAGTTTGGAGGGGTCGGGAGGTCCCGAGATCGTGTCACAGTCATCGCAGGATCGCTCCGAGCCGCTACAGCAGTTAAGTTGTCTCGGCTCAAGGAGGCCTGGGGGATATCACGAGCAGCAGTCGCCAAAGAAGCCATGTTTTCTTTTATACCGGAATTGCAAGAGATGCTTAGAAGCTCTAAGTCTGCGGCAAGGGACGCGGCTCTGGTCAGTATAAGTACTTTGGCCTTAGGAAACAGCTGGCGCATGCAAACAAAAAGGGATCCCCGTAAAAGGAATTTCAAACACAACAAGATAAAGTGGAAAAAGCATGCACAAGCACGCAGCAAGCAAGCAAGCAAGAGGCGGTGATAAACAGCCAGCCGTAATGCAAGTTTTGCTGGCAAAGGGGTTGAGTCACTGCCAGGGGTCGCGGCGGAGTACCTGTACGTACCAAAAGGAGCAAAATCCAGTGACAGCGGTGTTGACCTTGATGAGCCAGCGCTGGAGGCAGGCTGGGCAGATGAAGGACAGCGACGGGAAAAGGGCTTGGCTGGCAGGGGCTGGCGCGACGATCGAGACTGTGACAGCTGATTCCCGATGTGAATCGTTTGCACGGATCTGTGTTGTTGTGATTGCTTTGAGGGAGGAAAGGAAGAAGCGAAGAGGAATCGCGGGCGTGATGCGATTATGAAGGCCGTGTGTACTTCGCTTCCGTACTTCGTACATGCGCAGCGCAGGCACGAAATCCACGGCGACGTGTGGCAAGGCCGCGATTGCTAGCGCCACGCCCCGGCAAGTGGACAGGACAGTGACTGGTGCTGGGACGCTTGCAGCCTTGGAGACTTGGGGGGACCTGCTAAAACCCAAGCCGGGCGCCCCCTTCTGAAGAAAACCGGGGCTGTTGTTGTTGTGAAGAGAGGGGGAGTGGCGGTAGCGATGCGTGCTGGCCAGGCTGTGGCTCGGGGCTGGTACCGGCCAGTACTTGCTTGTACCTCCAGCTGGCTGTCCCATGACTCTGGCAAGCGTGGTTGGAGGCAGGGCGTTGACGCACACGATTTTGAAGCCATCCGTTTAATATCTGGCGTTTTTACATGTACTTACTGAGTAATAATCCTGTTACAAAGGGGCGTCCATCTGGCGTTTAACAGGATGCGTAATGAAGCAGAACAATAGCAAGAAGACCCCCTTTCTTTGTGCTGCTGCCTTGACGAAATCATGATGATCCAGTAATGGATGAAAGAAAGAACATGAACTAATGCACAGGGCAAATCAACGCCCAGCACGGCGCATGTCGGGCCAGCAAACAACTGGACTCATACGGAGTAGTAGCAGCGACGAGATGTGCCTACCGTATGGGGACTCGGCCCCAGCCACAGCAGGAATCGGCGCTGATACGCTGCGCGGCACGGCGTCCCGGAGCCCAATGCGACCATCTGCGCAGGCAGGGTAATACTTAAGCGTCGTTTTGCTGGAGCCAGGCAGGGAGGAGAGCAAGTGCGCTGTGCGCCAAGCGAGAGAGAGGGATTGCTTGTGGTTGGTGGTGACGGAATCGTGGTGGACATTTTGCTACTATTGCGCCAACCAGTACGATGAAGCCGGTTGAATGCTGATGTGCGAGATGAAGATGTATTTGATAGGTATATGGTCTACCTATCCATTTGCTTGCTGGTATAGATGAACCCCAAATGCAACACTATGAATGGTGCCCGAGAAGACGGTATACAGGCCCAAGTGTGCATCTACAATGGATGACAGCGATGATTCATATTACACTCATTCCCTCGTATAAACACTAACTGCGTGCCGTTCGTCAGCGACACCGGAGATCGAGCCTCCCGCGACGGTACCTACGCGATACCCGCCGCAGACAAACGACATGTCCGCTGACTTGATCCTTCCCTCCGTGTACCTGCACTAATACTCGTAATACTGAGCTGACTGCTCTCTTGTCTCCTGCATCGCTAAAGCGCGGGCAGGGCTATTTGGTTCATGTATATTCCTGACATACATGCTTCTTCGTCCTGGTACCGATACAAACACGGCATTCATCTACACGCCGTCCAGCTCGACCACGAGTAAGTGAGTCGCATATGCTCCGTCGTAGCTATGGATTAGACTACGAGATACCCTCTCCAGCCCCGCGGCCGTCGTCGCGCCGTCCTTTTGGCGGGGATCAATGGTTCGGGCCATTTCGGCCAACAGCCTAGGCAACGTGCAAGGCCAGCGTGCTTCCAAAGGCCGTTCGACGTTCCTAAACATTACCGTGGAGCTATCCAGACGGACCCATCCCCTGGCCCGAGTCTGGGGAACCAGCTAGCGCGCACATTCATCGCGGGCTGGCTCTCATTCGACGTTGCCAGAACCTCATCCCCGTCGAGCAAACCCGATGCTTTGCGCCTCGGACGATGGCTGGGCAGCTCGGCAGTAATCGCTGACGATTTGATTTGTGAGGGTGCGCACAGAAAATAATTATCAGGTTTTGTTTCAGAGGACGTAACAGCAACTCAGCACGCAGTTACTGCCGACAAGGTTCATGTTCTCGAAGAAGCCCCGCCAGGCGGATAACTCCTACTTTCCTCCGTACCCAGCATCATATAAGCAGCACGGCCTCGCACGTCAGCAGACAGCGTCATGATATTGATTGCGATACTGTATGGCATGTGACCAGGCCCATCATGATATGAAAGCGCGCACAAACCAAAATATCACAAAGCCCTGATTCTAGGGCTTTGGCCGCGGGTGTAGGCGAGAGCCAACAGCGCCAGTTCGCATCGCGATAAGCATCAAAACCCCATCGCGGGAAATCGACATCGCGCGCCAACAACAGCCTCTGTAGTGAGCGGGGGCGTGCCGTTAGCTGGCCAGGCTAGAGTAGCTCGAGGCTCCGTCGACGTCGGCTTTGATGATGAACCGTCTAGTACGGAGTTCGAATCCACTTCAAACCAGCGTGCCATGACGCTGAAAGACTACGGAGAGCCGTGGGCAGACCCGATTGCCCGAGTGGGCAGGCTAGGAAGCCGAAGCGTTGTAACAAGGCCGCTTCTCTCCCCGCCGACGTGAGATGAGGCCTGGAGAAGCTATCAAGAGCACTTACTCGTGTCAAACCGTCTCAGCTGTCCTGCCGCGCAAACAAGTCTCATGCCGCCAATGCACAGAACACGGCTAATGAGTACATGTAGAACAGCCAGGCTGCTGGCTACTACACTTAATGCGCGAGAGACACATCCGACGTTATGGACTGCAAAGCGCGCATCCGTATCCGCCAAAGGGGGGTTCACTTACACGCCCAATGTTCGGCGCCAACGTTGACGGCGCGCACACCTAACAGAAATGCCAGGCCAATATGCCGTCCCAAAGCCCATACATGGACATGCTAAATGCGCCTTTTACCAAAGGCCCAAGGCAGCCAATCGGGGCAGCCCGCCAGCGCAGATGGTCGGATTGACGGGATGCGCTGCGACAAGCAAGCAAATCAGCCGATCTGATCTTCACCAAGGAGTCCACAAATAAAGTCAAGTTTGACACGATGAAACTCGCCAGTCTCAATCACGGCGTGTGTGACCTCTGTATCAATCACCGGACCAGGCGGGAGCAATTTATGGAACCAGCAACTCCCGTTGCCTGTCCGTACCTACATCGTCTACCTAAGCGCGGATGCGTGGGATAGACGAATACATCCATGGGTGTATGTAGAAAGGGGCCATATATACATATGCTCTTTCTAGACGATTCTCAGGTATTATGCGGCCGCGGACTCTGTTTCTGCCCGTCACCGAGTTGTTTGCAGATGTCCAAGATAAGCTGCCACTCAACACCACCGAAGCGGCCTTATCGCAGCGACAAGTATTCCCCCCATGTCCGCATACTGTGCTCGATACTGTGTCTTGTCACAGCCAGGCTTCCCTGCCAGCGCCTCTTAAACGAGGGAATGCTGTGCAACCATCACGTTGCGCTCGAGAGATAAGCTGATTGGTATCCCCAGTCCAGACGACTCGTTATTCTCGCAGTGACCCCCCATGTGACCCTCCATCTGGCCAGATACTGGTGTGTGAGCAGCTGTGTAAGTGGTATTAGGTGAGTTAGCGACAAGTTAGCAGTGTTGTTAGCATGAGCCACGGGCTCAGTTCAGAGGCGTGTGTTGATGGTGCGTCAGCCACGCCGAAACTTGGCCCCGCGGCCATTTTCTCGAAAACGGATCGATTTAGCGATAAGAGCGATTATTCACCTCGCCCACTTTTTCTTTTTTCCATCATCCCACATGCACGGTAATTATTGGATTTCGAGGGCTAAAGCCCCCATTTTCGTATAACGAACTTCCCCCTTGTGTGGAGATGATTTATTCTGCTGAAAAAGAGGTACTACTGTAGTCTTCGTTTTGGAAATGACGTACGGATGAACAGGTACGGGTGCGGTTTTCATTCTAGTGATCGGCGGCTACGGTGTGCTTTGGCTATGGACTTGTTGCACACCCCCTCCTCCTCCTAAATGGAGTACAGTACTGTACCCACGAGAGAACCTTGGTAGCTTCATGCTCTAAAATTGAAAATGGCATCTACTTGGGTGCTATTTATATGTATATGGCCTAGTGTCGATAAGGGGAAGCGTAGATGACGCGCTCTCGAGTCACGGCAAGGGATGGGAATACAAACTGTTTTCAGTTTTGTGCGTATCATCGTGATGGGGAATAGGGTTTGTGACCCCCTGATTGATTCGATCGAAAGTCATCATGTTTTTACATGGAATGATTTATATGAAAAGGGGGTAGTCGATACAAGCAAAAAGACATGCTCGCCATGCAATAAAGGAACACTGTAAGCTGTGTGAGTCTGAGTCGACAACTATGCTCCTGGTCTCTGGCCAAAGACAAACTCGCGGCAAGCCTACATATACATGTAAAAATGTTATTAGACGATTATTACTTGCCAAAGAACATTGGGAAAAGTAACAGCTTTTTGACTTACCTGCTTAAGGACTCCCACTTGTTCCTGCGACTGCAAGAACACCTGTTTATACTGCGCGATGCTCTGCTCGAGAACCGCCCGGCGCGTCGTGCTCCCCTCGCAAATGGCCTTCATCTGGAGCTCCATCTCCTTGCGCAGAAAGGGCTTGCCAAGGCTCATTTCGAAGCTCATCCGGTCGAAGCCCAGGATAAGGGCTACGCCAAGCTGAGTCGGCACAAACACTTTCAGCCCACTTGCTCGCCCCCCTCTTGCTGAGGCGCCTCCTCCGCGGCCTCGGCCTCCTCTTCCACGACCGCGGCCCCCGCCTCGTGCAGCCGGGGCTCCATTTGCTTCTTCCTCGTCGTTTTCTCCTGCTGCTCCTCCGGCGGTGTCGTTTCCCCTCATTATTGTCGCTACGTATTCTCGGTCTTGGATCTTTTGGATGTGCTCCGCCATGGTGGCGTCGGTTCCGATACCGTTGGCGTCCATGAGCGCAATGAGGTCTCCTTCGGTGAGGTAGTTTGGCGGTGACGTCTTGCCTTCTGTCATCATTGCTTCTGAGGGCTCGAATTGCTCTCCAACGGTGAATTTGGGAAGTTCTGTGGTGTTGTTCCAGCTTTCGTATACGTAGACATCCAGGTAGTTACGTTCAAGTACAATGACTCCCCGTGTACTGAAGTACTCATCTCCAAACTGGAGTTCAATATCGGTTGCCATGCCCTTGGCATCTTCGGAGCAGCATGCGAGGAATCGACGTGTTACATACTCGTATAGCCGTCCTTCGTCGTAGCTCAATACAGATGGTGCTACATGCGCAATGGGATGGATAGGTGGATGAGCCTTGTCGTCGTGTCTCCCCTCTCTTGGTTGTTGGAAGCCGCCATTGACGAGTCCCTGGGCGAAAGGGCCCCAGCGTTGATCCGTCGTCTGTTTTTGAACTAGAGCTCTCAAGTTCATGCCTTTGTCGAAGCGATCGGTTTCTGTTCTCGGGTAGCTGATGAATCCCTTGTTGTAGAGGCCTTCTGCTACCGTCATGGCCTGCTGACCAGACATTCGCAGCAAGCGAGTGGCTGCCTTTTGAAGTTCAACGGTGGTGAGAGGCAACGGCTTGAATTTTCGAGTTGGTTTTTCCTGCACTTTGGTGACTTTGGCCTTTTTTGCGTCGAGACATCTCTCGTATAGCAACACAGCTGTCATTCTGTCAAAGAGACGGTTCCTGGCCCAGGAAAAGCGAACTTGCTTGCCCTCCTTGTTGTGTGTCAACGAGATGCCCCAGAACGGCTCAGGGACAAAGTTCTTGACGCGAAAATACCGATCCACCACGAATCCCAGAGTTGGAAATTGGCATGATCCTATGATATTTCATTAGCTAAAAGTCATAAACATTATCATAATGGATAGGGAGGGAATGTCGTCTTGTACCATAACTCAGAACCAGCTCGGCCAGAGGTCCGCCTAGAGGCTTGAGGTTATTTGTTATGAATCGCGTAAACGCGTATCCAATGCGAAGATCCAGCTCTATTCTTGCTGAAACGGCATTGACCTGCTTCTCGTCTAATTCGACAAGACGTCTAGCAGCCGCTAACACATGTCTGGAAAATAAAATGTCAGTATACATCATATCAATATGTAGGAACTTTGCATTGAATCCATACGCTCGTTCCACATTGCTGAATCTGGCACGCTTTACTTGGATGGCAGCGTTGCCCACCTTTGCCGCGTCGACAATCTCCTGTCCAATGTGTTCTCCCTCCCGATCACAATCGGTCCATATCACCAGCAGACGAGCATATTTGGCCTGATCTGCTATATTCTTGGCGATATCTCGTTTGTCCTATTCAAAACTCATCAGTATTATATCCCTTTGCACAGTACTAGTGTTAACTCACATCATGGACATTCTTCACAATAGGTGCAGTGAAGAGTGATTCTGGTGGCGGATGACTCCAGTTCTTGTACTCATTGGTGAACTCGACGTTGGTGAGATGGCCTGTAACGCAGGTCATGGTGACGGATGAGCTTCCCCATTGCTGGCCAAAGTCAAAGTCAAACGCGTAATTCTTGATGTACTTGTTGCGTGTATTATGCTTGCGTTACCGCTGCGTCAGTCCAGTGTACATGTATATAAAAACCACGGGAGAGCAGTGATTCTGGGCGCTACATGTAGGAAACGCACTGTTGCAAAGGATCCTCCAGAGAGATGGCCGGCCACAGCCTTGGAGATGGATGGCTTCTCAGCCACGCATAGGACTCTCATATCTCCAAGCCGGGGTGCGAGTCGATGAAAAGGGCGAGGCTGGGTGAATCTCATGCCCTCTACTCTTACTCGAGATTCACGTCTCTTCAAATTTTTCCCACCCCCTGGATGCGGCTGCACTTCAACCCCGCCTGCCGTCTATAAGTCACCGATGTGTGAAGAATATCTCAGCTGTCATTCTGCGCAACTCACGGCCCAGCAGCCTCGTCTTCTCGACAGCTGCGCGCTCAAGCAATCGCACAAGCCAAGATTTTACCCAGCATGGACCAATCTCATGCAAGGTAGGTAGGTACCTCAAACATGTACACTCGCCTCCAGTTCATCACACGTAGCCCCGCCACGCCGCTAGCTTCATGCTCTCCTGCCTAAACTCTGTGCCACGGCGCGCGCACTTAATGCAACAGCTCAGCACATCACAGCGCTGAAGCTCGAGGCAAACGCGCGCTGAAACACGACGCTAAGCCGCGCCTCGATCAGCAGCAACGCCGCCTGCTGAAGACATCGGCCAAAGAGCTAACCCATCAGTGGCGGCACGGCCCCTTTATTGGTCCGCCACGCTCGCAAACCTTCACTCATACTACTAAGACAGCGGCAAGTCATCGATTGCAAGACAAACTGTAATACGGCACGATCGATTACGCGCCGCCATGGCCAGCTACATAAAGTCAATGCCTGCGCTCGACAGGCTGTTCGCCTCGTTCAACATCTTCAAAGCTCCCGCCATGGTGCTGCCGCAGGTGAAATCTCTGCACGAGTGCGTCGACTACCGCAAGGTCGTTGAGCCTTTCGTGCCGCAACTCTACGAGCTGCCCTTCCGCTTCTGGGAGAACATTAGCAGCCTCGAGGGCATAAAGTCCGTCTACGTGACGACGAACCCGCTGGTTTCTGGCTTCTTTCTTGCCCTGGTCTTTGGGCTTCTCACTCTGATCGCGTCCGAGATCAACCGCAACTACTCGCAGGTCGACCGCCTGTGGAGCATCTTGCCGAACCTCTTTGTTGTCCACACCGCGATATGGGCTCGTCTGGCCGGTGTGCCGCATGATCGGGTGGACTTGATTGCCGCATTTACTACGATCTGGAGTGTAAGTCTGAGTCACTTGCCGTCTATCTGGGGCGTGAATCACGAAAAACTTGCTGACACGGGGATTTGTCTCAGATTCGACTGACGTACAACTACTGGAGGCGCGGCGGCTACAGCATTGGCTCAGAAGACTACAGATGGTAAGGGCCCTTTGACTCTCCCTCGAAATGACGTCTAGGAAGCTAATTTTTCACAGGAACATTGTCAAGGCGAAAACTCACCCAATCCTGTGGTTCATCTTCAATCTTACCTTCATCTCATTCTTCCAGTGCATTCTCCTGTTTCTCTTCTCTGGCGTTCCAACGTACGTCATTTTACTGTCGTCCCAGTTGGAGCCTGGCATTCAACCGGTCGATCTGGTCTTTTTCGGTGTCGAGGTCCTTCTTGTCGTCAGCGAATTCATAAGCGACGGCCAGCAATGGGCTTACCAAACCGCAAAGTACAGATATCATGATGATGATGAGCTCACTCGTGGATACACGTCAGCTGAACTGGAACGGGGCTTCGTCGCCAAGGGTCTCTGGGCATACAGCAGACACCCCAACTTCTTTGCCGAGCAGTCTATCTGGTTCATCCTCTACTCGTGGAGCTGCTTTGCCGCCAACACTCCGTACAGCTGGGCCGGCACCGGGGCTGTTCTCCTCGTTTTGCTCTTCCAGGGGTCCACCAATCTCACTGAGAGAATCACCGCCGGAAAATACCCAGAGTACAAGGCATACCAGAAGCACGTCGGCATGTTCATTCCCAAGACGCTGGCCCCTTACAGGACCCCCTCACCAAAAGTCATCAGGTCGAGCGATCTAGCTAGACGCGCGGAGCAGAAGCAAGTAGAGGCCAAGCAGAAGGACGTGGAGGCGAAGCAGAAGGCCAAGAGAAGAAGCAGGGTTGAAAAGGATGAGTATTAGGCACGCAGTCCTGAGATTCTTCAAATGTAATGGCCTCGCTCTGTCAGCATTTTTTTGTGTGAAGGAGGAGTTTAATGAGATTATGGTTCACAATGTCATTCATGAAAACTTTGAAGGGCAATCTTGAAAAGTCGTTTTTTGGATATTCTTGTTTTATATGTCTATGATATCATACCATGTCGTCTTAAAGGAAATCTAATCTAGAGTATAGGTAGTCTAAAATGATTCTATGCACCCTGAAGGAGATCGCCCAGTTTATCAGCGTAGTAAGCAGGCACGGCAACAGGGTCCTCGCAATCCCAGTCCTTTTTCTGATGGACACCCGTCAACACATGCAATGTTCCACCCAGCTTTCCCTCGATGCCAAACTTGATGTCTGTGTTGAGTCTGTCTCCCACCATGCACGTCTTGGCGCGATCAAGCTGGAATTTCCCCTCAACGGCGTCCATCATGGCCTGGCTCGGCTTTCCAAGCACCGTAGGCTGCTCGCCAAGAGCGTAAGCAAGGGGAATCATGCACGACCCGGCGCCGAGGAAGAACTCGTGGTGCATGGGCAGCGTGGAATCCGCATTCGTCGCCAGGAAGACGGCGCCTTTCCGGACGTAGTGGAAGCCGAGCGCAATCTTCAAGTAGTTGATGTGGAAGTCCAGGCCGCACAGGACAACGCCGACTTCCGGGTCCAGCATCGAGCCGTTGGCAATGTTCTCAAAGTCCGCCGGCGTGATGTCTCGCCTGAAGCTGGCGTCCGTGCCGCCGATGAAGGGGATGCCCTCCGAGGCCAGCTCGACTTCCATGCCGGACTCACCAATGGCAAAGACCTTGTTCTTGCCGGGAGGCAGCTTGAGGATGCGGTTGATGTAGATGGCGGCGGAGTAGGAGGAGCCAAAGACATCTTCGGCCTCGCAGGGGATGTTTAGCTTGGCGAGTTTCTTGACATAGTCTTCCCGTGACTTTGTAGAATTGTTTGTTACAAAGACAACTCTCTTGCCTGGTGAGCGGTAAGCTTTCAGTGTTCAAGATGGTTTTTTCGGTCATCTCTCGGCATCCAAACCTTTTGACTTGAGAAGGGTGATTGTCTCAGGGACGCCCTCGTACGCATGGTCTCCATTCCATAATACACCTAGTTGTGTGAGAATTTACTTGAAGATTCAATAAATGAGTCTGCTCACCATCGCAGTCGAACAAGAACGTCTATGGTGTTTTGTGAGTGAGGCTATCATTATATGTGGGTTTGGAAGCAAAGGTAAAATCACTCACGTCAAACTTGTCAATGAACTCCTTGATCCCAGCGCTGTCGCCGGTGAGGTATTTCGGCGTTGCAGCCATCTTTGCGTCTATGAGATTTTATGATGATGGAGAATTGAAACCTGGACGAGAACAATCCCGTCTCAATTAAACAATCTCCAGCCGAGCGGTGAATAGGTTAGTAGGCTCTTCATAATGAGTCAGGATACTCGGCGTCTTGGAAACGGTGTAAGATTATGCTTAGTCAGTCATATCACAGCTGCAAAGTCCACGCTGCAGCCGCTGGAATAAGCTGCAGCGTTGTATCCAAGAGGATCACTACAACGCTAATTTTAGTAAAGGAGGATTTTCATCATTCAATCAGCTTACTTCGACGAGCACGGGTGAGATTCGATTGCATTCTGTAGATTTGACGAATTTCGACAGAAAGGTATAGGGTAGGCGGCTGAAATCCTGCGACTTCGGAGGGAAAACTTCGGCGCCGAACGACGTCATTGTAGGGGGTAGCCTTCAACTTTTGACAGCGAACCACTACGCCGATGGCGTTTTGCTGTGGCGCAAAATACGAGGCATGGAAAGAGATTCAATGCTGGAATCAACCTCGGCTTATACGGACACCAGAATCCGGGGATCCTTTGATTCCGGGAACCAGGCATTGCGGGCAGCAGTTGACTTGAAGCCCAATATACTCGTTATACGGAGAACACGTAGTCAGTCTCCTTTGACGTTGGGCTATAAGTCGAGCGGGCGTGTGTATGGAGCAGAGGGAACTCTATGCCAATGGAAGTGATCGTGGGGTTATTGCTGTGTAATAGAATTCCTCCATCGAGATTTTCATCCGCTGAAGATTTTTAAAATGCATTATTAGACAGCTGCAGGATGTATAGCGGCCTTACTGGCATTCATGCATGGAGTAATGAAGCACTGAAAGCATGGGTCTTCCGTCACGGGAGTAGGCAGCATCCGATGAAGACCATCCAAGTCGTAGCAGCTGCATGTACTACTTGCTCTTGGGCGAAGTCTCATACATCGTCTACTCGGATGTGCAGTCGTCGCCCTAGGCAGCCTAAAGCTAGTGAGCCGATGATTAGACATCAATAGAGGCCTGAAGCATATAGGTAGTTAGCATTGGGCGTACGAGTTTCCTTAGCTTTTCAAAATACCGAAATTTGGTGATTCTGCTGCGTATATGCGGCATAACGTGTTCACCAGCTGAGGCCAGTGGGCTGCTTCATCTCGTATATAGCTGCGCCGCTAAAAAAGCACATCACTGCTCCTTTTCCATCTCATGATGTCCCTATTGTTCCTAGGAAAGCACCAGTCATAGGCTTGGAATATAGAAGGTGCTGAAATATTTGACACTATACAAGGGTCAAAACAATCCGAGTTTCGATACTGCTGCTCTTATCGGCAAAGCATCTCTAGTGCATTGGCCGATCGCCGTAGCCGATACAAAATGAAAAGGACCCTGGATCTACCAGTTAGGTGAATGAATGAGGCAAGGCGCGACCGAATTATGGATCCCGAGCGGCGCCAGCCCGGCCGAACCGAAGACGAAAACCCTGCCAGACAGGAGATAAGGCGGCGTTTTTGGAGTGCAGATCATAAGCAGAAACCGAGACTTTTTGCGCGACGCTCACGGTAAAAACTTCACCGGAGCTACGGGAAGAAGAACATCAAGTTGGGCCCGAGGCAAGGCAAAAGACGTTTACATCCGTGGCCCATGACGTGTTGGCTTATAGCACGTGTGCCAAATATCGCTTAGGTTTCATGAGAGAGCAAGACTCATCCAGCCTGATGGCGGAGACACTTGCTGCATGCATTTGTAAAAAATGGGCTATGCTAGAAGATTGGAGCTTGACTCGTGAGCTCCTGAGAGGCTACGATGAAGCACCGAGAAAAGTAGAATAAAATGAGGAGCTTCCCGGCAGACTAAAAAAAAAAAAGTCTTTGCCAGCTACAAATACTTGCTACTCTCCCATCTCTTCTACCTCTGAATACCTATTGAACTTGACGAGGCATACACTTATTCGCTACTACTTCGCGTAATAACTCTATATCCCTAGCGACGAAAGCCAGCATCTTACCTCGAACTTTACTTCCCGTCCTCTACGAGTCGCTAGACACCTTTACATTATCCATGGATACCAAGTCAACGAACCCTCGCCTGACCTCTGAGTCACTCAGTCTGTCCAGCGGCAGCAATTTTTCAACTCCCTCCGCTTCAGTCGTCTCAACTCCTACTTTAGAGGCTGGCGAGTTTATCGGCAGCATCCCACCCAAAGTCTCGACAAACCCTCTACCACCTCTTCTGCGAGACTATCCCCAGCCTGCCAAAGACATCGACGTGGAGGAGGCTCTTGAGCGCCAGCCCGGGAGATGGAGCCTTCAGGGACAGATGAAAGCAAATCAAAAGAGGGCACAAATTGCGGCATCGCGATCTGACGACAAGCAGCAGAAGACGAGGGACTTTGAGACGGCCAAGCGAGAGCTGCTGGCCTTTCACGAGGGCACGCTGCGGAATGCTTCTGGCAGGAAATGATCGACAATGGCGACGGCTACACTGACGAGTTTACGTCCACTTTGCAACGTTTGGTTCATATTTGCGTGGCGCAACGGTTGGCAGGATATTATACCCTTGACGAGCTTCAGACGGGCTACTGCGAGATAGAGCATCAGCAGGCTAGAGATATTTTTCGGGTTAATAAATTTGAATTCTTATGACGAATGTGCACCATGGGGCTTTTTGACTTGTACTGCATAACTACCTAGCGACGGTCCTTCTTCTACGGCACTTGAGTGGAGTTGGGCGTGAGTGTGGCTCAGGTCTACACCAATGAGCCATCAATGTCAATCGTAATGTATGTTCTGCGACATCTGCAGTTTGTATGATGCCGTTGAGATTCTACTGGAAGCGGCGACCCAGCGTGAAGCCATAAGCCAACAGGCCGAAGAAGCTGGTCAGGTTGAGGGACGCACTCAGGCCGTGCAGCATATCAAACTTGCGGTTCAGAGCCTTCATCTCAGCCGAAGCACCCTCCTTCTCGAACCACTCCTTTCCGTCTCGCTTGCCTGTCGGGTAGGGATGAAGGTTAGCGTTGGGCTCCAAAGACTCCTTGCGAAGCATTAGGGTGGAATAGTATGAAATCACCTTGTCCATAGCGTTCCTGCTCGACCTTGATAGTAGCGGGGAGAGCTACAAAGAGGTTGGCGAGGCTGCTGACAAAGGTGGCCGCGATGGGCACCAAGGTTCCCCACCGGTTTGCCGGCGCAAGGAAGCCGCTAATGCCACTGTGGGTGAGCAAAGATCCGGGAGTTGTAAGAGCAAGGACAGCAGCGCCGGCAGCTTGTAGGCCAAAATAGTAGGGCCACAGTTTGAATAGGACTTCCTGGAAGGTTTTGATGTCGACCGAGCGGATCATGACGACAGTGGTGATAAAGGTCTGCAACGGCGGGTTGTAAGCAATTGTACGGTTTCAATGGTCCAAGAATGTATAAGAAGAGGTATAAAAGCCATACGTGAAAGAAAGTTGTTCCCAAGACGGTGCCGTAACTGAGTCGTTGAGCGCCGGAGCCTAGCATCAGCTCATCATGTACTTGGGCAGGGACCCGGAATGGAGCACCCACGATATAATGTGGTACGGGGCCACAGAAGCAATAATTGAGCCAGCCATTGTTGCGTTTTCTTCCAGAGAGAACCGACACCAAAGACGGATGAAAGGAGCAAAATACCGCAGGCTGAGGTGATACGCGGGTCAACTTCTTAAGTGTTTGAGCCTGTCGCAGCCGAATCCTACCTTGCCCGACATGCATGCCGATCACGTGGTGTCGCGATACCTGCGCGCCTGTACTCCACCAACGCTCGTCTGCCTAAAGCTTGAGCGAGGGGCGGGCCTATCAGCTGCTGCTATAAATAAGGGCTGATTGATTAATGTGTGGAATGGCATAGACAACGAATTGATGATTTTACACTTTTTCTTTTTTCTTTCTTCTCACCCCCTTTCTGCCTTTAATTGAAACGAGATTGCTGAGCTCGGTCAGGATGGCGGATAAGGAATCGACCGTTTTCATCATTGACCTCGGCGCGTCCATGAAAGCCGCCAATGGAGGGCGCAAGGAGTCAGATCTCGACTGGAGCATGAGCTATGTGTGGGACAAGATCAGCAACGTCGTGGCCTCGAACCGCAAGACTCTGTGTGTTGGCGTTGTGGGACTCAGAACCGACGAGACCAACCATACTCTGGCCGAAGATGGTTACGATCACATCTCCATCTTGCAACCGCTGGGGCCAATATCCATGTCCGGCCTGAAGTCTCTGCAGCCCAAGATACAGCCGAGCAAGACCACGGAAGGCGACGCCATATCGGCCATTGTGATTGCAGTCGATATGATTGACACTTTCACCAAGAAGAACAAGTGGAAGCGGCAGATATGTCTCGTTACAGACGGTCAAGGCGAGATAGACCCGGATGATATCGGTGATATTGCGCGGAAGATAAAGGACTCGAATATTGAGTTGACTGTCCTGTGAGTTGAAGAGGCATTTCATGGCCAGGATCTTTGCAATTTTGGTGCTGACTATCGTACAAGGGGTGTTGACTTTGATGCTCCTGACTACGGCTATAAAGAAGAAGACAAGCCAGCGATAAAGGTATTGAAGATAATACCGTCTTGACGCTGAATACCCTCTTCACACCTGTTTCTAACGTCTGAATCAGAAACAAAATGAAGAGACTTTAAAAAAGCTCGTGGACGGCTGCGGTGAAGACGCCAGATTCGCCTCCATTGTCGAAGCTATTGATGACATGAATGAGCCACGAGCAAAACCAGTCAAGCCATACAAGACATACGATGGCACACTGACTTTGGGAGACCCAAAAAACGCCCCCGCAGTTTTTGAAGTCCGCGTTGAAAGATATTTCAAAACTCATCTCGCTAGGCCGGTAACAGCCAGCACTGTGGTAGTCAAAGAGGAGCAAGCTGGGCCTTCGCAGGCGGCAGATGATGAGCAGATGGACGGGGTAGAACTCACAGCCGTCAAGCAGTCCAGGACATACAAAGTCAACGACCCAGATGCCCCCGGCGGTAAGCGTGATGTTGAGTTTGAAGCTCTGGCCAAGGGGTACGAATACGGCAGGACAGCCGTGCACATTAGCGAGTCTGATCATAACGTTACCAAACTGCAGACGCAGAAAAGCTTCAAAATTATTGGATTTATACCGAAAGAAAAGGTAATTTACAATATTTTTTCCATATTTCTGATCGGGCTTCTGCTGACTATCTCGTAGTATGAGCCGCTTCTTAACCTCGGCGAGTCATGTGTTACTATTGCAGCCAAATACGACGAGAAGTCGGAACTAGCATTCAGCTCTCTAGTATGGGCGCTGTCAGAGCTTGATTCCTACGCTGTGGCCCGTCTTGTGACGAAAGACGAAAAGGATCCTATAATGGTGCTGTTGATGCCATATTTGGAGCCTAATTATGCTTGCCTCTATGACGTCCCTCTACCCTTTGCAGAGGATGTTAGGTCGTACCAGTTTCCTCCCCTGGACAGAGTTGTTACTGTTAGCGGCCAAACAATCACCAAGCATCGCCTATTGCCATCAGATGAACTCAACCAGGCGATGAGCGACTATGTGGATGCCATGGACATTTCCAACTATGGCATTGACCAAGAGGGGTAAGCATTGTACCGTTGCTGTCGATGTTCTGATGTGCTAATTTACCTCGTTTTATCAGAGAGCCAGCTGAATATGCCACCATTGACGAGATTTACAACCCTGCAATACATCGCATCAATCATGCAATCAAGCAGCGGGCAGTCCACCCGGAGAGACCTGTGCCCGAAATACCGCCTGTCTTGCTCAGATTCGCAGCGCCTCCGACAGAACTAGTAGAGACTGTCCAGGCTACGATTGACTCCCTAATTAAAGCTGCAGACGTGAAGAAAGGCGAGTATACTGTTCACTCTCTGGTTTTGAGATTTTCCTCGCTAACATTTCTGCAGTGCCACCCAAGGCTAAGGGCAAGCGCCAAAGGGAAACCGTTAAGCCCATCTCAGGCCTGGATGTGGACGCTCTGTTAGGAGGAGAGAAGAAGGAATCAATCAGCCCCGAGAATGCAATTCCCGATTTCAAACGGGCCTTGAACTCGTCAGAAGAAGTCGAGCAGATTGCTGATGCGACAAAGCAAATGGGAGCAATTGTGCAATCTCTCATCACGGACAGCTTTGGAGACAACAAATACGCCCAGGCAATGGAGAGCATCGGTGTAATGAGGGAAGAGCTGATAAATCTGGAAGAGCCCGGCCAGTACAATGAATTTGTGCGAGACTTGAAGAAGAAACTGCTCTCTGGAACTCTGGGTGGCGATCGACGGGATTTCTGGTTCAAGATGCGATGGGCGAAACTGGGCTTGATCATCCAGAGCCAGTCAGAGGCATCTACGGTTACCCTTGAAGAGGCAGATGAGGTGAGTAGTGCAGCTGACTGCCAGTCTGGTGACTGTTGTTTGCTAATTTGTGGGACAGTTTTACAAGTCGAGGTGAAGATCGAGGGCCAAAAGTGTCATGTGTTTAGCCAAGGTTCATAGGTACAGGATAAATATGGTATCGTGTAGGCAGATTATATACCACCAAAAGGCTGAAAATGTGTTTTAAAAAAGGGAGAGCAAGAGTTATTTGTAGTCTATGATTATGATGAAGCATAGGTAGGAAGAGCAGCAGAGAGAGCCAATCTTGTGTCCTGGCTGCAATAAAGCAACGACGTGTTTGCTGTTTATTTTGGCGATACTTTCAGCCTCAAACCGGGCAACCACCGCAAAAAATGATATCTATTTTCACCATTTGAGCGTTTGCATTTTGTCTTCTTCTCTGATGATACCCATCCCGTCATAGTTGCTGATGTTTGCTACCGTCCAATTTTCTCTCTCCTAGCAGTGTGTGACCTGCTGCACGCAGCCGTCAACAACGCCTGCCTAACCTGCCACAGCCAATTTACCCAATTGGCGGCCCGCCAGTTTCTTTTCACCTTGTCCTTCACTCTGACCGCCCACCGCACTTTCTTAAATTTTTCTCCTTTTCAAGCCTGTTTGCAAACTCTTTCTGTCTCCTTTAATTCTCCCACGCTCATCCACTTTTCATTCACAGTTTCTCCATCATAGCGACTTCATACCTTCCCTCAACTGGTCAAAAGCCCAACAGCTTCAACATGCCTGGCTTGCCACTCGAAGCTCGCTTGGAGAAGCTTAGAAGCCTTGGAGTCAGCCTTGAGTATGGCGAGCATGTGCGAGATGAGGTCAACTCTGAAGATGAATTTCCCACCGTGGTGCCGCCGCAAGAAGTGGGCAAGGATGCTGTCCCATACGATGCTGGCCACGATGCTTGGAATTCCACTACCCATCTGCCGACAAAGAAGCAGACTAAGCGCGAGGAGAGTAAAGAGTTACCTCCTCTGGTATCCCTAGATTGTTCGAATTTCATCACCGGAGAGCCTGCAGAGGAAAATATCGACTTTTGCTCCTGGAGAGTCATCCAGACTTATCCCGATCACTTCATTGGCAAGGCAAACGGACCTCGGGTACGTACTGACTTTGTTGTCGTCAAGGAACAGGCAAGGAAGAGTAATGCACAGCTGACGCAAAATACAGGCCAAGCCATTCTTTGACAAGATTCTTGAGGGCAGAGTCTGGGACTTGTAAGTGCTGCCGGAAATCGTCGCTCTTTTCGAGGCGCATGTTTTAATATTATAACAGTTTCTATGTTTATCATCCTGAGAAGCCTGCCGAGAAGCCTCGGGTGATGGTACCCACGGTCCAGTTTGAAGGCTTCCTACGAAGCGTCAATAGGGAACTCGGAACCGGTCTTACAATTCCGGGAGGAACGAATCAAGATCGCTTCTATATGAGGTTTGGTCAGGGAGGCACTCCACGGCCTCGATATCTAAAGAGATCGCGGGATCAGAAAACCTTCGAAGTGGACAGATTTCCCGATTTTCAGCAAGAAGATCGGGACAACTTCCTAAAGGCACATGGCGCCCTTCAGCAAGACTGGGAAACCCTTTGGGGCATGATGGCACCAAAGCCCGCTTCCGCAGACAAGAAGAATAATAAGTCGAGAAAGGCCGCCCAAAGCAAACTGGACCGAGAACGAATGCTTCACGAGACTCAGGACTTTCTTCATCTGCGGGGTAGCAGCACTCGCACAGGTAAAGATGTTGTTTTTGTTTGCATGGACGTTGAAGCAATCGAGATGCCGCCGAATCCCATTTCTGAGATTGGATTAGCCATCTTGGATGTCAGAAGCCTCAATGGCGTGAAACCAGGGCCCACTGGCAAAGATTGGTGGCAGTTCATCAAAGCTTACCATCTACGAACCAAAGAATACTCGGGCCTCGTGAACCATCGCTTCGTTCGTGGATGTCCCAGCTACTTCGATTTCGGGTATTTATCACGCTGCCCAGTCGTCATATGACCTACTGCTAATGGATTGAAACAGAAAGAGTACTTTCCCGGAAGAGTGTGAACTTCCCGAGGCGATCGAATCCGTCTTGAAGCCCTATATCAAGGACAAGCGTAAGCTAGTATTTGTCGGCCACGATGTTCGCCAGGATATCAAATACCTCTCAAGCGTAGGTTTTGAAGTGCTGGCACTTCAGGGCCTCATTGAGCAGCTAGACACAAAAGAGATCCACCAGGCTTGGAGAGCGTCTGAGCAAGGAAAGGGACTTCATCACGTTCTCAACGACTTGCTTATTCAGAGCAAACATCTGCATAACGCTGGCAATGACGCCGTGTTCACTCTCCGCGCCCTCATCGGCGTTGCCATTGAGGCCATTAGAGAGAAGGAAGTAAAGGCGAAAGGAGAAGAATACACACCGGCTCTGCTGGGCGTGCAGCAACAACAGAAACTGGAGAATGAGGATGATCCCTGGGCATAACGGTCTTGAGTTGAGAATTACCGTTTTTTCTTTCTTTCTTCTTTGGTTTGAGTTGGAAGCCGCAAATCTGCTATGTAGCTAGTCCTCCCCTCTAAATCTTACAACCACTTTACCAGCGTGTTGCTTTAGATAGCATTCTCAAATTCAGCCCGCCAACCCACCAACGCCATCGCTATGGAAAACGAATATCGTACAAGGCATATACACACCGGCTACTCCGGTTCTTTTCCCCCTTTACCAACGCGGCGGTGTCGTGACCTCGGTGCTCTATATTAAATACGCTACATCGTGGGGTATGCGGCCGTTTCGTTGTGATCGTTGCAGTCTACTCATTGCAGTCTGGCTCATGTAGTTTTATCCAGTAGCTCTTTCGCCTCATTGACTTTTGTCGCCAAGTACGGACTGCCGCCTCGATCGGGGTGGTTCAAGAGCATGAGCGTCCGGTGCGCCTTGCGAACTTTGTCTTTGGAGATGGATCGCTCACTGCACGAATTCGCATTAGCATCATTCATGTCGTTTTTGTAGCTGCACATTTTTATCGGAAGAGGTTTCAAAGCATACTTTAGCGATAGGATGAGCGAGGCTTCCTTCTTGGTCATTCGGGGCTCGAAGCCGCCCTTGTAAAAAGCTTTGCCCATGGCGCCGATGCCGCCGCGGGAGCGACGAAGGGCGACGAAACCGGCTCGGCCCTGAGAGATGAAGTGTCAGTTTGCTTTCGTCTTGTTTCTTTTGCATGTATTACGTGTGGTCGTATCGTGATAGGTATGCGAGGGATGTGGAATGCGCTCTTCTGGCGCTTATACGGAAGAGTTGTTGGAAAGATTTCTGTGAGAGGAGGGAACGTACGAGGAATGCGGCGACGGCGACACCAGCGCCCCAGGCCATTACTGATGCCATTGTGTGGAAGGAAATGGATTTGTCTTGTTTGAAAAAGAAAGAAGTTGTGTATTATGGGCTTGGAAAATTGGTTGATTCTTTGGTGTTTCCGGCTTTCGGGCGATGGACTGCGGCGCAGAGTGGGTTTTGGATGCGGGTGATGCGAATGGAAAGTTTTACAGAGTTGCCGAGCGGGAGATGTGTTTTTCCGGTCCCGGGGAGCTGGGCTGGCATGCCATGGAGGGGGAGGATTGATTGGCTGATGGGATTGGAATTCGACTTACTGTGTTTTCGATATTGATCTTCGTTTTAATTGAAATGATCTTCAGGATAATGGAGATTTGGGTTCTATAAATAAAGATTGAAACGTTTTTGATTGTCGGTGATTTGCGGCGCTACTATATGGTTAGATAGGTTTGGTAAGCGGCTCTAACTGGACGGCTGTCTGCCATGGGTCAACCGTGCTTTGTTCTAGACGTGTAGACGATACATTGCTATAGGTAGTAGGCTGTGTACCTAGGTAGGTAATTGGTATATGGTATTTCTTCATTAAATCATAGAGTCTCCATCTATTCTAGAGCTCGGGTGTCGTAATTCTGCGCCTAACAGTCTTCAGGGCCTCGAAACCCAATCTCAGTCACAGCAGTTCATCACACATCCACGAAAACCATCATGGCTCCTCTTCCTCCTCCTCTTTCCGCTGATGTTGGTGTGCCCTCTGAGGAGGCCTCAACGCGCCCTCAACCGCCTCCTTAATCTGCTTGTCCAGCTCAGCCGCCTTGCCCTTCTCTTCTTCCTGCTGCTGCCTCTCGTGCTCAGCAGCCTGCTCCGCGTTGAAGTTGCCCGCCCCACCGCGTCCCGACCAGCCTGCCCGGTGAGGCTGCGGATGCCTCTTCAGGCGTGATGCCACCGCGGCGCCCGTCTCGTCTGCGAGCTGGCCCTGGCTCTGCGCGGCCTGCACTGGGTCCGCGAAGTTGCCGGCGCCTCCACGGCCTGCCCTTGCGGATCCTTGCGATGGGGCCGGAGACGGGGCGGAGGCGATGGCCTTCAGTCGTTGCGCTTCGAGGTCCTATAAAACAAGAGAAAGAAACAGATTGGTTAAGGGCAGCTCTCCTTTGGGATGGGACGGAACAAGACAGATTGTCAAGGGATGCGCTAAATATCAGGTAGGTTGTAGTATTTACTTTGGCTGCCTCTGCTGCCTGCTTTGAGGAAACATAATTGCCTGCTCCACCGCGACCGACTTTGCTATAAGTATCTACCTCTACCTCCTGAGGCATCTCCAAAAAAGTAGACACTCGGTCTTTTGCCAAAGGGGTATGAAGAAAAGGAGGGGTGTGAAGAAAGGATTAGGGCTATAACAAAAGTAAAAGAAACTCCCTCAAAAGTAGACAATAGCGGGTTCGTCGTTTTTTCTTTCTCTTCCTTCTTTGAGAAATTACGTACACGTACTTTTGAGAAGGAAAAGCCCCGAGCAGGTTTTTTTAAGGTTGCCCTGGTCAGGGCGTGATGCTAAAAAAGAGGCTTCGCTGACGTCACGGTGAAAATTTTGGTGGATACTCGCAATGACGTAGGTAAGAAAGAGTCCCAGAAACGGCAACTGTGCTGAGAATAATTTGGCGCGTTTCGAAACTTTTATTTGCTCTCTTTCTCTTCTCTTTGGTTTCACCCCCCCTGGCAAAATAAAAAGTTTGACCTGCAGTAAGAGAAAGTATGTGATCGACAGGTGCATTGTAATCCAAACACCAATAAGCCTTGCCAAAATATGACAGCTGTAGCTGTAGGCACAGAGTCTGTAGTTAGCGGCCATGTGGATCGTCAAGCCCTATCCACAGCCTTTTTGAAACAATTGACTGTCATCGAGAAATTGACTGTCATCGAGGAATACCGATCGTCTGTGGTCCCAGTTAATTGATTCAACAAGGGCTCGGTGGCCCTCTTTTGGCTCATGTGCAATAAGTGGACTGCGGCATTGGCATCAGAGAGGCCAACATATAGGAAACGATTGAACATCGTGCAAATCAAAGCATTCTCCAACAAGAGAGCCGTCGTATTCCGTAATCTGAAAAGAGAAAACACACCCCCAGCATCGAAGCACTAAAGCGTATAGTATCCGCGCACCCATCCGGAAGTGGCGGACGGCTGCCGCTCACGAGCCTACAGCCGTGCCTGCGCCTTCGAACTTTGTTCGGCTTCCATGGAATCATCTAATGTAGACGCCAATTCTATGTTGGAAAAATCGCAGGGGTGAGCATGATACGTGTACATTGTACACTAATTGATCAGCAACTGGAAACGGCCTCCGTTCCCTCCGAGAGGCCACGAATGAGAACAGAAGAAGATGAACTGCCGCGCCAGCGTCAGAGTAAAAGCCCGCGATCCGTTTCAAGATGCGGGAAAACGTCGAAGCAGCGTCAGACTGGAGCCCCATAGTATTCACGGACTGTTAACGGACTGTACATGTAAGCGGCACACTCGCGATCCAGTGCGAACTGTTGACCCTCAGTATCCTAGTCGATAAATTGCGCACTGTATTCTTAATGGAATCTCAGCCATCTTCACGCACGGAGTAGAGTACTATTGTACTGGAACAACGAGAGGAGTGTGGCCATGAAAATCGCTCGTCAAAATGACAAAACTTTCCATGAGAAGCAGTTGCAATGTCTCAAACTTGGGCATCATTACATAAAGAATGACATGCTGGCGGGGGCGTGGTATGGAGCCGTGATATCGCTGCGGTTTTCTATACGACCAAGTCTGGGACGTCGCGCGCAGATGAGGAAATGGATGTTTTGCCAAAGACAACATCAAAGGCCTCGGCCGCACGAGCTTTCTGCCTATATGCCGACTGCTTGATTCAGGTTGCCGATAGTCGCCCGCATTGGGTGTCGAGTTTTATAGAGCGTGCATTTTGTACGACGTGACATGCGTGCATCATTGGTGAGGTCCGATACAAGTACCTCTGGGTAGCACATCCTCTTCGAGTTGTATATGAAAAAAAGCGCGCCATGAGTAATTCTTTGATCATAGATGGTGAGGCGTGCGCTTTAGACGATTTAGCCAAGGCCATCCTCTCCCTTCTTATTTTCGTTTACTCAACTGATCCCGATGACAGGATCAAGAGGAGAGCGTTGAGGTTGGTCCACGGCCCAATGATCGCCGTCGTCCGCACGAGACAGAATGATTGGGGGCGCTTGGAAGTGAGATGAAGGCTCCGATTGGTTACCGATCAGCCACCGAGCGGCTGCTGAAGAAACGTTGGTCGGAACGTGCAGGGCACGCAGTCACCACGACGCACAGTCTAATTTTGAGTTGAAAACACAAGCAAATCTTGTTGGAAATAGAACGATTGAATGGTCCCAAAACAGAGTAGAGGCACACTACGGGGGAGGCGGCTGCGAGTGATGATTCAGCTTCCTGACCTCCACCGGTTCTGAGAAGTCGGCTCGGCTCGTGCCCCCCAGAACTGATCGTCGACAGACCTTCTCTAGCTAGGAGGTCCTCTCGAGGCCGGCTCATCGTTGATGTTCAGGCACGTCGGTCAAAATTGCCAAGTCGATAGACACCAAATCTATTTGGCTACCATGCCCCGCAAGGCGATCAACTGGAAGATCTACCTCTACCACCACCCTGTCAATGTCACCATCGTGGTCTGTTCATCATTCGAGATTTAAAGTTGGGCATTGTTCGCCACCATGGCTGCCACGTTTCGAGCACGAATGCAGAGAGAAAAAATTTTCCTTCATCCTTCCAACCTTTTTAAAAAGGCTTCGTCCAATTGCACTTGCAATGACAGGTTCCAATTGAGTGCATTGATGGTAAGCCTGCCGTGCGTTGGCATTGGCGTTGGGATGGCAATATGAAGAAGTAGAGCCGAACATCGGGATCCATATATCCCATGTCAACCAAGCTTGGGGCGTTCAGTTAGGCACCGAGACGGCCGTAAACCAGAGCCTGCTGAAAATAGAAACCCAATCATAGGCATGAATCATCATTTTCTTAGCCGCCTGAGTCTACGCCCAGAAGGCATGAGAGGAGGAAATTTTTTTTTCATGGTGTTTGTGTGTTTTGCGCGGAGGCCTCGTTTGCCCTTATCTATATCACAGCTGCCTGCATTAGGAAACCGGCTGCTGCACAGTGCTGCAGAGCACATGTTATGTGCATTTGTGCCGAAGCTAAGACAAGACGGCAGGTTCACGGCTCGGCGAATGTGGTTTGCTGAGGCCACTCGATGCGCCTGCGATGGTGCCATGGGCGGATTGCCCTAGTCGCTGCCGGAAGTCGTGACCTGCGTAAGCGCACGGCCGGGGGGTGCGGCCATGGCTGATGGTGTGTGTGAGTGGATTGATACTAGACAAATGCTAAGAATTGGAGGCACTGTGTAGCCGACGTCTTTCTGGCTGTGGGAGATTCTAACCGCCAAAGAAAGCATACTCCAGTTAGCTACGCCGGTTCCTGGATGTTGAGGCGTAGGGGATTCGGAGAGAAGCGACCGCTGGTAATTATATCTCGTGGCTGGCTGTTGGCGATGGTGGAGGCTTGATCTCTGAGTGTTGACTTTCTAGGCCTGTAGCTCTTTTCTTCTTTTCTTTTTTGATTCTTTTTTTTTTTTTGTGTTCCGAGATGCTTTGCGCCAGGGGTTTGCTTTTGCTGTGTGTTGTTGTTATCATCCTTTTCCTTGTCTTTTCCTCTCTTTGCCCTTGTAATTCGTTGGCAAGGCCATTCCAATTGACTCCGTACGAGATGTTACCCCATTCCCAGCTCCATGTCTCCATGTCTGCTCCATGATATCCACAGCGTCTCCATCATACCGGCTGCCTTTATACCTGATGACAAAGAACCTAACGGAGCTCTGACTCTTCCTACCTCTTTGTCATGAAGTTGTACTTGAATGTACTGGCGCTGACTGTAATCTGGGGCCTTGCTCTTTTTCTACGCCTCCTTCGAATATTGGCCTTATGCTTAACGATTCCCCGGACCGGCCCAGCCGTATTTAGCCGACTTCTGTTGTGCAGCAGTTGTCGTCCTTGTTTACCTGGAAGAGGCAAAGCCGTTGTGGAAACTCGACGGGGAAAGATTGGCTCGGACATGCATATATCCCTCTAGAAGCTGCGTGTAAGAGGACAGTAGCACCTCGTATCTATCCAATTGACACGTATGAGCATGCTGCCATACGTATTACCACCTAATAGCTCGTAGAATGTTAGCATTGCTGCTGCTCGGTAGCTCTGTCGGCAGACGCACCTTGTCGGTTCCCAATAGACTCTCATATCTTTGTGTGTTGTCCAAGCCTATTTCCCCTCCCCTTCCCCCGCTTCGGGAACCCCTCATCCAAGCCGCATTTGGCCGCAAAGCCAAATAGAGAAAAACCCCATCCCGTACTTTTTTTTTGTCCTCGTCTAATTTGCCCCTCGAGATAGCAGGCGTAAAGTAGCGAGATGAGATGGGCTTGCTAGCAGATCGACGGATAGCTTTTTAGCTCTGTGAATACACGGAAAGTGAGGCCTTGCGGAGTCTCGTTGCGGGGGTGGAAACGGGGCTTCGGGGAGAAGTTGATCCACTTCGGCCTTGCGAGCATCGAGCGCCGGCGCAGTTATCGACTGGAGCGATTCAGGTGCGTTGCAGTCTGGCGCTTTCAAGCCACTTACAGTCATACCAGGCTCCGGTTTCGTGGAGATAGGGCTGGGGCTCTTATCAATTGCCAATGCCAATGTTCAAGCACGCATCTAACACGCATTTTATCTATTAGCTATCTCTTTGTGGTAGTGTTGACCCATGAACCTTGTTGATGGCACAAGCGAGGGAGCTGAAATATGATGGCGACTATTCTTCGGTTTCTCTGTCACTTTTTTCTTCAGCTGAATTGCTCACCCCTCGTTTCGCCTGCATCGGAGGGGCGTGAGCAATTGATTGCAAGTACACGAAGTAAATAAGGTACATGAAAAAAAAAAAAAAAAAAAAAAAAAAAAAGGCCAATGGCCCCCTTCTCAATGCAATTAATTCTACCGTGCATCTTCGCCAATCGAATCAATTTGCAGCATAGACGATTATTATTCGCTGCTCGCTGGACTTGACTCATAAACACGCCAAAGAGTTAATATTGATTAGCTATTTTACTGCTTGTTTGCTTCTGCCCAGGGCACGATACTGCGGAGTAAATTGATGCTGTACTACAAGAACATGCAGTGCCCTTCCACCTGCACTAACCCATGATCGGGATGGCGGTTGTTTGAATCAAAGTCGTACTCGTCTGTAATCCCAAGTCGCCCATTTCATTTCCAACGTTCGTTCCTTCGTCAGCCATACCCCCCTCCTTGACTGAATCAGGTGCCTCCGTGCGAAGAACGGGCTGGCGTTCGTCATGTGAGTCTAAACGCGTAGCACTAATGGCGGATGAGTAAGGACCGGTTCACTGCTATAGAACAGCTACTGTGCCATTAGCAGCGTGCTTTGCAATTCTAGCGTCGAAATTGCAATGGCCAGATGGCATTAACGGTTCGTGCTGGTGTAGCTTCCGACGTAGAGGCGTATTCAAGTACACAGTCCGTCCACTGACTTTGCCTGTCTGGCCAAAGTATCCTGTCGGAAGCCATGAAAGCCATGTACCAGCATCGATCCCCTCCGCCAACCCAACTTTTGTTCCAGAATTTCTACGCTCAGCCATGGCCCTGATAGGAGGCAAACTCTCATCCCTTTACGGAGGTGTTACGGGGGGCTCATCCGGTGAACAAGGGAGCATGATAGGGCTTGACAAGATATGACAGGGAGACACGCTGGCTGGCACCATCAGCGTCCCAGGGCTCTTCCTAGGACGTATCAGTACGTAAGCCCAAACAGCCCACTCGGCTCCCACGCTGCTGAGCTGGCTGGTGCTCCGTAGTAGGGAGGCCTGGCTTCGTTAGTGCTGGCGCTCCCTGCACGTACCGGTACATTGCTGGCTGTCTGTCTCTTGATTAACATGAAGTTGCAATTGGCGGCAGCAGATAGTCATGATGATCTCGTCAAACATAGTGTACTGTAGGCGACGGGAAATGGCAGTTGAGATGGAAATTACTGGTCAATACCGACAGCTACAGGCCTACACTCCCTGGCCCTGGGGAGCACAGCTTATCGGCACTGTACCAGGCCTGTAGCGTGCAGCAGTGCCAATATGGGATTCAGGCCTTGCCGTACGCTCTTCATCGCTGCACGCCCCCCTTTTCTGGCCTCAGCCCTCCAATTACTCCTTCAGATGCCTCCAGCATCCCCCTTTACGGCCTCTCCATTCGACCTGGTGATCAACCCGGGTCAGCGGGCCAATAGCCCAGTCAGACCTTGGCTACACCCCACCTTCGGGCGCGCGCGACTGCGAACAAAGACACAAGTGCAGACGAGGAGGAACCTGAAGCCAAAAAATGGAACATTGAAAGAAATGGAGAGGCGACCCATCGCTGTGGAAGCCACTGGAAGCACGGCCAACCAGGCCCGGCGCTCAAGCTGCCTGCCTGCCTGGGCTGCGGTGGCCCTCACCAGCCATTTGATGCTGCGCCCCACGGGCTGAACGTTTGGCCACAACGGCCACAGTGTGGTGCAGAACCAACTGGGGCGGTGCCTTGCTTTGGCTGGCTCTCCTGACTGAAGCGCGGCTAGGTACCTACCGGAGGGGGTGCTCTGATTGATCGATGAAATGAGAAGAGACGAAGAGCAAAGAGAGAACAAGGAGAGAACAAGGAGAGATTAAACGAATGAATGAAATCTGGCCCTTTATTTACTCTGTCCGTGCTCTGTGCCTGTACCGTGTCTTGTCTCATGTATCATTCCTCGTACTCTGTACTTTGTATTCGCGGCAGCCAGTGCCTCTCCGTACCGACCGCCCTCGGGAGGCGTGCGCGGTACCTGCTCCGTACTCCGTATTCCCCTCGCTCCTCCGTACCAGGTACCGCTGGTACTCATACTCGCTCTTCTTCTCGTCCGTAAAGTACCGCTACTCCTGCTAATGCCCGTGCTAATACACGCGCCCCCGCCGTGCCGCATCTACACACACTCACACACACTCCCTTGCCATGGCGCCGTATTGCTCCTCCCAAAATAATTATTTCTCGTTCTCACTACTTGCACCAAGATCCTGGCGGTTTTTTTTCCCTGAACTTTTTTTTTTCTCTCTCAACACCTCGACACCTACACGTGCTGAATACCAATAATCAATAATCATCCCGTCAAGCTTGACATTTGCTGTGCTGGACATCATCTACGATCCAAAGCGTTGCTGCTGAGTCCGCAACGGTCCAGCATCCTTCGTTCGTCCCTCAATCCTTCAAGCCCGCTCGGCAATGGCCTCCTCAAAAGTATGAGATGATTCCGTTGTCCGGCTTGGAGCCGCTGATCTGGCTTGTCCCGGCGCTGGCGAGGCTTCACTTTTTGCTGACATCGTTGTCCGTCCGCAGGAGATGCAGCCTTCCACGAGGCCATTGACTCACCAGCGTTCTCCCATGTCGAGCTCCGCATCCTCGGCCCTCACCGGCCGCCAGTCCCACGCCCGAACCAACTCGCACTCGCACTCCCTCCTCGCCGGTGCCCTCAATCCGACACACCGAATAACTCGCCGAAAATCAATCACCACCCCGGGCGCCAATGTCGCTGCTCTGGCGGCCGCAATTCGAGAGACTGAGCAGGGCGGCGCCATTCCGATTACAAGCGGGGGAAGGCGGAACACCATCACCAAGCACACCACCGTCCGGGCTGGCCTGGTTGACAGCCTGCCCTCACCGCCCGCCAGCCTGCCCAACAAGTCAGCGCTGCTGGATGCGAAGCGAGAAGCCCAGGAGAGCGCCATCGACGACGATTCCAACGAGCTTTCGAGCGACGAGGCGGCCGCCAAATTCGACCAAACCCGCATAAGACGAGCCAGTGACGGTCAACCTCTCACCAAGGATGGCAAGAAGAGCAACCGCGTAGAGGTTCGCTGCGAAACTTGCGGCAAAGGCTACAAGCACAGCAGCTGTTTGACGAAGCACCTGTTGGTCTCCCTCCCCTCTATGCCTTGTGATATGTGTACTTGCCTAGGTTTTGGGTGCAACATCGTCTTACCTCTCATCTCCGGCTTCCCTCCGGCTCCCCTCCCATTCCCTTCCCCTACCTCTCCTTCTTTACGCTGGCAAACATGCGTGTAGTTTGGGTTTCATTTGTTGACTCGTTGGCTAGATGGGAACACACCCCTGAGTGGTCCTACACCTCCAAGTTGCTCATCTCAAAGCACCAACAGGTACAGCTGCTTGAAGCCGCATCTGTTTTGGTCGCAATGAACGGCAACCCCGACGAGAGATCAGTCACTCCTCCAGACTCTGCCAGGGACTTTGCGAGCGAGCCAGAGACGGCATTGCCCGCTGCTTCAGGCTACTCGGAGCAGGCTGATGGTCGGAGCTCCGCTGATACTACCCCACCGCCGACTGCCGAGGACGGCCCTACTTTTGATACCACCGCTTATCGTGAGAAGCGCTTCAGCTCTGGCAGCATCTTCTCACGAAGCTTCCAATCCCCGCAGCCGCAAAACCCTCTCCTTCGCGGCAGCATTCCCAACCTAAACGGATTCGACCACGTTCGCAGTGGTAGCATCGATCTGCAGCCCGATGCTATGATTGGTGAGGACGACCATGAGTTGGCCGCCGCTGTCGAGCTGTTGAGCTGCAGCTTTGGCAGCAACAATGGCTCGCGAAACGTTGTAACAACAGTTGCTGAGGACGCACCACCTGTGCCCCCCGTCCCAGCCCAATTCCTGGACCAAGCTGCATCCTTTGTAAGCACCGGCTTCATCAACAGCTTCCCTAGCAGACAGCCAGAAAGCTTCACCCGTGGTGAGATGCGCCGCGGAAGTGAAGATGTCAAGATGGAGGACAGCGAAGACGATTTCGACATGCGGTCTCGCGCCCGCAGCGACGAAGATGACGACGGAGTTTTTGGCCGCATGGAGGAGTAACTTATTGGATACCTATGGGACGGAGCAATCTTCTTGGGACTTCGAATCGTTAACGCTTTTTTTGTTTATATATATTAATGTGACCCCCGGAGTAGGATTGCTCTGGAATGAATTATGGATATCACTTATGGGATGGAAATCGGCGCGACCTTTCCTTTGTACAACGATATACTCGATGGAACTGTATTGGGGGTGGTTCTGCTCCGCTGTCGAATCTTCAGCACCAAGGAGTGGAGGGCCTGTCTGGACGCGAGCCATGTGCTGCTGCAAGGTCTAGAATGAGATTGCTTCTCCACGAGGTTAAAGTGAGGATTTAACGAGGCGTCGAGCGTACACTCGAAGAAATTCTGAATAAAAACACGACGTTTAAAAAGAAATAAAACAAAAAAAAGACATCACCATCACAGAAGCCAATGCCATGGTACAAGAAGCACACGTGCACAGTGACAATGAATGTTAATGCATAATTTCTGTCTTCTTGAACGACTGCCAAAAGGTAGACCAAATCTAGCCAACAAACAACAGATAACTGGTGACTGCCACGCGATTCACTTGAGCAGCGGTAATGATGAGAATGGAATTTCTCGACCTTTGCCGTGATTGATGTGGAAAGAAAAATTTGATGTAGACCCTAGCAGCAGCGAAATTGAGCTCTAGCTGGGATGAGAGCTCCATCCAGAAATTGCGGGGACCTGGCAGCCCAAGGTTTGTTTCCCCAGCGACCTTGTCGTCACGTTTCCCCACAGCTGCCGGGCGTGGGCAGAGCTTCCGAACCCTCTCTCAACAAACACACAAACTGTTCTTGTCTGCAGCATTTAAACACTGATCCGCGACAAATATCCCGCTATAGCTGCGACAATTTGCTCAGCAGACTTTGTCAATCCTAGGAAGACGCGCGCCTCTTTCGGAATCACGCTGGCAGCTAAGCCGAGATAGCATTCTACTACCTACTGCTACAACCACTCCGACTCTGTCCTCTTTCTTCCCTCTCTTGAACAGAACAAAGATGCCGACGTTACGGCGAGCGCACAGAGGCGAGGCTGCACGGGCAGCGCCCGGAAACGAGGTCGCGGAGGATTTGATTGATGATACGGTCACACCGGAGAAGCCAAGAGACGGCAAGGCTGTCGCAAAGACAACACCGAAGCGTCGCGGTGGCGCTGATGAGGTCGATGATGTTGTCGCCACTACTCCCGCAAAGGATGGAGAGACAAAGGCGGCGCGCTCGGCTAGGATCCCCTCGTTGGTGGTATTCCCGCTCGTGGCGGGTATTAGCTTCATCACGGCGAGTCTCGGGTACAGCGTGGTGGCTGAATTGACAAACCGGGAGTTGGCGACGGTGAGCCGAAGCCAGGAGACGCCAGAGGAGATTTATATTCTTGCTGGCTGGAGGGTGTAAGTTGTTTGCTACTGTGAGGTACTTCTTCTTCTTATGCTAATGATGATGGCTGCTTAGGTTTGAGCTTGCGCTGAGTTGGTTCGGCGGACTGGACGGTTTGGATGTTGCGATGATGGATTTCCTGTCCCATGGACCGGCGGTACGTACAATTACCGGCATTTCCTACTCTCTGTTGTTTCTCTGGGCATGTGCTAATATGCGATGGCCTAGATCTACCTCTTGTTCGCATTTTACAACCTCAGCCCACAAACCGCCATTGCTGCCCTCGCCGTGGACGTCGTCTCTGCGTCGGTCCCCTTTTCTCTTCTGCGACCTTTTTCGGCAGTCCACAATCCATCTTCGAAGCTGCCTAACCGCGAGCTCATTGGATTCCCTCAGCAGCTGCTCACCACGGGCCTCTCAACGAGCATATACACCGTCATCCTGGCTCTGTCGCTGCGATTCCTGCTGCCCAAGATCTTTGTCCTGCACTTTGCAGGCATCCGCAGCCTCGAATCTGCATACGCGGCGTCTTACGCTACTGTGCTGCCCGTGACGCTGCTTTTCGGCGCCGCTGCAAGTACCTTCATTTTCCCGCCGTTTGCCACAGCTGGCAAGACAAAGGAAGACGAACGTGTCATCAACTTCGACCCCGTTGAGGCCAGTCTTGGAGAGACTGTGTGGTGGAACTTCTTTGGTTATACGACCAAGGCCAAGGTTGCCATTTTACGCACAGCGATGACTCTACTGGTCACGGGAGTCAACACGTACCTCTCTTGCGCCATGACCATTCCTGGCGTTGAGCAGACCGGGGCTGCTGCATATGCCGCGGTGTGGGTGTTTGCGGCTCTATGCACAGGCCTAGGCCTGGGATTCGTGGGACGCGATTAGGGAGGGCTCGAGATCTCTCTGCAATGAGAATTGGTAGGCAGAATTTTGGGTAGCTGGAGGTGCTAGGCAGACAGGTAAGATGTAGACCGCGCTTGTCTATGTCTGTACGCTTTTGCGCCTTTGAATTTGTCTGATTCTGTATTAGTACTGTACCCCCTCCTTTTTTTTTGCCTAGGTGGTGTCTGGGAATCTGTTTTCTTTGCTGTCTTTTGTCCTGGTTTTATTCTTTTCTGTTTCTTTCCATTCTTTCTTGTACTTCTTTTTTTTTTTCCATTTTTGGTATTTACAAGGGATAATTGGTGGAACGCGCTTTCGGATTCTTGGTTTCTTGGTTATTACTGTATCTAGGTAGTCTTTTTGCTTTTTTTTTTTTTTTTTCTGGTGTAGCATTGGGGAAACGGGTTATGTTCAGGGTAGTAGTAGTAGTTGAGGTCATGTGGTATGTGATGTATATTTTGTCTACATCAGGTAGGCTGGGCATGAAGAAGGATTAAAAAAGGTATTAAACGCTTATAGGCAACTGTGGTGGATGGGGACGAATGACGCAAAATGGGGGGAATTTGGATAAGGATGAGATAGTCAAGGATAAAAAAAACCATGATAACATCATTTATTTCCTGAGGAGGGAGGATGAGATGGCATGATGGATGACCTACTAGTATCATGAGCGTATGAGTGAGTGTGGTGTGTGAGTAAGCCGGCGACACGATGCATTTGTATAAGGGCGAGAGTGTGAAATCTCATAAGAAGAAGCCGCCCGAGTTTTTCCTACCATTATTCTTTGGATTGCGTTCCAGCTAAAGATTAAACTAAAAAAGGGCTACTGCTAACTACCCTAAATCAATCATCTCTCAAACAATTTTTTTTGTCTTAAATGCCTTACCTGAATGGTGAGGCTAAATACCCATGGAACTTCGGGCTGTGGAAAAAGGAGTGAGTGATTCAGACTGAAAGGTTGTATCTGCAACTGAGACAGAGATGCTACATTGTAGGTAGAAACAGCCGGCAAGGCGATTCCGGAAGTGTATATGTTGCCTATACGTACAAATATCCGTATAGTACAGTAATGAAAAGAAAAACGGGTATTATGAACCACTTCTAGATAGCGTCAGCCGCGGCACGGCATGTATATTAAAGTATCTTGTAGACATATACCGTACAGCTCGACCGACTACGGGGTACTTTGACTCTTTTGTCCGTCTCTTCTCTTCAGCCTCACAGGGGATAAAACGACAATACTACTACAATACGGACATTGATTAGCACCATTCATGCCGTCATCATCGGTTTCCGGCGGGGTCACGCAGAGCGCAGAAGGCAGCCCATCGGTGATGGAACGAGGCTGCAGCGCCCAGCTTGGGGCGTTATCACAGCACCAGCCCCCGGGAGGAGGCAGACCGGGTTTGCGGGAATGGTGTTGACTGGGTCACCGAGACGAAGACGCAAGGTTGATTGTTCCCGCCTAGCCAGTGACGCGCCCCCGAGAAAACGGCCCCCAAATAGGGCTAACCTTTGCTTCTATATTGGGCCAGAGCTGAAACTAGCACAGATCCAGCTCTGCATGGGGTCGGGGCTTGCATGGCCTCTTGCATATACTGCACGTGTGAAAAGGCTGAAAATTATGGGAACGGGACGAAGCAAGATTTGATCGCTGAACCTGGTAATAGGGCTAGGCTCGAGGAAGGAGGGGGGAGGGGGTCAGAACCTGAGCCTCGGGTTCTGGCCATGCGAGCAGCCTGCCACGTTGTGTAGCACCGCTAATAGTTGGCATCTCGATGGGGACGCAGCCCGGTGTGCTAGGTGTGCCTCTCTTCTCTTGAGTTGGCTTGCGATGGCTCAACCATTGTCTAGCCCACAGGCTTGAGAAGGGCTCGTAGCCTATGTGACCCCCTTTGCTTTTTGTCTCAGAGAGAGGGGGAATCATCAACAAGGAGCAGGGATTGAGGGGTTTTATTTTGTTAGTCAAGATTGAGAGAGAGGGGAAACGAGAGAAGAGGAGAGGAAAAAAAAATAGTTGCACTGGGGACCGAGATTAGCACGTATTACTCCGTATACCCGTTAGAACGGGCTCCATAAAAAGACCAGGCGAGGATCTTGGCTTTAAGAATTCAAACAGAAACCGCATGCCACCTCTTGCTGGGTGCTCTCCCCGTGGCAGCAACCCCGTCACTTACACCAAGCACCAGATTGGCCTTGCCAGATTTGCATGCCCTGATTCCTTCGTCTAGTCTCCACCGTTCGCTCTGCAACCGCCTCCTCTTCCTAGGCCACCCCCTCCTGCGGAGTCCGACTGGGATATCCTGAGGATTCCAATAATTGCTTTGTGAACGCCCTACCTGGCCAATATTACCACGCTGCTTGCTTCATAGAACGCTATCGAGCTGGGGGAGGGTGAGCAGTCACACAGTCGGTGCGCTTTCGCGTCATATCGAGCTCTCCCATGACAAGGGCGTTGTAAGGCGGCGAGACAGACGAGAGACACAAAGACGGTGAATAGGGCAGGAATCGTCATTCTCACCTGTTCAGCTGTTCATCCAAAAACGGTGAGCTGAATAGACATGACTGGTGCTGCAGGGGTGCTATCAGGCGGCGGAGACACATCACAACAGCCTTGGATCTTCTGACTGCTCCGGGCTGCTTCTTCCTCAAAGGCTGCCCTCACTGCTGCGTTCGCTCAGCGTCCGGGACAAGTAACATCTCCATTCCGGCACGGGAGCCTCGTCCAACACCCAGTTACACGCTATCTGACTCGATCGTATAAGATGCCCACGATCTGGCCTTTCAACTGCCGTAATTGTCAAGACGCCTATCATTGACAGATTCTATCCGGCTACCGCTCAACAAGGAGTGTGAGCACTAAGCCTCCAATATACCCCAAGCCAAAGATTACTCTGCACGCTGTGTAGCCCTTTCGTGCCTTGCTCTGAAGGAGGGTTCTTCAGTTGCCCTTTCACGGTCATGTCTGAGTACATTGCCTCTGGGTCGACGTCAGGATACACGGCGCCCAGAAACCTGAAGAGGTGCAAGAGTATGAGGAGCGAAGAAGAAATCAATGCACAAGGCCCGCTTGAGGTGACTGGCTCAATAGAGTCAGGACGCGGCGTCAACCTCCAAGGAGACGTCTCCGTCAGAGGAAATATCGATGCCTATGGCAATATCACCGCAAAGGGGACAATTAGCTGCCAGTAAGTTGCCACGCTGATTGAAGCAGCAAGAGAAAAGGGGCGTGTGGATCAACCGAGAGGCAGTATAATCAATAGAGCTGACTTTTTTGGTCTTGAAAAGGGGGCAAATCAAGGCATACGGCAATATCTTGCTAGATGGCTACCTAGCCTGCCGGTGAGTAGCTCCCTGAGTGTGCACGCGCAGACATGTTATGATTCGGTCGCTAACAGAGATTCAACGCAGTGATAAGATCATCGGATATGGAAAGCTGAGAGTCGAGGGCACCCTGGAAGGGGACGAGCTCGAGATCTGGGGGAACCTGATCATCATTGGCTTCCTGTAAGATTGATTCCCAAGCGCCAAGGCCGAGCCACAGAGGCACCGCAGCTGACTTGACAACCATAGAAAATGCAGACGCCTGGTTCTGTACGGCTCACTGACTCTCATTGGGCCGGATTCCACCTATTTGGTACAGGAATCTGAAGAAATTGCGGGGGCCAAGCTGATGCGGGACTCGGAAGCAGATTGGGATTGGTGAATGGCACGGAAATAACTGATATCCCGGTGGATGCGTCTTTTTCGAATCCGGTATGAAGTACTTTTGTCGTCCTGCAGCTCTGGAAATGAGAGAGCCTCCAACCCACTTGGGACGAAAGCCTAATGAAGAGCCATATAGACGGTATAGCTATGGTTGTTTGTTATTGTATTTTTTGGAATTATTTTTTAGACTCGGGTTGCTGCGTAGCTTTTTTGAGAAGAACACATCTCTAATATGCAGAGCATATTGAAAAAGCAAAGCTCGATAAAATAGGGTGATCTCGCAAGCTAGGATCTTATTGAGATTGCCGCGTCAGCAACAATCTTACCGACTGCGGGTATGCAAGGTCTCTGCAGATGATGCCCGCGGCATGTCCCGAGTAGGCATGTCGAACCGCTGCAAAGGCCTTGAACTTGTCGATCAACCGTGGTGTAGCCAACACTGTTGATCGCAGTGCAAATGGCAGTTTTATTGCGAATGTGTCGCATTTTGCATGGGGCATGATTTCTTTGGCTCAGGAAGCTGTAGTCGCCGCAGCAGCTAGAAGGATAGCTCCGGTTCCGCGTGCAGGATTGATGACTCATCCTGCTCAGTGATAGGCTCTGGCTGTTTACATAATCCATGTTTTCGCGGCGCTCGGGCTGTTTTCTCCCAGAGCCGCCAGTCTCCAAACTGGGGCCAAAGCGAAGCTACTAAGCCATCCCAACGCGGTTTTGGCAAGTCGTGACACGCCTCGGCCAAAAAAAGCGCCGCCAAATGGACGCCCTTGAGTGCGAATATCATCAGCTTGAGAACCTCTGATCTGACCCGGCGCCAGCTGGGAAGTTGCGGCGCGCGATACCGGTGCCAAAGCCGCACTGCCAAACATGGCGACTCCAGCTGAGCCCGCCGCGGTCCCCCAAGCCGATCTCGACAATGAAGATGTTGTCTCGCCAAAGACCAAAACTGCGACGTTTGAGCTTGCTGAAGGTCCTTCCATGGGACCGGTGAGCAGCGTCCTCACGGCACGCGCAGACCCCGATGCGCAGACGACCGTTACCGATTTTCTCGACTTCACGGAATACCTTCCTGCCGACATGATTCGCTCCCTGACGTTGATTGGCAAGCTGGACGAGAGATATGCAGATGCATCGCACAAGGTCGACGACTTGACGACGTTATGGGGGCAGCTCCCCGGCTTGCCGGCGCATGAGCGCCCGTCTCCGGTGCAGCTGCGCGCTGACATTTCGGAACATTTAAACCAAGCTCTGGATTCGAGGATTTTTGCCCACGCAGAAGCAATGAGGATGGCAGAGAATGTGAATCGTCACTACAACAAGGCGACGGCGCTCCTGTCCAAGCTTAAGACGATGATGGAAAACTATCCCACAGAAGATCAAACACCTGCCGAGCCGAGATCGCCTCAAATGACGAGAGCGAAGCTGACGGTCAGAGCTACGGGAGAGGACGGGCAGAAAGTACGACGGTCTCGAGTGCCCCGAATTACAGTTCCCGGAGAGGTTCTGGCGCCGTACGAGATTGAGTACGATACCTTTAGCGACGACAGCGATATCAGCTCCGACGAAGAATCTGAAGCGCCGGTCATTAACCGCAGAATTCAAGTCCCGACGCCTCGGATTAAACTGGTTAGCAACAAGAGCCAAAAGTCTTCAGGCCGTTCTTCACGCGGGCAATATGCCACGCCTGCTCTGAGTGCTGCGGCAGCTGCGAATGCCGCTGCGCTGCTTAATCCTCCACCGGAAAATGCCGTCATCGGCAGTCCTGATGCGCCTTGGCTTCAGTTGACGCAGTACGAATTGGCAAAGCTAAGGAAGCGGATGAAGAAGAACGCTACGTGGACCCCCAGTGAGACTATGATTGCACGAGAACTCAAGGCTCTGAATCGTGGGCCGGACGCCTACAGGGAGGCGAAGAAGAAGGCAGAGGAAGAAGGCACAGTGTTTGAACCGACGGTCCCAACGCCCATCGTTGACAACGAATCTGGGACTCGACAAATGCCTGCCGGTGCGATAAGCGTCGATTCGTTGGCAGCTACCGAGGTGCCTACTAGCAACCGAGGAATGAAACTCAACGAGGCGAAAAAGCTTAAGCGAGAGCAGCTGGCGAAGCTTGCGGCTGAAGAGGCCGAAGAGTCTGCCAGAAAGATGCAACAGGCAGCAAAACTATTCCTGGGTGGCAGTTCGACTTCAAGCATGACGCCCGAGACGGCTAAGAGCCCAGGGTCACAGCCAAAGCCGCGAAATAATTCCAGATCTAAGCGCAAGAGAGATGCTGATGGGGAGACCAATGGTGATACGGCGGCAGCAGGGACTCCAGCCGGACCACCATTACTAACGGTAGAAGGTGGTGAAGCGCCATCGTCATCGCGGCCGCCAGCAAAGCGCACCAAGACTGAGACACCGGTCCCACCGCCGCTGCCAGGCATGATTCCCCAGAGCAGCTCGGCCTCCTCCGACAACTCTGCGCCCCTAGCTGCAACGACATCTGGGGTAGTTGGCGTTATTCCCCAGTCGGAGACTCCCGTCCCCATACCAATCCCCCCTCAATCTTCCGTCACGACTCGGTCAGCAACGTCTCCAGCACCAGGCTCTAATCTAGCCAATGGCGCAGGAACAGTCACCGTCACCACTCCTGCGCCTGTTAAGACACCGTTTGAAACCCCTGTCCCCCTTCCTAAGACGGAGCAAAGGGTATCTACTACACCGATTCCCCCGCCAACGATTAGAGAGCTGCCCGGGCGAGAGGCGAGCAAACGTGAGACGCGGGGAGAGGCTGCGAAGCGATCACAGCAGCTACCGGCGTCCACGTCACCTCAGCAGCCGCAAGACCAATCGGCAGCTCCTGAAAACCCCACCAAGCAATCGTCATCACGCGGTGGCACCCCCAGGTTAACGCCTGCCCCAGAGTCGCTCCCTCGCCGGCCCGGCTCGCGAGGCAAGGCGGCCAGCCAAGAACCGCAGCCGTCTTTGGCCGTTGATAGATCTCGGCGTGCTAGCACGGCTCGCAATACGCCCGTTCCTGAGCTCAAGCAGCCCAGCAAACGGACTAAGCGCCCAGCCCCCGGTATTGTGAGTACGACTAGCAGCGGCGGTAACAGCGCCGTTGGCAAGCGGAAAGCGGCGCCGAAGAAGAAGGCTCGTGCGACTAAAAAAGACAAAGGTCAAGTGACGGAGGAGATGGAAGATGTGGACGACGAGGGCAACCCCATTGACCCTAACGAACCACGGTACTGCTTGTGTAACCGAGTGAGTTTTGGAACAATGATTCAGTGCGACAACGTTGATGTAAGTCTACATTCTATGACCCTATGATGCTCTCTCTCTTACTAGCGGGTCATCATCTCCGCGGAAATACATGCCCTGAGAAATAGATGCGCTGACAAAGGCAAGCAGAATTGTAAACAAGAATGGTTCCATCTCGAATGCGTAGGCCTTTCAGAAATCCCGGCGAGAACGACTAAGTGGTATTGCCCGGATTGTCGTAAACTTCTCAATATTGGAGAGAAGGGAGAAATCAATGCCCGGGGGGTGAAGAAATGAATTATTTAATTTTATCCTTTTTTCTTTTCTTTTTCAACCGGTTTATTGCTACTTTGTCAATGATTTGAAGCATGGTGTTATGAGGACTTTGAGATACGATATACTTGGGACGGAATACAAAGGGGCTCTATTTCGAAGCGGGCGGTTAAGTACTACCATTTCAAGCAGCCGTCAGAATATGATTAAAGGGGATCTGTTTTCCCTTTTCATTTTCATTTTTCAAAGTATAATCCAGTGATGACGATGTTTGTACATGGCAACCGATTTGCTGTTACTATAGCGCAGCTATAGATGAAGACGAAGAAGAAGAGCATTTGAAATGCGCAGCCGATCCGTCGGAACCGTAGCCGACATTAGAGAACTTGCCGCCAGAGTACGGATGGATTCGGCTCGAAGAGGGCCACAAGCGGGTAAGGGACCGCAAAATGGGCATGTACAATGTGTACTCTAAAACGTTTCCAGTATAGCGAAGATATTATCGCCGCCGGAGATGTTTGATGCGCACCTACTATTGTTGCAATACACCTATTACCGCCGACGGAATGAAGACTGGTTGGCGGGGAGTTTTGAGGTGCTAATACATTGATCCGTTTTGCTGACATACAGGCGCCTAAGCCGCCTTGATTACCAAGACTTCAGCCAGACAAATAAGAAGTTCCCTCTACATTGAGGATATATAGAGCTCCAGTGTTAATGACGTTCTCAGATCAAACAAAAATCACATCATCAATATATCGACTGCATTAATTGTTTTCTCATTCTCACAGTCTTTGAGAAAAGCAAATTAAGAAAATGGCTGGCTCCGTCAATGCGCAATACATTCCTCGATACCCGGTCCATGATAGCCTTCCCGATCCCGAGATTCGGACGTTCATCACCAACTTTTACAGAATATCCGACCAGCAGGACTTGAATGAGCTGTGGGTTGATCAGTTCACCAAGGATGCGCAAATAGCTGTTGGGCCTGCGAAGGCGATTGGGCGAGAGGGTCAGTATTTATTTCATCTTTATTTATTTTTGGCATTTTTTTTTTGCTTTTCTTTCTCATATATCATTTGCTGGCGTATTAAAAATGAATTGCCTCAAATTGAATATGCCATACTAGCCCAAATTACTGACGAGAACAAACAGACATCCGCACAATGCGCAACGGAATGTGGTCGGTGGTACAAGAGAGGAGCCACACTGTCCATAAGGTCTTCCCGGGGCAGTTCAGTGAATCGGCAGACAGCAAGCGGGAGTGCGAGCTGATGCTTTACGGCGACGTGTCGTATAAGACCAAGGACGGTGCCACAAACACTGTTGCGTGGGCGGGACACGGGACTGTGAGAAAGGTGCAAAACGAGGATGGCAACGAGGAGTGGAAGTTTGCTGCGTATTCCGTGTATATGCTGAAATAGAAAAGTAGCCTGCATGGAAATTACCATCAAGTTTGGATGCGCTTCTCCTCGTACATGTGAGGTAATATCAAGCTGGTGGCTAGCATTACCCGCCCTACTTTGGGTTGCTTGGTGCACAAGTCGTGTGACGTTAATTGCGCAGTTATGCGTCGATCCACAGCTTCCGAGAGGCTTCATTCATGTTCACCAACGGTGTTTCAAGTTGGAGTGGGAAACAGCTCCCAGTGCTACAGACATGTTCACTCCGAGTCGTTGCCTGCTACCCATGTTTACTTAACGTGCTGACGTTTTTGGAAGCCGTTTTTGCCTGTATGTAAGCCTCTCCGATAAGAAGTCCCTCTAGGAATTTTGGTTATCGGGAAGCTACATACACAGGTCGCGGTGCTTATCAGAGACAAAGGGCGATACGATACGGAGTGTTCCGGAGTCTAGTGTGAATCTCCGTCTAGGAGCAGCAATGATGGAACATGACGATACGAGACGAACGAAGAGGGGCAAATGCCGCCTTTTTGCCGTGTTCCTGCGTGTTTGCTGTCCATAACTTGTCTAGAGCCTTTTCCCCAGACACACACACGCACATACACCCCCAGTGGCGATCCCGCGGCAGCGTCACTGTTCCTTGCATTACGCCCTCAGTACAGTACGAGATTTGGTTTGTGCTAGCTGTTTATGTTTTTTTGGATACACGCGGCAAAAGAAAAGGACGCGAGAGAGGGAATATGAGCAGAAGGGGCTAAGTAGATGGCTTTTGATTTTATTTGTTTGGCCGTGGGGGATGTTCGTCCATGGCGTAGGAGGCACCTATCACCTGACAGCATGTCACGGAGCATTTTTAACGTGTAATTTCCTTGCTAGTTGACTACCAGGGTAATAGTGCCAGTGCACTATACTAGGTTGACGACTTCATCTTAGTCCCTCTAAAGGAGAGAAGCAGTAGGTCATAAAAATAGCCATGTTCTTCTTCGCGATTCTATTGATGCCCATTCCAGGGCCATGGGATGGACGTGCCGACTGCAGAGTACTTGGTGGTACTAGCTGATGTGCTGAAGGAAGGGGGTGTGAGCAAGTGTGGCGCAACAGGGCCAGTCTATTGCATGCTGATACGCAGCCTGCTCCTTGCCGCTGTGAACGGCACGGACAAAGGAGACGGGAAGCTTATCGGCGTGCAGCACGCCTTGTAGCCTGTCTGCTGTACCTTGGCATGTATTCCTCATACCAAACCCAATCGCCCATCGCTATCATCGCCCATCTGATAACGGGGAACTCTCACAGCGGCACTGATAAGGACGACGAGGAGAAGGAGAAAGGAGAGCCGCCGTTTCTTAGTCATTTGCCGGGGCTCAATGAGAATCATGGATCTCATCCCTTTTCGGCGGGGACGTCATTTTGGCACGGCGGATGATGGGGGATGACGCGCCGGAGCCGGTCACTGGTCTGGTCCTGTCTGGTCTGGTGAGGTGGCTGAGGCAACTATCGTTAAGGCTTTAGTGGTTGACAGGTACCTACCTTACGTAGTTGAGCTGATACCAGCCCTCAATTCCATTCTTCGACATCTGTCACTGCAGCTTATATACTAGGGTCAATGCTTATAGGTCTTTACGTAACTTGGGTACACCAGCACATCATCGCTCAAATCCTTTGTCATCGACTTGTCCCGGGACAGACGGAATACCTGTAGGTAGCCAACATGTATGCTACATATGCCATCAATGCTATCAATCACAAATAACAAAGGGAATGCCTATTCAGCACCCCAACCCTGCTATCCAGCACCCCAAAAATATTATAAAAATACTTAAGTAATTATTTATAATAAGTATATATAAATAAAAGGTATATAAAAAAATCTATTATATTTAATAATTATTTAAAAAAAATTAAATAAAATTTTTTACTTAATATTTATTTTATAAATAATATTTTAGAAATAATATTTAAAATATTAATAATAATTTATATAAATATAAAGAGTAAAGTTTTTAAAAGTATAATAAAAATTTTTTATTAAATATTATATATTTTATTTTTAAAATAAATAATATATTAAAATAATAATAAAATAATAGTTTTTAAATAAAATTTTAAATCTTTTTTTTTAATTTATTAAATAATAATAAAATAAAATAATAATTTTTATTAAGAAAGTATAATATTATTAATTAATATTAAGGTTTATAATTTTATATTCCTTTATAAATAAATATTTTATAAATTATTTTAAATAATTTTATATTTAATTTAAAGATTTAATTAAAAAATAACTATTAAAGATAATAAAAAATAAAAACTTTTATTTTATTGAATATAATATATATTATATATTAAAGTGTTTTTTTATTATTTTTTTCCTATCTTTTATATACTTATTTATAATTTAGTATTTTTTGGGGTGCTGGATAGCAGGGTTGGGGTGCTGAATAGGTACTCCCATAACAAAACGCCAAGCTGTGATATTCACGCTGCAGACGGCGCGGCGCCTCTTGGTTTCCGTTGGGGAAAGCGGCTGGCATCTGCCTCTAAACGCGCCGCCAGAACCCGAAGCCGCAGGGCCAGTCAGCGATAGGCACTGTACCGCGTGGCAGCCAGCCAGTTGCAGCGCTGTGATAGGCGCATTCCCTGGAAGTACCGGCGTGTACCTCCTGAAAGTAAGGTTAGCCACATCGCAGCTTACTTGGAGCGTACCTACATTAAGTGGTGTCTGGTAATCAAAGACACGAGATGAGGCTTGTGCCTGTATGTCAGAGCTGTTCTTGTACATGCACGGAGGGCTCCGCGATAGCAGATAACGAGGTAGCCTCGTACCCGGGCGCTCTTACATGCGTCCAGCATTCTGCAGTACATGTGCTCTGTGGGCATGCGACGTGCTTGGTTCATGGGCCATCCATGGCACGGCGGATAGGCATGGAAGCGCTGGAACTCGACACGTTCAGGTGTGCTGGACGCCCCTAGAAACCCTCCGACCGCTGGCCCGCCTAGCTGAGATTAGCGTGTCGCGAGCGCTGTTGCCCCTGTGGCCGCTGACCACAGGACCAGCGAGCGAGCCACCACCACTGCGGCTTGTGATGCGTGCGAGACGAGTACCGGCCGGTACCGCTCTGTACAGGCCCGGAGCAACGGGGAGTGCCCACGCCCCCTTCTGCCCCCCTTCGCAGAATCACGCCCCCCCAATAGCTGCTCCGGACAGCGGACCTGGTTGCTTCCCCCCCGCGTTATCAAGTCAGTGACGGCAGCGCCCCGGCCGTCGCCATACAAAGTAGGCGCACGTACCTGCACGTACCGCGCCAGCTCGCAGTGCGGTATGCTGTAATTGGCGGGCAGCCTTTCGACTCATCAAAGCTGCCACCCCCAAGGTCCTCTTGAGCAACAGCGGCCCTTCTCTCCATCATCTTTCTTTTACTTACATTCATCTGCACACAAACAAATCTCGAACAAATACAAGCTCAAACAGCACTCCAGTCTCTTTTTCTTTGACGAACCAGCCTTGCTCTGAATAATACCCGGTCTCTACTCCACGGATACCTATTTGCTTTGTCCTTGCTATTTTCCTATATCAACGATAGACTACGCATATTCTCACGAACTCCAAAAAACGAACCTTGTGGCTGCGCCATTCCCTGCATACCGGCCTTTTGTTTTTCACTTACACCAGCCTTTAGAAAACCAGTTGATTCTTTTGTTGCACGAACCAGCGTATTACTGCATCCTGCATCTTCCGTATAACTATTCTTGCCAATAATCTCTTCGTACTACTGCCTTCCTGCGTAGTAGTACCTACCTTGGACGCGAGCCCCTCGTCGCCGTCGATAGCCCCTCGTTCCCAACTTAGGCGGCCAAGCCCCTTATCTAGCGGTACCTCAAATCTCGTTTACCAGCTACAGCTTCTGCCTAGCAGCAGTGGTAGCTGTCGCTAGTTGCCGCATATCGATCTACCCATCCGACGAGACGCTTCTTCGCCATTTCTGTTTACTTGAGGGGACAGAATCATTAACGACATTTACTTGCTCTTCGATTTACTACGTCCTTTTATTTCCTTCATTTTGTTCTAGCTGCGGCCTTTCCGGAACCCGTGTTGTTCTGCAAAGGCACCAGCTCTTGGAGCGGGACAACTGCTCCAATCTCCTTACACAGGTTGAATGCCGGGTGAGTCGCAACAGGCAGCTCTTATCTTGTACCACTGCTGCAGTGACGACACTGCGATAAGACTTGCATCTCCTCCATCCTCGGGCGAGTCGACGCAGAGCACCGCAGACAGATGGACAGGCAGACATACATGACCAGGAACGAGCGTTTCAATACTGACCATGTTTTTGCTGCAGCCAAGAAGGACAGGAAAAATGCAAAGCACAGCGGCGGCATTGCCGCGGCGGTGACCAAACAAACCGCCGGCAAGTTCGTGTGAGTCCTCCCGCTAAACCGCTCCCATCTTCACAGCCATGGCGCCGCATCGCATCGCCTGCTCGCCTTTGGCCGCGTGACTCACCCTTTTGCTGTGCACTCGCCGGTGTGCCTGAGGACAGTATAGCTTGTATTATGACCGCTGACCTTTGTTCTTGTGGATAAATAGAAGACCCGTCAACGACGGCGACGAAAGTGGAAACGACTCTGCAAAGAGCATTCCTACTTCCAACGCCTCCTCTCCTCCGATCAACACGCCCGAGATAAGACCTTCGGCCGCGCCTGACAATGAGAATCCGGAGCCGTCGCCCTCGCTGGATGCCTTGTCCACAACCTCGGTTTCTGCAAGCACAGCCCCAAGCATGATCCACGACTGGGCGAGGAATCGAATGGCTGCTTCTCCAAGCAATCTCATCGCTCTGGCGAGCGAATCGCCTCCTACGCAGCCCTCTTCCTACGAAGACCCAAGCCATCTTCACCATGGCTGGTCGGCCCAGAGGGCTTTCATGACACCGTCGCCAGCGTCACCTTCTCCGCCCACCAGTCACTCAAAGCGGCCTCTCAGCTACCAAATGGATCCCCAGTTCGTGTCTCCAGACAGCATGCCCAGGGCTTCCTCGGTTGCCCTGCATCAGCGACGGAGCTCTGTCAACTCTCCGGCCATGTACCCTCATGGCCACTCCCGCATGGGCTCGCATCCTCCTCCACTTCCTCACCAACCCCAGCCACACTTTTACGGCGTTTCGGACTTGGATCTCACCATCAAACCAAAGTCTGGTATGAAGCCGGGTGACCAGGGCCTCTACTTTGGTTTCGACAAGTTGCCAAGCCCTTACAGCGCGACTGGCTCTGAAAACGTCGTCTTAGCCGGATACCAGGGCGGTTTGGAGGTTTACGGTGTTGGCAAGAGAGGATTAGAACCCATGGCCAGCCTCAAAGGCCTGCGAGGTGGAGTTCATTACGCCAAGATACTTCCATGGACTGTTGGCGGAGACAAGGACGGCATCTTTCCTTTGGTCGCACTGGTGGTCCATGGCCCCGTACTACCCCGACGATCCCCCGCAACTCCAGACGAAGAAGAGGACGATGGCATGGCGAAGAAACCCGACGGTGCGGCGAGCCCTCGGGCCGCTTATACCCACCACGATGCTTTCTCGACACGCAACGGACAGAAGGGCCAAGTGATTGAAGCATATCAGACCACCGTCGAAGTATACTCGCTCAAAACGAACAAAGTAGTCGACATCCTTTTGCAGGCCCCAACTATTCCCATCAGCACAGAGGTTTCCATTACTAGCCCCATCTTCCAACCTCCGCTTCCCACTGGAGCATTTGCCATCAAGGCAGATGCTGGAACGATCGCTGTATGCTCTGGTTCTACTGGCGAGTGCTGGGTGTACACACAGCTGCTGCAGGCACAGAATGGGCACTTGTTTGCTTGCACCGCCAAGCTATGGACATGTATTCAGCCAGGCCAGCGAGGAAGCGATGTACCTGAGGAGAGTGATAAGATGAACCCCCTTGGTGCAAGTCGCCGACCTAACCCTCCAACTGCCATTTTCGCTCTCAACGGCCGGAAGATTGCCTACTGCCCGGCAGCGCCGTCTTCGAGTATCGCCATCCGAGCTCACCTACCGGTTCCAATCTTGGGAAGAGGAGCTGGCATCACATCTGTAACACCTCCTCACCTTCCCTCGGTCACTGCTTCCGTGGATCTTCCCATTTCTGACAGCGTTGTCAACAAAGTCATGCGCGAGGCAACACAGGAGCTCATTCAGGGGGCGAAATGGGTTGGCCAGCAGGGTCTACAAGCATGGAACTCGTATTGGAACAGGGCAACCAGCCCGCAATCCCAGCAACAGCAGCCCTTTTCACCACCGCAGCAGTGGAACGGCGCGCGCTCCCCTCTCAATGATGGCGCTGCATTTCCTCCAACGCATGGAACGGCTGGGCAGGCGGCGGCGGCAACCAAAGACTCGGGACTTGTTTCCATCTTGGATGTTGACTCTCTGGCGTTGTCTCCGTCTCTCCATCCTTCTGCCACTTTCTTAACGCCTCTAGGATGCAGCTTCCTGTCATTCTCACCCTCTTCCTTGTCGCTTTTCACAGCAAGCAGCAAAGGAGACGTGCAGACGGTATGGGACCTGTTTCGTGTTCAACATACGCACTCCTCACCTCTGCAGGCCTCAATGGCTACTCATGAAAGCACTGGCCCTCAAGTCCGGCAAATCGCTCAGTTCTCGCGCATGACGGTTGCACGAATTATTGACGTGGTGTGGATGGAGCCTCAAGGGGAGCGCTTGGCCATGGTCACGGAGAGAGGAACCGTTCATCTCCTGGATATGCCCTTTAGCGCTTTCATGTGGCCACCACCACGCCGGCGCAAGGTGACCCCGAAGCCTGCCGCCGAGCCATCTGAGCCATCCAGCTCTGCCGTTTCTCTCGCGTCTGGTGCTTTTGGCGCTGCATACCAAGTAGCAATGCCGTTTGTAACACGTTCGCGCCAAGGAAGTGGCAATAGCGCTTCTACTGCTGGTAGCATCCTGAAAGACTCAGCGGCTCAGGGAGGGCGAGCGATTGCTGCGAGCATCACTAGCTCGATTGGAAAGACCGGCTCCGCCATCAGCCAACTACGACACACCGGAGAGAACCGCCTTTCACTGCCTCCAAGCTCCTCGCTGCCCTCGTCATCATGCGTGGTTTGGATCAGAGGCCGCCGGAGCGCAACTCTGTTCAACCTAGGTGGAGGACTTGTGCGAACGTACCCTTACAAGGCTCGACGTCAATCTGGTGGCAAACGGGTTTCACGTGTGAACCGATACACAGATCATCAATTCCCGCTTCTACCAGACGATACCGTTGCTCCCGCAGTCCGACAAATCTTGGATTCGGGCACGCAAGAAGAGTATCTCGACCTGTCAGACACGGAAATGGATATCGGAACGACATTGACACTAAAGGGTCGCCCACACGTAGTTTCCAACAATACACTTCATACTATGGCTGAGACCATTCCCCAGGCAGAAATCGAGTGTAGCGCACCATATCAGCCTTTCCACACCGACAGGCGCGTTATCCTTTGCGAGTACACTCCTGCGTATGGAAGCCAACTTGAGGGTGTCTCGGAAGTTTTGGCAAACTCCTCCTTGGAGGCCAAGGCGCCTTCTTCGAAGAAGTCGAAGAATGGACAGCATCTCGCTGTAACTGCGCCAAGCACAAGCAACACCGATGGATCTGCTTGGGCATTTGGGCAGGACATCACTGTCGTCAAGCTGGATCTCGGTCTTCCTTCTGCCTTTGAGGACGAATACGACGACCCAGAGGACCACCGACCTCTCCCTCCGTCGGCTATGGAGCGTGTTATGGAGTTTGGCGACTCTGAGCAAATCGTCGTTACTACACGAAGACGGCGTGGAGCTCACCAAGGGGATCCCGATGGTGATGGATTCTTTGAGGACGATTGCGAAGTTCTCGATTTTGCCGACCAGAGAGTCTAACTGACTCCCAGTGATGGTGTCGCAATTTCAGAAAACTAAGCTTCACCTCTTTACAGGATTTTTGGGACTCGAGAGGACTTCTTTCTTAATTTTTTTCTTGGGTATAAACTAGGTTTTTTTTCTTTTACTAATTTGACAAACTACAAACTTCTGACACTGGGTTCATTATTTTGCTTGGCTTTTTACTTCTCCTCCCCTCTCCTTTGAGCAAAGTTGAACTATATTGTTGGAGAATTGGTTTATGAATTGGCTTATTTATACTCTTCGAGTCCCTCACTACCACTGCTCGGGATTTTTTATCTAGATTGGATGCGTTCGCCTATATGGCTCCATAGGTAGTTGCCTTTTTGTTCTATAGGTAGCATCTCTACTGTTTAACAGCTTCTGTAGCGCCTCATTACTGAATAGACACCAATCGAGATACCCAAAACTGACGTCTCTTTCATATCTTCTTAATTGCCATTGTCGTGGGCAGCCGTGACGGATTTGACATGTACAGCATATGGATAAGAATCCGATTTCCGTACATGCTCCTGCAAAAAGATTATTAATTTTTTATTGCCATGACCAATTCTAACAAGTCCCCTGGGTTTATCTCCTGCATACATGACAGGTCATTCTTTTCTCGCACATAGATGGGTACATATACATTAAGGTTCGGTATTATGGCGTTCACTCTCTTCCCCCTTTTTTGGCCCCTTCCCTTTAAGCCTTCTTCTTAGCGGCAGCCTTGGCCTTGGCAGCTTTCTTCTGGTTGCTTCGGATCATGACCATGCCGACGAAGGAGCCGACAACGGCGGAGCCGAGGAGGAGGAGGATGACGGGGATGCGGATGGCCCAGACGCGAGGGAGGAAGAGGTTCTGAAGGGGATGGTCGCCGTCGACGAAGGGCTGTGTTTGAAGAAAATTATGTTAGTTAGCAATTGGATTCGTTGTAGACATGTTTTTTGCGTGATTGACCGGTACCGATTGGGTTCGGAAAGATGGGAAGAGAGAGATCCTTACCATGAGGAGGGTCCAGATGGTGTAGTAGAGGAAGATGACGGAGGCGGCCACCAGCATGGTGAAACCGACGAGCTTGTCGAGCTGTTGAGGGGGGAGCAGTTAGCTTTTGCCTTCATTCGTGGTGCGATAAGGATTGCTTCAAAGATTGAAATAGTTACGTGGCGTCACTGGAGAAGGAGGACGAAATTGGGGGGAGAGAATTGAGGACATACCATTGTTGGGAAAAGCTTTGCTGTAATGAAACTGGAATTAAAAATATGTAGAGAGAGGTAATGGGGGGGTTTAAGGGGAGAGAAAGTCTATTTTGTATCGTTTTTTGTTTTAAAGGAGCGCGGGGGAGTTGGTTGACTCTTTGACGTGGTTGAGTGGTTGAATGTTGAAGTGGGAAGAAGCTTCGTAGCTGATGCGAGGCGCGCGCGGCGGCGGCAACATCCACGCTGGCATCAATGAAACAGGGCCGGGAATTTTTTGGGGTCGCGCCAGGGATTGGCTTCTGGAGGCTTTTGGTTAGGGGCTGGGGTGTGCGTGCTGGGCGCTGGTGATGTGGCGGTGCGCTGGGTGGCTACCTCGGTATCCTACCTATACATCTAGAGGTTAAGAGAAAGAATAAGTAATGTTTATCCATATATACTTATATGCCTATATAAGTGTTTATGTTTATTGATCATGACTGTTGTAATTTATGGCTACTCATATCTGGGCGTTGACCTAGAGCCTGGTTTACAGCTGCCTTTAAATCATGGCTACGTTTTTGTTTTTGTTTCGCGTTCAGCATATGCTGTTTGTTATAGCGGGCTTACACCAAATAGAAGATGACTTTATGGAGTGAAACATCGGATTGAGCTTTTACGCCTTATACGTAAGAGGGATATTTGGATAATTGCCTGGTTCTCTTGCGCAATGCGATTCTTGATTCCTTTTCACTTCAAACGCTAAGGAAGATGCTGGGCATTGTGAAACAAGCCTCTCTTGGAGATGTTCCGCGAGAATTGGAGAACTTGTCATTTCATCCCCCTTTCCTTTGAGAAAAGAAATTGGATGAATAGGAATATGAGTAAAGCAATAAACATTTGCGGAAAGCCTATTATATATCACCTAATGCAAGACGATTCGCCTTGTATCTACGAGCCTCAAATGCTATGGAGCCCAAAAATGGTTGTTTTAGTGCCACCTGTGTGCTGTGGCGCAGAAAAGTTAGGACGTGGCCCGTGCGGCTTCCCGATTGATTTTATCTGCAGCTCCCAAACTCTTGAATAAACTATCCGCCCCAGACCATAGAAAAGTTCTTGGGAAGCGCATCATCTCGCCCACGCGTCCGCTTCATCTCCTTTCCACGCCCAAATACAGATCGGTCGCCAGTATATCTCATTACGCATCACGGCTTCTGATTCCCTCCACTCGGCTTCACGCGATACAATGGCGTCAGCCGTGAGTGACGTACCGCGCCGCGAGCGCGGAATGCCACGAGATGGCGATTTCTATCGTCCTTCGAGAGACGATCGCTCTCCATCACCTGCGCCTCCCGTGCGGACTGAAGAAGAGAAGCAAGCGGCGGCAAAGGCCGAGTACGAAAAACTGCTAAACATGCGATCGGGAGGAACGTACATCCCCCCGGCGAGGCTCAGAGCGCTCCAGGCGCAGATCACGGACAAGACCAGCAAAGAGTATCAGAGGATGGCGTGGGAGGCGCTGAAGAAGAGTATCAACGGTCTGATCAACAAGGTCAACACTGCCAACATCAAGCACATCGTTCCCGAGCTCTTTGGCGAGAACTTGGTTCGGGGCAGGGGCCTGTTCTGCCGATCCATCATGAAAGCCCAGGCTGCGAGTTTACCCTTCACGCCCATCTACGCGGCCATGGCGGCGATTGTCAACACGAAGCTTCCCCAGGTCGGTGAGCTGCTGATAAAGCGCCTGGTTATGCAGTTCCGCAAGGGCTTCAAGCGAAACGATAAGGCTGTCTGCCTCTCCGCGACGACGTTCCTCGCACATCTGATCAACCAGCAGGTTCAGCATGAGATGCTGGCTGGCCAAATTCTTTTGCTGCTCCTGCACAAGCCGACGGACGACAGTGTTGAGATTGCTGTGGGATTCTGCAAGGAGGTAGGGCAGTACCTGGAGGAGATGCAGCCTGCCATCTCGATGGCCGTATTCGATCAGTTCCGCAATATCCTCCACGAGTCGGACATCGATAAGCGAACCCAGTACATGATTGAAGTTCTTTTCCAGATCCGGAAAGACAAATTCAAGGAGAGCCCAGCCATCAAGGAAGAGCTGGATTTGGTTGAAGAGGAGGACCAGATTACACACAAGGTTGAGCTTGATGGCGAGGTTGATGTTCAGGACGGGCTCAACGTTTTCAAGTTTGACGCCGAGTGGGAAGAGCACGAGGAGGCCTATAAGAGACTCAAGGCAGAAATTCTTGGCGAAGGCAGCGATGATGAAGACGACGAGGATGGCGAGGACGAGAGCTCCGAGGAAGAGGAAGACGAAGAATCAAAGGCTGTGGAGATCAAGGACCAGTCCAACGCCGACTTGGTCAACCTTCGAAGGACCATCTACCTAACCATCATGTCGAGTGCCGACCCAGAAGAAGCAGTTCACAAGCTGATGAAGATCAACCTGCCTGCCGGTCAAGAGCCGGAGCTGCCGTCAATGATTGTCGAGTGTTGCTCCCAGGAAAAGACTTACACCAAGTTCTTCGGCATGATTGGTGAGCGCTTTGCCAAGATCAACCGTCTGTGGTGCGACCTCTTCGAGCAGGCCTTTGCAAAGTATTACGAGACTATTCACCGATATGAGAACAACAAGCTGCGAAACATTGCAATGCTGTTTGGTCACATGTTTGCGTCCGATGCTCTAGGCTGGCACTGCCTTGGCGTCATTCACCTCAACGAAGATGAGACTACGTCCAGTAGCCGTATCTTCATCAAGATCCTGTTTCAACATATCTTGGAGGAAACCGGATTGCCCAAGCTGAGGGCACGCCTGACCGACGAAACTCTGCGACCTAACCTCGAAGGCATCTTCCCCACGAATAACCCCCGCAACATCAGATTCTCCATCAACTACTTTACCAGTATTGGCATGGGTGTCTTGACCGAGGAAATGCGAGAGCATCTTCAGAACATGCCCAAGCCTGCGCTCCCCGCCCCTGTTGCTCAGGACCGCTCAGATGCAGAATCCGTTTCGAGCTATTCATCTTATTCTCGCTCGTCATATTCTTCTCGCTCACGCTCCAGGAGTCGTTCTCCGGCTCGTTCTCCGGCTCGTCGTGGTGGTGGCGGACGAGGGCGATCGCTTTCTCGAACGCCCTCGAGGCGTGGTGGCAGGGATCGATCGTACTCGGATTCACGGTCTCGCTCACGGTCACGGTCTCTCTCCCGCTCTCGCTCTCCCTCCTATTCTCGTTCCCGATCACGCTCACGCTCACGCTCACGCCCACGCCCTCGCCCCCTCTCGGCATCCCGATCTCAGTCTCGATCCCGATCTGGTTCTGCTGCCTCTCGTGCTCGTGGTCGCGGCCGCGGTCGTCCTCGCTCTAGGACACCTTCTCGCAGCCGCAGTCCGCCAACGAAGCGAAGGCGTTCCGTTTCGTCTTATTCTTCGGGATCCTATTCCTCTCGCTCTCGATCTAGGACACGTTCTGTCAGCCGTAGTCCGCCGATGAAGCGTGCGAGACGGAGGGATTGAGGATTCTTCTTGAACTTACGTTTTATACCTTTGGATGGGATATGCATAGATGGAATAAAGGGAAATTAATTTGATTTTAGCGATGGTTATGGAAAATAAATTGATCCATTTTCTCTACAGCCCATATCCTCTTTTACTTGATGTGAATATTACATGCACGACTTATATGCCTGGCTATCGTACAAGGCTTTGGTTGAACAACCACTCGATCTAGGCTTCATCTATTTGATCTAGCCACACCCTGTATCTCTTGTCACTATGCTGAGTTGATCCCCCACCACGTTATGCTATCATATTATATCTTGTCTTTTAGGTCTTTTAGTGCAAAAATTTTCGCTTCTGTCAAAGGGGGCAGCTATGAAGACGCATCAGAAATCTTCAACGATGCGTCGGATGCCCCGATACACGTCCACAGCAGCTGGTCTGCCGTCAGAGTTCCCTCCACTTTCACAGTCTGCTTCTCCCCGGGAACGATATCAAAGCCGTTGTCACTCAGCTTCAAGCCCTCCACCTCTTCAAAAACGAATCCTTTGACGGGCTTCTCAGCAGCAATGACAATTTCATCCTTTGCGGCAGAAACCTCGAATGTGATGCCCCGGTTGGATAGGTCGAGGAACTTGATGGGGTCGGGCCATGCGGTGTCTGTTGCGATGAGGGCGCCGGTGGCAGCGTCCGTGATGATGGCGTGGACGACGTATGGATCGTAGTCGGAAACGGAAAAGGGTTTGGTAAGGTCGTCGGCGTTGGGGATTGAAGGCGGGAGTGCCTTGCCTTGGAGAATGTCGGTTGTGGAGTTGGCAGAAGCGGTGATTGTTGACTTTATGGGGTCGGAAACGTCTTTGCCTGAACGAACGGAGATGAAGCGCACAACGACGTTCAAATCGACGGGCTTTGTATTGCTGCTGACGACCCAGACGTCAAATGTTCCCTTGCGAGCAGGCAGAGTCTGGTCGACCTGGCCCGTGACGAGACCGGAGTTCTCGTCAACCCAATATCCTGTCTGAGTCCAGTCGTGGAACGTTCTGTGTACGCCCACATCGATGGATCGCAACGCTCGGGAGATGGCGTAGTATGCGGGCTTCTTGATGAGGTAGTAATCCACCACAGCCCAAGACATGGTCGGCCAGCAGTCGTTGAGCTGCCACACAAGCACGCCGCCGCATTGCCGGGCGCCAGGCTTGCCCCATTGTCGCCGCCAGGCCTTGTACGCGGCGCGCATCGTCTCAGACTGCACAATTTGCGTGAGATGGGTGTAGCCGCCGAGATCGTGGCGGGGCCTGAAGTTGTCCACGACGTAGCTCATCATGCGGCGTTCGTGGCCAATGGCCTTGTTATGGAAGTCGAGGACCATGGAGCCGGGGTAGAGCTGGGCGGGATCGCTGGCCATGCGACGGGTGGTGCTGAGATGAGGATACGCTTCCATGCCGAACTCACTGACGAAACGGCCGCCCATGCCGACTGCTTCTTGGTATTTATTCATGGCACCGTGCCAGACTGATTGGGAAGATGTTAGTCAGTTGATATCAACTTTCTCAGACATGTTGGAGGCTTACTATTCCATTGGTGGATGTCGCCAACAGTTGGGTCAGCGGTGGGCTTTCCATCACCCCAGGGGCTGCTTGGGTGATAGATCTTGCCTGGATCTTCCTCTTCGACCAACTTTGGCAGGAAGTGCTCATAGATGTACCGGGCCGGGAACGATGATTTGAGCCATGAGTCTGGGTCTTTGTTTTCAAAGTCATAATCCAGCTTATACCTCTCCTGGACCTGGTAGTCTTCGTTGTTTCCTGCCCAAACCATCACAGATGGATGCGCTCGCAGACGTCTAATCTGCTGTCTCGCCTCTTCTTCCAGAGTCTTCAGGTAGGATGGGTAAGCAGGATAAGACGCACACGCGAATTGGAAGTCGTGAAACACCAAGATGCCAAGCTCGTCGCAGGCTTCAATGAGTGCATCTTCTTCGTACACGCCACCTCCCCAGACTCGCAGCATGACTTGGTTGCCCTCTGCCATAAGCTTGGCCCACTCATAGTAGCGCTCAGGGGGAACACCGGCGAGGTAGCTGTCTGCTGGAATCCAGCATGAGCCGCCAGCGAATACATCAACGTTATTGATGCGGAAGTAGAACGATTTGCCATGTGCGTCTACTTCTTGAACCAGTTCTGTGCGACGGAAGCCAATCAGCTTTGACTTGCTGTCGATCTCGTTGGAAGTAGAATTCTTGTTCTGAAGCTTAGCTTGAAGGAGATACCGGGGCTGGCTTCCATATCCCTTTGGATACCAAAGTTCCGGATTTTCAAGTGTAAAGGGAACTTTGATTAGCCCATCCTTGGCCAAGGCAGAGTCCGTAACATCGACTACCTGCTGGAACACTGTCTGGCCATCCAACGATAACGATATTAAAACTTGGTCATCTTTGCTCAAATTGCCGGTCACATGAGTGACAACAGAGCCCGAAACAGATTTCAGATCCTCGCTGACTTCGTTTTGAGCCCAGATATCGTCAATCCTTGTAACGTACGTCTCGAGAGTGACGGGCTTCCAAGGTCCCGCTGTCATGAGAATTGGGCCCCAGTCCCAGCCCCAGTTGTACTGAGCCTTGCGTACCGCGACACGACTCCTCTCAGTCTGCCTGACTAGGAAATTGTGCTCATGGCTGTGCTCTTTGATGAGCTCTTCGCCTTTAGCAATGGCGGAGCGGAAGACTATACGAAGCACATTGTCGGATCCGGGTTTGATGCGGTCTGTGACATTGACGCGGTAAGACACAAACATGTTTTCCGTCTCTAGTATCTTGTCATCGTTAAGATAGACTGTTGCGAATGTGTCAAGACCACTGAAGACGAAGTCTCTCGTGACATTTTCACCCTCAGTAGGCTCAGGTTTGAACGTAACTTGGTACTCCCAATCTTTGTCGCCAATCCATTGAACGGCGCGTTCATTCAGGTCCACGAAGGGATCTGGGATTCTAGTTTTCTGTTAGTTCCATAACATATCCAGATATCTCTCCATGAAGACGGGTTGTTGTCTTTGAAAATCATCTATAGGATATAGAGGCATACTTTTGGTTGGCCAGCAGATCAATATGAACCTGCGTCGGTACTTTTGCTACCGACAGCCATTCTGCAGAAGGCCCTTGGTGCTGTCTAAAAGTCCAGCCGCTGGTGACCTGAGTGCTTTGGAGAGACATAATGAAGAATATGAAGAATGAGCAAGATGATGATGCGCTGCGATAAATAAATAATCCAGGCTTTCGAATCTAGCAGAGCGACTTAGATCAGATCGCCCTTGAAACGCATACGCTCTTATTCTTCTCTCCGCTCAACACCACGCTCAATATCGGGAATGTTCATGAACAGGGAAGAGTCCAGAGGAGCAGAGCCAGAGAACACTTTAATAAAAACAGTGCAGCACTGGCTCCTGTCCATCCAAAAGCTCCATCTTGGCCTCCGCCATTGCCTTCAAGCTTATTCCTCCCCCCACGAGAGCGAGACCCCTCCCCCACTTTGCGGGGAGCAGCCGAGAGAGCTTCATGGCGGCCGAAAAGCGGCTTTCAAGAGTGAGACAGAGTATAGGAAGGGCGTCTTGGAGCATGATGGGGGAGCAGAAGTTGGCCGGTTCGTGGGGCAGAGTTCCACGTGCTGTTTAGGCAAGTGTAGGCCCCGGGCCTCTAAATTGAGCTCATCTTTGTACACGCTCCTCCACTGTAGCACCTGCGAGCCCAGTGCCTCAAGATATCGAGAACTGAGAGATTGAATCAACTTTCGAATGCCTGGATGACACGTCGTCTAGACCCAAATCCGTAAAGTATTTTTTTGCAGTACTCAGATGCAACTTTGTACCTTTTGAAATCTGCCTTCTCATACGACGGCTTCACCACATGTCCCGTCTCGTCTTGGCTAGAAGCGGCTATTTCGAGCGTCATCGGCCAGCTCGTAGTCAGTCTTGGCTTCGGCGAGCCTAAGAAGCCCACTAGAAAAGGTCCATTTAGCGGTGCCACAGTGGATAGTGACCCAGCTTAGGGGCTTTTCGGGGGCTGAGATAACACAACCCCCCACGGTAACGAGTTCAACGTTGCCGTTGAGCTTCAACTGCTAGAAGAAGATCATGCTTCCATTCCTCTATTGTTGTTGTCAAAGAAACAATTGATTTAATTAAAAACTAAAAACTAATCAATCTTGACCAACATCATTTTAGTATAGCCGTCGAAGCAACGCGGTCGGTATGCAATTGAACGCCGTGTATCATGTTCATCATACCGCCAGGCAAACCTCACCACCAGTGTAATATCCGTCCGTCCATCCGTCCGTCCATCCCAAAACGAACACTTGTACAGGTTCAATTCAAATTCCCTCCCATGGCCCTTATTATAAAACATTAAGCTCAAACATAATCTTATTCAGCAACGGCCTGAGAGTCAACGTTGTGCATTTCTTTGGGAAACCAGCAGTTTTCCAGATGGCAAGGCTCCCTTGGGCACTTGTGTCCGGCCACACAATCTGTCTGGCTGCAGCTTAGCCCATTCAAGCACGGAGACTGGCGAGCAATAGCTCGCAAGGCTTCCAGTCGTTGGCCCGTCAATTTTTCTCCATGGACGTGATGGCATTTGCCAAACTTTTCAAGGTAGTAACATTTGCCCAGGATATGGAAATTGTTGCAAAGCTTCCGGTCTTTCAAATTCGAGAAATCAGATTGCAAGTATGAAAGCCGCGAATCCACTCTCTGTCCAAATTTATTTCGCAATATGACCCCTTGGGGAGGCACTTTGGGTTCTGCGTAGTATAACTGGACCGGAGCGCTCTGAGCTGGGCTGCTAGGCACCTTTGCAACGGCTGCAAAGTTGAGCGGAGTGTTTGGAAACATGGGAGTTCCTGGCGGCGTGATATGGAACGAGGTCCTGCGGTTGGCTTCGCTGGGAAGCTTCAGGCTCCTAAAGATGCTGTCCAGCGTAATATTATAGAATTTGTCCTTTATTGCCGCCAGTTCGTACGCAAAAGGGGGGCCTGCCATCAGCGTGATCCGGTCTCTGATTGTCTGGTCTTCAAGGAAAGAGTCGAAAACTCGGGCGTATCCGTTGTCTCCTGGTCCACCAAAAAACACTTGTTTGCAATGACTATCATCAAGGCCAAATTTCATAGACGCTGTATATTATCAGCTTCAGGTAATCATCCATGGATCTTTCAGTAAGAGGAAGAAAGAGAGAAAGGAAGGAAGGAAGGGAGGAAGAGTATATAACTGCGGAAGCTTACCTTTTATCTTCTCATCGGCACATTCTTTGCCACACCCGGCGTCGATAAAATCGCACATAGGGTGGACCGTATTAAATCCACGAACAAACTCTTCAAACGATGCCGAGTCAGGCATAAGTTCTCTATATTTCTTGCTTAACCCTTTTAAATTCGCATACACACGAATCACCACTTGGACGTTCGTTGGAACAGATGGATATCTCGTCTTGATATCCTCGGCTATTGCTTTTCTAAGGAGACCAGCTGCCCTCTTGCCTCCCGTGAGACCGTCTCTAGCGAATTCGTCCTGAAACTAATGCGATTCAGAAGAGTCAGAGCAATTATATCACGAAAGAATCCTAGAACTGTGCCCACTTACCGGCATATTGTCGCCATCAATTATAACCATACTAAAAACATGATCATCCTACACAACTGTTAGGTCGCTTCTCACTGGCCAGTACTATTCTAGGTTCTCACATTTTTGCGTCGTAAATCTTCAATCTGTTTTTCTGCAAACTCAAGTTTTGTACGCTTAAGTTCAAGCATGTCTTTTCTGTCTCGAAGGTCCATATGGGCTTCGGCAAGCTGCCCCGTCAAATCACCAATATGCTTGAAAAGGTCCTAAAAAAAAAGACATTAATCTGTGCGTCATTAACAATATTCTGACAACCGAAAAGTCTTGTCTTACCGAGATCAATGCAGCCTTGCGCTCATCCTCTGCCATCACTGAATTCCGCTGCTCCTCCAGCCTCCGTAACTGGTCTAGATTTTCCATCTCCAATGCTTCACTATTCAGTCAGTAGCAAAAATAACACACATCTCAAGGAAGATGCATGGTTAACCCAAGTGAATGAAAAGGCAAAGGTCGACTTTATATATATACATACCGGATTGCCGGAGCAGACCCCTTCTTGAGATTTCGCCCCTGGGGTCGTGATTTGGCCACATTAGTGGCACTCACACGGCATTGCGCTGGTCGAATAGCAGCACGACATGTCGCAACGCAGGAACTGATAGAGCAGCGAATGCCCAATCGAAGGGTGAGAACGGTGAGGAGAACCTGTAGGTCGACAGACACGACACGAGAACGCGATTTTTCATGTGAAGTACAGCCACCGCTCAGCCAACCTTATCCGGTCAATGCAGTGGACTTTGGTTGCATATGTCGCTACCAAGTATTGAAACTAGGAATCTGGAAACTCGCTTCCACTTACTTAGCTGTGAGGGTGCATACGCACTTGCATATTGCATGCCTCGGACACGGCCCCTGTTTTCCTCATTTCTAAGAGACTTGGACGATCGACAGCCTGACACGGGGCATGCGCACGCATGCAGCTCGTAATCAGTGCATGCCTGGCTCTGGAGTGCCACATCCTCCGACGGCTTGTAGTATGTGTGAAGAACTAGGTATGCAGGCCGATTTGGCGCTCAATAAGTGGAAGCCAAACATGCAGTGGGACAATCGCAAGCCCCCGCCCACCCATCTCATGTCATTGGAGTCAAGTTCGTCGTAGGTTTTAGGATACTAGTTTGCCGGAACAGGATCCCATTGGCTAGCATATGCTAAAGGAGGGAAAGCCCGTCCATGAGATCGTATATATGTCGAATGCCGTCTAAGTCAAACCTTCGGAAGCTGCAGCCGTGAAGATCACTAGACGAAATATTGTCGTTGCTTTCCTTATTTTATTTCAACTTTTGTTGCTTGTTCTCGTCATGAATTCGATAATCATGCTATATTCAACTTCTTCGTTCTTCTCCTCGTCGATCGTACAATTTAAGTACTGCTCAGAGATCTCGCAAGCTGGACATCTTCCGCGCTCGGAAGAGGGCCTCGAACACATTTCCGACTTCACCGGCCGACTAAGCCTAGAAAGGGGGTTTCTGGGTGAGTTTATCGAATTTCTTCAGAGCTCTAGGGCTAACGCCATGTTAGTAATGAACATTTCGCCAAGTTAATGTGATGAAAACTTGACAGAGTCAACACAAGCCTCGAAACAGCCATGGAACAGCCATGGAACAAAAGATATGTTCAATCCAATGAAGAACCCACCATTTCTGAGAGACTCAAGACTAATGCTCACGGCGTCTGCATTCAAAGACGTGGATCGACAGGCTTACCCACCTAGAAACTAGCTTCTTGTCCTCAAAGACAACTTGCAAAGCATTCTCAGGTAAAAGCTACTTGACACGAATTGCTCGTCCATCAGAGCCTCGACCAGACGACGAGATTGCCACCGCATCCTCAGTTCGGCATGCCTGCACGCCTTGTTGGGCGGCTACCTCGATTGCGACGTGTATTCCGTGGGCAGTCATGGCTCGAGAAACATACCTTCATTGCATCGGTCGCAGGCTGTAATTGGTGAAAATGAGAGCATATTTTAGTCGCATGGAATCTGGGATAAAAAGTGGTGAAGCGGTGACCCAGGATAAGGAAAGCACGGGACTGTATCCCGATATTCCGGCCCTTGGTCCTCATTTCGCGATGCCGTCACTGCACCTCATTCTCACTCTTTCACTTTCAGCCATCCCACTTGCTACCATTTCCCTTGCAACGGTCTCAAATTAATCTATAAGCATATGGATCGTTACATACGGCTATGGTGCCGGATCCGAGTCTCAAATGGCACACGATCTCTCCAGCTCTTATCCGCTTCCTCCCTCTAAAGGAAGTGGTTGCTGCATTATCCACTGCATGTTCTCTCCTTTTTGCATTGGTTAAATTCAGGTATATATCGACTGATCCAATCACCCTAAGGGTACGCCACTGCCAACCATCTCCTTGCAGCTATTAGCATCGTGTCGTCCTCATCCCGAGCCAACATCGGCGTTACTCTTACGCTAACAAGACGGCATAGGAAAAAGAAAAGAATGCATACACTGCTAGGGTCTACACGAGGGGCTATACAAAAACTAATGCGCTCCATCGGGCACAGTGACTACACGTATGCCTATGCGGGACACTCTCGGTGTGCCGGCATTACAATGCGGCCTTGCCACCATAATGTTTGGCCTTGCTGACAGTCTAGGAGTTTCCAATGGCTATCTAATCTATGACAGGGTAATGTCTTTGCTAACCTGTTTCCTGATCATAGAAAATCCAATATCAATCAAAAGCAATGAATGTAATTCGAATGACGGAGGCAAGCAACGCGTGGGTGCGAGATTGCTTCCCAACCGCCGGACAGCGCAACCACTCACTACAACGTGCCTGCAAACAGCTGCACGAATCAAGCACCAATTTGCCTTCAGAGGCGGACCCGCGGGCGAGTTGGTTGCTGTGCATATATATCACCTGCATGCAGACCGAAATGCTCATTTTCACCGGCCGCCGCTTCCTGCGTGGACAGCTGGCAGTGCATAATTGGAACGCCTACCACTCGGTGCATGATTAACCTGCGTTTCCTTTTTCCCGCCCTCCCAGCCTCAGGTTTACCTTTCACGGAATTAGCAAGCACTTTTGTAAAAATAGATCCTAGAGAACGAGGCGAAAGGGGAAGCATCATTGTATAATGAGGTACTCATTTGTGCGGGGGAAACCGCTCTGCCTTTCTCCATGGTCTGGGTAAGCATTTTGCCTTGCACATCCAGCACACCCATTTGCAAAACAGTCTTATGCATGACATATGTATACTAATGTCTAGCCCGGAGGAAAAGATCCAACAATTCACGACCGAGAATACCATCCAAACAGTGACTTTGTTCTGCGGGATACCTGCGATGGCTCCGCCGCGGCCGTCGCCGGCTTCTTCCTAGCAGCAGCAGGCACAATGTGCCTAATGTTGTGACACACACCACAAATGATGGTGGCCATGGGAAAGTAGGCAGGTTTTCTATGGCCACCATCATTATGGGCAGATAGCTAACTTTTATAATCATACATCTGTTCCTTATGGTCCCTAGCTGCAGCTATTCAAGCAATCATAAATCCCATTGCAGCTGGCAATCTATCCGCCCATTTCCAGGGTGCGAGTGCAGTGCAGCAGGAGCTGGGCTAATGACTGTAGCCACAAGCATCCACGATTCTGACGCAACAGTGGTTGGCAGTGTACGAGGATAAAAATCAAATTTGAAAAAGTTTTTTGTCTTCAAAGGAGGTTGCAAAATAATGGACGACTGGTTCATATATACTGATAACAAAGAGTACCAGCCTTGTCTGTAATACCAGAGAAATCGCATTAGCTAATGTCTACTTATATTTCCCGTCTAAAATGCTGTGAGGCTTTCTATATCCCTCCACGAATCTTCATCCAGAGACGAGTCCATCTCTTGATGCAATCTCCTGTTTTGTCTGTTGCTCTACCTCTGTCTCTTTCTTGGCTTCAACCTGTCCATCCCCATTCTTCTTGTCATCTTCAGCCTTCTTCTCATCACCTTCAGTCTTCTTCTTTTCCTCAATCTTCTCTTTGCCGCCCTTGTCCTTCTCCTTCTTCAACGTAATAGCCCCCTTGGCCAGCGCCTCGCTCGGCAGCGGCCGAATAATCGGCTGAGCCACCCACCAAGGGCGCTTACACCTCTTAATCGTCCCCAGCGAGCTCTCCTCCTCAGGCACGCCCTCGATAGCCCTCTCGCCGACCTTTTCCAGCTCCTCCTCGAAGCTCTTGCCCTCCGTCTCCTCGTACTTCAGCAGGCCCTCGGCGACCCTCTTCTCCACAGCGGCGAGAACCCTCTCGTAGCCGTCGATGCCGTCCCTGCGGGCCCGCGCGAGCTGGTCCCTGATGTCGGTGTGCTTGGTGACGAAGTGGCGCAGGACGTGGAACAGATGCGGCTGCAGGGCGGAGATGTTGGGCGACGAGTTGAGAGCCTTGTCGTCTTCCTTCTTTCGCTTCTTCTTTGCCGGCTGGTCTGCATCTTCGGAGTTGCTGCCGTTCTCGCCTTCTGTCAGCCAGGCGGTGTCGTCGCCTGGTACGAAGAGCGGTCGTCGCCGCGGAGGATCGGCCTCGTAGACGTATTTGTGTAAAATATCCAGGTAGCGCCTCGTGATGGCGTCGACTCGCCATCCGCCTTTGCCATCTTTTCCCCTCCAGTACTCTCTGCTCTTCTCTTCGGGGGGTGGTGGGTTGCCGAATAGGCCGGGGTCGCTGAGGTTGCCTTCTGCTGACATGATGCCATCCGCTCCGGTGGCTGCCAGACACTTTTCCAGATCGCCATCTTGTAGGATGTTTCCGTTTGCAAAGATTACAGTCTCGGGCGGCAGATTGTCTCTGAGGAAGCGAATCATTTCCCAATTCGCAACGCCAGTGAGGTGACCCTTTTGCTCTCGTCTTCGGCCATGCACAGTCAAGATGGAAGCTCCAGCACTCAGCACATTCTTTGCGTATTCCAGTGTCTTCTCCTTCGTCTCCAACACGCGAATCTTAGCCGTGACCGGGATCGAAAGCTCCTTGTGCAGTATATTGATCAGTCGAAAGATGAGGTCCTGGTCCTCCTGGAGAAACGCTCCGTAGTGGCCCTTTCGCGCAATGCCCTGCGGGCATCCCAAATTCAGGTCCACGGCATCGCAGTACGGCGCAACGTGCTTCGCCGCAGAAAGCAGCGCCTCGGGATCATTTGCGCAAAACTGAACAAAGAGAGGCCGATCAATCTTTGGGTTTCCGTCCAGCCACGGCTCTGAAGATCCCGCCCGCACAGCCTGGTAGTGTGCCTTTCGATATTTTTCGTCTTGTGAGAACAGTCGCGCGTGAAGCATCGGCGTGTAAGCTAAGAGCTTGGACTGCTCCGAGGGCAGCAAGAAGGATCGTGTGAGCAGTCGCCAGGCCTAGACAAGAAAGCAAAGAGAGTTAGCCAGTTTCACTTCTAATCGCAAACCGCCATTTGAGGGAGTCAAGCAAGACAAACAAACTCAGATTGATCCACCATGGGGGCCACGATAAACTTGGGACTCCCAATGCTCTCGTAAAACGCCCGTCCATGGAGCTTCTTGGGAGGCTCGGCGCCCGTCGCCGCCTCGGTGGTGGTCATGGTCGCAAACCCTCGAAAAGTATCGGGAACGGCAGAGAATCGAGGTCGAAACAGCAATCGATAAGCCGGAATCTTTTCAAGCGGACGCTGCCACATCAAGTACTTCGGAGAAGCACTGCGCGTATAGGCTAGTCTTGTTCGTACAAGAAAGCAATGCTATATGGATCAACGTGAAAAGAAAAAGAAATACATCCGGAGGTTTGTTTTTTTCCTCCTAGCCAAAAAGGACAGGAAAAAAAAGTAGCCAACGACGGGATGGCTTGAAGTTTACTAACATGGCGGGGCGCCTTGATACACTGGCAGCTGATTAATGGGCACCAGCACCAAAGACGCCACGGCTATGATACTGTCATATACTAATCAGTAATGAGACACTATTAGTTTACCAAGTTATTGAAATATATATCGTACAGCACACTTGCGCTAGTATGTAAAATCAATGTTATCAATCAAGATTCCAGATCTTCGACGCTATGCAAAATGAGCAAAAAGTGGGATTACCCATTTTTGGCAAGTCCATTATATGAAATTAAAAAACCTGCGAGGCAAGGATTGATGAAGAATAGTCAAAGCTCTTATTTGCTGTCAAAAGGAGATGCCGGATACATCACGCTCATAGACTAAATCCAGCTATAGAAACATGCTTAAATGAAACAACAGAGAAAAAAGACACAAGTTGCCGGCCTATATTTCATCTTCCAATCGGCTGAGTTGCCATATCTAAACGTGCTCCCCTCAACAGTCAAGCCTAAGTGCTCGTCTTGCGCCAACGTGGCATCGCATCGTCTAACATGTTGCTGCTCTTCTATCCACACGGCTGAACCATAGGCTGTGACGAGGAGTTCCTCATCTTTCAATGACAACAGACGAGACCATCCGATCCCGGCTCTTCCCACATTCCCAATGGCTCAATTCTCGTGCCCCCGAGTCCAACGGAATATTAATGAGATGTATGAGTCTGTGAGGGGCTTAAAAAACCATGACTTGTAGTGAGGCAGTGTGACAAAACGCCCATGACACCTTACTATGCTGTCCCTAAACGCCGCAAATGGTAAAAGTGAAGAAATACATGGTTAGGGTTAAAAAAACCCATAGTAGTAGAGGGAGAAAAAAAATATCAGCTTTCAAGATTTCGTTCATCGGATGAGATCATCAGAAGAAATGCGTGTAAATCTTGGAGTTCTCGTGGACTTCCATTTCCTGTAGAAGATAGTTAGGTTAGCTCAGCCACAGTAATATTGAGACTCGGGTCCCGACGAACCATTTTGAAGCTGTTTAGCTCTTCCTTGATCTGCTGAGCTAGCATTGGCGTGAGCCGGTTGCACGTGGCAATCTCGCCGCGGCGGTCATACTCTTGGCTGGGCCAAGTGTCGTGGAAGATGAGGCGTGGTGAAAATGTGGCATTCCTCTTTGGGCCAGACTGAGGTGTTCCGGGCCGACTCTTTCCAAGCCGGAAAGCACCCGTGAAATAGTCTTCGGTGCCAATGGCAATGGAACCAGTTCTCTTGTGGTCATCGTTTGGTGTGCTCGGTGCGCTTGAGTTGGGTGAGTCTGTGACGGCTGGGATGTTTGGCAGGACAAGATCCGGCGAATCCGATGGGCGGATTGATGGACTCGAGGAACCTGTGTCTGGGGGTCAATTAATCACAGTGGCCGGTTGGGAACAGGGGGAAATTTTCGGACTATACGTACGCTTCAGGATGCCCTTACGAACCGCCGCCAGCACCTCTGCACGCTCTTTATCGCCACCCACAATGCTCTTCCGCGCAGAGTTATCTGTGCCTGCACTGCCTAGACGCTCCGCTCCAATTTCAGGGATCTGTGTGGCGTCCAAAGAGTTGCGCTCAAGGCGAGGGAATCCAGTGCCGCCCTTGCCGTCCTGAGGGTCCGCAGTTACATTGACACGTCGGGTCTCTGCCTCCACGGTGATCATGGAAACGGAAGCTTGGCCTTCGGTAACGGGACCATCAGCCGCGGGCACACCCACGACCGACTTTGGTCGGAAGAGTCCGACCAGCGAGCGGGTGCTCTTTTTCATACCACGGCCCATCTTCCTGATCATTATAGAGGCAGATGAAGCAGTCGATGAGATGGACAGGTTATCCGTCGACCCGCCAAAGAAGCGACCGCCATAGATGCTATTGCCAATACCGGCAGCTTCTTGTGCTTCAGCGATACGTGCTTGCTCGGCATCATAGACCTCTTCAGCTGTAGGGTCTTTACGAAGCCTGGCCGCCTCCACTCTATCAGCACCTTCACCATCGATGCCACCAGCAGCCTTTCGAAATTCAGCTGCGCTGCCAAATGAGAACGCTCGACGAAGTCTGGAAGTCTTGGTCTTTCCTTTAATAGCCTTCTCGTTGATGGTTGCGAGCTGCTTTGCCGCCGGCGATTCTACAGTCTTGGTCGAGGGCGCTGCAGCCGCTGCGGTAGCATCTCCGGTCTGTTCATTTGCCATCGTAGCGGGTTTAGATAAGGGAGAGGGACTAATCGTCCGCTTTGTTCCATCGGAAGATGAGCCTCTTGGCGGTACGGCTACTTTGAGCTGATCATTCCTGGCAGGTGCTTCGTCAGAGCCCGGTGAAGAGGGGTTACCAGTGGGGACAGTCGCATTGCGGTTGGTAAACTGCACATCAATCCCCTAGTCAGCATGCATAACTCCAAACGGCCCCCAAGTCCGCTATCATGGGGATAATTAGCGGCAATTGAAAAATGAGAACTTACCGATGCGGATCGCGAATGGCTACTTCGGCTAGACGATGCACTATCTGAGCTGCCCTTGCGGACATGCGCAGGTTTCTTCGTGGCAGGTTGAGGGGATTTTTCACCCCTGTCACTGTTCTTAGTGATGACCGCTAGCCCAGGACGAGGAGCATTCTCGGGCTTCAAAAGAGGCCGGAAGGAATCAGTGGACTGTATCGTATGGACACTACGGCGGCGCATCTTCTTTGCTTCGTCCGGAGATGGTCTGCGGTGCAATTGCGAATCGTCCATCGATGCGCCCGGAGCTGGCACAGGCGAAGCCGCGAGATTTGGAACAGATCTAGAACCGGAAGGCGCATGATACATCACGTTCTGGCTGCCAGGACTAAGCGGAGGATTCGAGCTTTGGGATCGACTATGCTGAGTGTTGGAGTTGCTTGGCCTTCGGTACCGATCAGGAGTCATCTTTGGCGTTCCGCTGGGTGACAAAGCCGGCTGTGAGCCACTGGAGGGAATATGAGCAAGCGGTGGGCGCTGAGCAGAAGCAGCATTCCTGGATTGTGACTTGACGGAGTCATCTCGTGTACTGCTATGGCTGCTGCCGTGACTGCTGCTATGGCCACTGCTATGACCGCTGCTGTGGCCGCTGCTGTGGCTGCTGCCATGACTGCTGTGGCCAGGGCTATAGGAAGGAATCAGGGCCATGTTTGTAACTGAAGGATTGGTGCGATGAGAACGTTGAACCAGGCTGGGATCGAAAGTCTGCGTTGGAATGCCGGAGGATGGACTCGTCTGATAAGCTCCATACTGTTGCCACGCCAGGCTCTGATTCAGATTCGGTGTGGGCTGATAATGGACAGGAACAGTGCTTCCCCGGTAGCCTCCTCCTCCTCTGGGTGCTGAAGTCGTGTATTGATGATGTCTGTTCGGTTGACTGGCCTGCATCATGCCGGCTGAGGGTGTTGTTCGACCCGAAAGCATTGTCGCCGTACCAGTCTGCTGCTGATACGTTTGTGTCAAAGCAGCCATAATCCTCCCCTATAGGGAACTGTGGCGTGGGAGCTCGACGAAGCAATCCTTTCTTCAATTATAAAACGATCTGGACGCGGAGTTTCGAGATTATTGGCGTTTATTCGGAGAACAAGGAGAAGGCAGCGATTTCACGATAAAATCAGAGCTGATAGTGCTATAAGATATCGGCCATTAGCTTTTGATCCAAGATGTCGAAGAACGAAGCCGTTCATTGGCAAATAGTATTACAGAAAAACAGCCGGGCAAAAAGAAAAGGTATGCAAGTGAACGAATTAAAAGGTGATCGAACCTTTTTTTTTCTTTGTGTTTTTTTCCGATGGCTGGAAACGACTCAACAGCAAACAGACGCGCTTATATCGCTCTCGATTTTCGAATTTTCGAATTTTTTTCAATTAATCGCAAAAGAAGAAAAGGCTGATATGATGATTGTATAGGAGGGCGCTCAGCGGCCAAGGGCGTTTGGGGATGCCTCGCGTCGAAATGTGAAGAGCTCACTATTACCACGAGACCACACTCGACTTATTACAAGGCAGGTGGCTAACTTGCTGAGCACGATCAAGTGTCACAAAAAGACACGCTGGACCACAACTAGCTGCCAAGACACATGGGGGTTGTGCAGATATCGGTGCTTCGTATCGAGGTAATGCTTTTCTGGAGGTCGGAAGATGGGCTCTGAGATACTACAGGCTCAGAGGGAGAAAATGACGAGTTAAAAAAAAAAGTAGAGCTTTCTAGCAGAGCCAGTCACCAGATAGTAGAAAAAACAGCAGGTGAACAAGAAAAAGGAAAGGTAAATGCACAAGACAGAGACAATGCAGTCAGGAACGTCGGCGTATGTGCAGTAAAGCGCAACACCCAATGTGGTGAAAAGAGAGAAAAGAAAACAAGTCGAAGACGGCTCGAAGACGGCGAACGCTGATGGGAAAGGGGCACGGCGAAGGCGCTGCAAAATGCTTGCTGAGCAGAGAGACAACGGCGCGAAAGAAGCAGAAAAAAGCTGGCGAACCAAGAAGCAGAATGGGGGGGAGGCTTTGGGCACGAAGAAGAAAAAAAGAAAAAAAGAAGAGAGTGAAAGTCGACGAGCCGCAATGGGTTCGATGTTGGTGGTGACGGTGATGGGCTGAGGAGAAGAGCAGCCACCCTTGAAGGCAGAAAAGTCGAAGGAAGAGAGACTGGAGCGAGCGAAAGTGACCACGCCCCCCCAAGGCACCGCGCACAGGGCACCTGGCACCTGGGAGTGGCAACGGCTGGGCTTGGCCAGAGTCAGGTTAGCGGGCTGCCAGGGGTGGAGCACGCCCCTAACCGTCCTATCTCGCGGGGCCTGGAGTTGGCTGAGGTTAGCCTGTTCGGGGGGGAGAGGCAAAGGGCTGGCAGCACATGGAGGGGACCCCCCAGCGCGCCGTCCAGCAAACGACGCCAGCTAAGTCCGGACATTGCAGCAGAAGCACAGCAGCTACGGGCCTGGCAGCTGTAGGTACAGCTGTGCGTGTAGCGGTACAAGCGCTGCATCACGTCAATAAGCACTTTGATGAGCCCGGGAGGGGCCCTGGTGCTTGCTGCGCAGTACAGGTACATGCATCAAACATTACGGGGCTTATAGGCGCTGTACCGGATGTACATGTAACTTGCACGCAGCAGAGCTCGTACCGGCGTTGACAGGCAGGGCTCAGGCCTACGCGCGGCCATCCATCGTCCATCCGCAAGAACCGACCTGCATTGCAGCGCTCTGGCCCGGACTGAAAATCTCGTACTTGCACAGCAAAGAGGCAGTTCAGCGCAGCAGCGGCGACAATCCCGGCGCCGAGGCCACAGCGTGCGAGCGGTGGTTGGGCGGGCGCAACGCACCAGGCGGCTGCGCTGGTTCCTGCACCAGGAACCAAACAGGAACAAAACAATGGCGTGTGGCCGCCGTGCAGTGTCGTTTCGTCAGAACGCCTTTTGGCCTCGGGGGATACGAAGCACTAATCGGCGCCTCCACCCCTTGGACCGCAGCCCTTATTTGGAGCTAAAGGCTAAAGGGAGAAGGCCAAGTTGTGTTTGGCAAGGCGGCTGATGTTGATTCGGGGGAGGCTCCGCTTTACGTTTCCATGGGATGGATGGAGCGCGGTCATTTAAGCTGTGGGATTGTGCTGTCAAGGTGTGCTTTATTGTCGTGGACCAAACGTGCGTTTAAACAGCACATGCCCATCATTGCCGGCCACGAATTGCTGCTGCGACTTTTAATTTTGTCGCTGCTCCATTACAATTACATTGTTTAGGTACTTACCCAAGGCACATACTTGTACGCCTACTTATTCCTACCAAGGTAAGACGGACTGCTCCGTGCTCGTCCAGCCGCCCGCCTACATCTGAGGCAACATTTGATGTAATTGCAATTTATACACCTGAGATGGTAACCTCTAGTGCGCCGATACTTTTGTACCAGGTACGCGCGCAGTAACATTGATCGCTACGGATCCGTCATCGCATCAATCCAGTCATTAAAGCATCCCCCCATCCAGAGACAGCGCAATGTCGCCTCTTCGCTTCACAGCGCAGCATAAATGACAGCAGCAAACACGAACTCTTCTGCATCAGCTGTCTTGACGCCGTATCCTTTCCTTGCCCCCCTGGACAGAGTAGTAGTCCACACATGCCTTGCTGGGCTAGGCCGAGGCGGTCGCGTTGATGCACCAGGCCCAAGTACAAGCAGCAGCAAGGGGCCGCCGGACGCGACTGATTGGGCGGTCCGCGACTCGCTGTAGCTCTAGCTCGCTACCGCATTACCCACTAGGGCCAGGGGCCTTGCCAGGGCCGCAGATGATTGCAAAGTAGCGCGACTTTGGATGGCCTCGTACGTTCATGCCGCCTCGAAGTGCTCATCTCTGGCCGGATGCAGGACCGTTGCCGCCAGGACAGGAAAAGAAGGTATGCGTCTCTTCATCTTAATTTGTTTTCGACATCGAAGCGCCTCCTATCTGGCCTGGCATGTCTCGATTTGCGGCCATCACCGCAGCTAGTCAGTCGGCTTTGCGATTTGCCCTTCCGCGTCCTTCCCCCCACGGTGGATCGACATCTCTAGAAGCAGATCCGACTCACGCAGCATCCGAGCATTCAGCACGCCTCGAGGCTAGTCGTGGCTCACGTACCAGTACCGGCCCAGCGCCAGTATCAGCACCGACCCGTCCCCAATACGATATTTCGCCCCTCCGGCCACTGGCCCTCGCTGCACTGGCCCATCATAATCTACCCATGCAACAGATTTTGGGTGCAAAATCCCATGGCGACGCTTCAATTGGGCGAGAGTCATAGTGGCACCATCGAAAAAAAACCTGACCGAGAACCTTACCTGCCTCTTTGTAATGCCGTGCTCAGACGAGGCGGGCAACAGACAGGGAATCTGCTGCCTACTGCTACCTACATTCGCGTGTAGGTGAGTACATGCAGGTGAGGTATGGAGAAAGTAGCTGGTATTACGGAATGGAGCACCCAACAAGCTAAGCATTCTCGATTTCCGATGGCTTACTCCCGACTAATACGACCTAGGAGGATTTCCTCCTCTACAGTATACAGCCTGCCTGCGTGCTTGATAGCAGACTGCTTGCCTTCTTGATTAGTTACGGCACTTGACCCAGGCCGGCCTGCGAATATGCAAGCCCGCAGCTACCCCAAGCTTCTTCTGACGAGATGAGGGAAAATAATCATCTCCACGAGCAGGCACGGGGATCGACAAGCACTAATCCTGGTGCTTTATCGCTTCTCCATGTTTTCTTCTCTTGCCCATGGATCGTGGATGCTACGGCAGAGCTCAGTACGGCTCGGCCAGAGCACAGGTGCGTGGGCCGGTTATCCATGGACCACCGCCAGCCCACACCTCCCCATGGCGCTATCTCATGCAGTAGTCCCAGGTGAGGCAATATGGCCGGCGGGATGCCTTTTTACGATATGCACGAAATGCTCAAAGAGAACGCAGAGCAGCGCCGGACTCGGGAGCCATCATGCTACTACTAGCTCACAACAACCAACATGCAGCTATCCGGAGACTGGCGAACAAGACAGGCACATATTGCATGCAGCAGCAGGCGAAGAACTACGAGAGCAATTTTTTTGCGCCCATTGATGACCGTCGAAAAGCTACTGTCGCTCGGAAATTTGAAGTCGTAAGAATGAGGATACGTGTAAATTGCACTTCTCCCACTCATCTTACCGCCACAGGGGATGGAAGCTCCATCATTTCAACCATATGATCAAAGTTTCCCTTCGGTTATCACAATCAGACAAACCTCAATGGGCGATGATCTAAGCTTTTTGCTCATTCTTTTCACAAGCTACGGAAACAAATGCTTACAAGTAAACAGACGAAGCCGAGCAGGGTGATGACGTAACGAAGATAAAAGCCCACACGGAAACTTTAATGCAGTGCGCTATGGAGTGGCATCTCATGCGACAATCATCGTATTCGCAGAGGGGGATGTGGCAGTCTCCAGAATATTCTGACCTGTAGGAGGCACTCCTCGAGCATCTGTTGGAAGAGCAACTCGAGGTCCCATAGACGATGCTCAGCAGTGAAGATTCGAGACCCTCTGCTCCACCATAGATTGAGGCCCACGTCGGTTATTTTTAGGCCGTTCCGTTCCCAATAGTCCGGAAGCTCTTAGTGGCGCAAGAAATCTCTGTTTCAATCCAAGGGAAGACTTCTGCAGCCTCCATCGCGCGGGCCCGTTCCCGTATGCTGTTGGGGGGGGGGTTCTCAGCGAGGTGGTGAGCTGTTACACGGCGCCTGGCCCGCCTCCGATATATATGCGCACACACCCGTCGTTGAAGTCGATATCACGAGTTGCATGCCCATCGTAAAAGGAAAGGTAGCCAAGAGGAACTCTGCATTCTGCAACAGGGATTCAAGGGAGATGGTACAAAGGTGCACTAGTAGCTGTAGAGTGTGTATCGATAGATGGACGAAGGCGTTCGACAGAGCTTCTTGCATGCCCCCGGCCCTTCGTATGAGGTGGGTGGCGCTTTCAACGAAGAGTAAAGGTAGATAACTGCTCACATAATTGCGCCGGTATCGTTGAAGAAGGCATACGCCAAGGCACGGGCTAATGCAGCGTCAAAAGCGCGTATCCCGCAGCACATGTGATATATAACAATATGTACGGTACAGTTCAAGCTCCTCATGGAATTCTTTGATACATGCACATATCAGGCTGGTGTCCATAACTACTGCGACATCGACTAATACTGGCAAAAGCCGGAAACGAACGGTATCTTTGCCTCCATTTCCCCAGCCCCTTGGATTTTTTCGCCCTCCAACGCGGGCCGTTGCTTTTTTGACGCCACGCAGATCAAGGGCAGCCTATAGGCTCATCGAGCTTTGGTGGTTGATCTGGCGGAGATACCCGGTTCGCCGCAGAGGTCTGAAGGATGGTTGCAACCGGCGGCGCCATGGTCCTCAACCCGCTGTTCGCGGCTTACAGTCTATTCGACACGGACTAATAGATACATTGATACTTACTGTAGCATGGGGGGAGGGTGTCGCTTGAATCTTGTTGCAGCTCTGCCAAGATCTTTGCAATAGATGTGTTTGCTGCGGTGGATTGATTGATTGATTGATTGATTGATTGGCATTGCCATGGCGTAACAAGCTTTTGCGCTACTATGTTGTTTTTTCCTATTACTATGTGTTTTACACATTGCGGGGGTTTAGACAAATTTGAGGGGAAGGTGGCATTTTGGTTTCTTGATGAAACGAGTGGGCACGGATTAGAAGCTCTGCGGCAATATCGCTCGTCTTGAAGCGTTGTACGCATTGCATGATGTAGCCTTTTTTTTCTTCTTGATTACATCAAATGTATCTACATCGTATCAACCGGCAGAGGCCAACGCCATTTGATAACCTTTACATGTGGTGTAAATCACGTATCTACCATTTGCATAACCTGCAACTCGTCCCCATGTCTGGGGGCCTAAACAGGACTAGCATGGAAGCACCACGCTTTGGTTTCACAGAACCTCAAACGAATTGAAACCGCCAGCTAATGGAGCTCGCTGGGTGCTACTAGTGAGCCATAGTGGGAGAGCTACATACAGTAGCAGGCTCAGCTCGATCCTTCGCGTCAAGGTCGCCAGGCAGACGTGCCGTATTGCTAGTCAGCGGAGCAACCTTGTGCATCATTACATGCACTGACAGCTATAGATGTATCGTGATGTTGGGGGCTGATTAAAGGCTATGCATCTATATCTCGTCTTGGACGGCCTGTCAAACACCAAAAACATACTGATGCATACATGATATCTTATCATATCTTATCTAGACAGCCCGATCCAGATATACGCGTCCACAAATAGACTCCAGGTTTGCTGCATTGCTACTTTGCTAATACTTCATCGCATCGCATCGCATCGCATCATCTCGCGTCCAGCATTTGCGAGTCCTGTTAACGGGACCCAACTTGAAGGTAGCTTGACGTCTAGTCTCTATCTCGCATCGTCTTGCTCCCAATGGCTCCCTGCCTCGCCAAGAATCACGCCCAACGATTGGAATCACTCAGATAGTCGAGGTGCGACAGCCGCGCATAAGTAGGGGACACACGCATACGCACTCCCACACCCACATACGACAAACAGACAGAGGGGGAGAGAGCCGGCATCAGTCGTCATGGTCGGAGTTCCGCGCAGCAGCGGCTGTCAGCTCTGCAGGAAGAGACGAGTCAAGTGTGACGAGGCCAGGCCGGAGTGTGGAAATTGTCGCAAGTACGGCGCCCAGTGCCCCGGCTATGAGCGAGCGATCAAGTTTGTGTCTGGGAAACATGCGATTCGAAGTAGAGGCTCTCGACTATCGCCAGCAAACCGCGATAGCAGCGCTGGTGCCGGTGCTGGCACTGCCGTGGCAAAAAGTTCGCCGTCCACCGTTTCGACCTCGACTTCATCCGTTGGGGCCACGACACCTGCGAGCGATGCTAGCACTGCTGCGGTGTCCCTGGTGGCCTCGCTTCAGCCCAATCGAGCCCTTTTTGTTGGCACGCTGATGGAGATGGCTCAGACCAGCTTGGCCTCGAAAGATGTAACTACTTTCTTGGGCTTCTTCTGCCGGCTGAGGTTCGAAGAGCTGGGGACGGTGGCGGTCCTGGATGGCGCCATTTGCTCTCTTGCCCTGCATTTGATGGGTAAGGAGCTGGCCGACGATAATCTCGTTGCTCAGAGTAGGACTGTTTACGGATGGTCTCTGGGTGCCCTCCAGGCGACATTGAGGCATCCTACAAGATGGAAGTTGTCTGAGACGTTCTGTTCTGCCGTCATGCTGTGTTTCTTTGAGGTGAGTCAGGGGTATTGGGTGTAGAGTGTTCATATGTGGTTATGGAAGGCATTAAAGCTTCTTCTCAACTTGCTGTCAAATAAAACCCAACAGAGCTTTTTTAAGCTAACATGACAATCTCAAAGCTGTTTGCTGGTACGACCGCTACGGACACCTGGTTGCGACATGCCCAGGGAATCGCCACACTGATGGAGCAACGTGGTCCTGCAGCTCATACGCATGGCAACGACGCCGCTATCTTGTTTTCTTTCCGAGGCATCCTGGTAAGGCATCCTCTCCCGAAGTACCCACTTGGTTATGTTTGTCTCCTTTGCTTTGATGCTATTGGTGGTTTGCCGTGGAAACTCTTTGTTACGAGGCCTCATTGAGCACCAATCTATTCTGTTCCTGCGTATTCCGAGCCAGTTGTCCTTGAACAATAGAGCTCCGGCTGTCGCGGACGCCTCGAGCTGAAGGACAGCATGCAGCTACCATCAAACGTTGGAAATGCTCACACTCCGATACCTTGCATGAAATTTTCAAAAGCTGACATCCATTCCCCCTTGTCCTAGATCATGAGTTCGCTGTTCTTCCCGACAAGCAGTAAATGCTTCCTGGCCCGTCCAGAATGGAGAGGAGTGCTCTGTAACAACGAGCTGGGGTCGATCTTCAGTCCCGGTGCACCGGATTTCTCGATGCAAGTGGCTAATTCGTTTTTCCTCTGTCTGGCAGATATGCCAGAGGTAATGTGGTGGGGTTATCCCGTCCGCGAGGCTCTTCTGGCCGGCAGACAAGTCAGCCCACGACGTATAAAGCAAGTTGCCGAGCTCGCAGCCGAAAAGCGCGAGCGGTTTACTGAATGGTATGAGGATTTCAAAAAGATTGGAGTCGAGCTGAAGGAAGCTCCGTCCCAGGATCCGAATTCGCCGTACCAGGTGATCCTGGAACACCCGGTGGGATGGCTTGGGTCGATGCACATGGGATATTGGGCCAGCATGTTGATTTTGCAAGAGCTGCTGATTCGATGCCAGTGGCCGGTGGACTACCAAGAGTCCCAAAAAGAGCTTGTGCATAGCATCCTACGATCCCTCGAGTCGGTAGGGAGAGGCACCATGGGACCTTTCCGCCTTGGCTACTCGATAAGAATTGTGTATGAGTTTGCCAATGTGGAAGCACAGCGGTGGATCATCACGCTGCTGGACAGGTTCTCCAAGAGATATGCGGCCACGGATAAGAATAACTATCCGAGCCCGCGTGTGGACGCGCAAGGATACTCGTGAGAGAGGAAGAGAGAGAGAGAGAGACGGTGAGCAATGGACAAACTGTTCTTTGTCTTTTTCTTTTTCTTGTTACTGAGCAGGGAGACTTTGGGTTGCAATGCAATGTACGAAGTAATACATCTACTGCTACCTACCCAGGTATTACTATTCCTACTCACATGTCGGTGCCCACTTTGGATTGAAAGGAAAGGGGTGTAGAGAAACTGCCCTAGATTGTTTTGGGTATCAATTTTCAAATGCTTCTCTGTAGACCGTAGGATGCAGGTACGGTCCATTGGTATTGAGACACTCGGGTTCACCGATGATCATGGAGGTCAGCATGGCCGAGTGACAGAGTGACAGATCAATTTGGCCAAAAAGCATTGTCTTTTATTTTTCATTCATATTTCTGTCTAATTCTGTCGATTGGTTTTTCGGGGGAGAAAGTCACGCCTCGCTGTGCTACGAGACATCTCATGACAGGGACACTAAAGGCCACGCACGCATCTGGTGATCAAGTTGCCGAGAGATAGACTTCGCTGTGATTGGCGATGCAGGTGTGAAACCCGTAAGCAGCCACGTTGATGATCCCGTATGGTTTCGTAAAAATGGAATAAAAAAAGGAGGTGGCATTAATAGAGTAGTTATCTAAGATATAAATAGCAAGCCACATAAGACGTGTCTTTCTATGTTATCACATCTTCCCCATTTGCGCCAGGTATTATGATAGTAGTTGCAGTAGTAACAGTAACAGTAGTAACGCTCGTAACAGTAGTAGTCGTATCATTAAGCCATATCGTATAACGTACTGGATGTTGCACCGATCCAGCCAGCACTGTAAGTGGTAATAAAAAATGGAAAAGTAGAAGATAAAAAGGTTAGGTCGATGAGGATTTGGCGCGCACTAATCAATTTCACATGAAAAAGTGCCCCGCTAACATACAAATCGGCTCAGCTGTCTGTCGGCCTCTTCTTTTTCTTTCCTAGAAGAGCGCGGGCAAGACCCGATAATGAGGGTCCTCCAAAGAGCAGCTGATCGGTGTGGCGGCCACAGGTTGTGTGAACGTTGACGGTGGGCGAGGACTTGATGAATCCAAAGGATGTCCTGCGCTGGGGCGAGGTGATTGATACAGCGTTTGTAGAGCTCGTTCCTACTCTCTGTTTTTTGATAGCTCTTGTTAGATGCTGCTCGTATTCTGGGTGATGTCGGCTGTGTGTCAAAATTGCGTACCTTTGTTGGAGAGAACAGCGGCGAGTCAAAAGAGTCGGTAGAGTGTTGGGAGGCGCCCATGCCGCTGAAGGAAGTGTCCAGCTCCAGCGGCGGAGGATAGGCTCTGGTGGAGCGAGGCATAGCGAATGTCGTTTGATGGGTATTATTCTCGTTATTCGTTACAAGAGGGATGTCTAAATTTTCTATTGAAGGCCCGAGGTTTGTCCAGCGCGAGAGAAGGCTTGCTTCTTGATTGCTTGTCGTGATGATAAAAAGATAGGACTGACCCGTGCCGTCAAGGCAGCTGAGGTTCTGCACGCCGGGTGCGTAAGAAAAAGGAGAACGGGAGAGCACGTCGACGTGTCGTCAAAACATGAATTGCTACGCAGACGAAAAAAACTACGTGATGGGAAGAGGAAGAAAAGAAAGGAAGGGAAAGTTGGGTTGGTCGAAAAGCTAAATACCAGGCAGCTTACACGGGATACGACGAGGATCTGGCCTAGCTCGTGTTGTTTTCCAATATTGTTTATCCTTTGTGAGGGATGGATGCATAACTGACGGCCGCGATGTGGCGGCTGACCGAATCCGTGTCAGGCCGCAGATGCAGCCGGCCAAGACCATCTGCGGTGCGACTCCCAGGCCGGCATTCCAGTCGCGTGGAGGGCCATCAGGAGTCCAGCTTGTCGGTAAAGCACGCAGACGGCCTGCACGCCTGGGCCAATCACGCCTCGATATTGCGACCGGCCATCGCAGAGGCTAGTCTAGAGTCGGCGGGCAGACGATAAGGCAGCAGGGACGCATCCTTGGGACCAGTAGCGAGAGCCAGGAGCGTCGTCGCCAACGGGTCTCGCCAAAGGGTCTTGCTCTCGGCCGTCAATTGGAGGCGTTTGCTGCCCAGCTGGCGTCATGGCGGGGGCCATTTGGCCAGTTGGACAGTTGCTCAAACCTGATGCCTTTTTTGCTAGTGTCGATCGCTCCTTTGAATGACGACAAGGGAAGGCATCTGGTGCTTGCCAGTTGCACAAGTAAGCTTAGGCACCTGATTGACGAACCTTTGACAGCCCCTTTGTTTTTGTTTGCCGGGACCCTGGGCTCCAACGGTTGCCGTAGTGGGTAAATGACCCAAAGGCTCAAATCTTGGCATGGACCACGAGCAAGACATGCTTAGAGCTCCTAGTACTAAGCCGATATACGAGTATCATGAACTAGTGTTGCTAGTAGTGGAACGGACACTATTGGCCATGTCCAGACGGGCCCTTCCGATAGCCTAGCCAACGCTATCAAGCACTAACATGAATATATTGGTCGTATTTCAGGCGAACAGCAAACTCTACACTCTATTCCGCTCTATAACGCGGGACGGCTGTCGGCCAAGAATTCGGTAGCCAAGTCTGGGCCTGTCAGCTCGGGGGCCAAAAGTAGCGGTTAGTGTGGCCTAGAACACCAAGCGATGGAATGGACTTACCAGGTACTGAAGTAATCGATGGGGACAATACCTGGCCGCCCCTTTTCCTACCACTCTGGTCGCGGCATGAGCTGCTGCTGTCGTAATAGCGGCCATGGTGGCATGAGCTGAGCCGTGGGCGAGCCAATGGCTTTCAGGCAACGCTTTCTTGGTCACTGGGAATGCAGTCATACGAGACCAAAAGATGACTCACGCCTTAGGAAGAGAGAGGGAAAAAGGGACATTTTCCACTTTTCCTATGCAGCATGAAACAAATCAATCTGCGCTCTGTGTTCAGAATGTCGAATGTGCTTGGCCTGATGCAGGGAAGAGGATGAGAAAAACAAGCTCGAATGCTGCAAATCTAAGACTGGGCTGCAGATTTTGGCCGATTCAGGGTCGGGAACTCCTACAGGTGCAAGACGGGAACAGAGCGCTGTAGACTCCACCTGCGGCTGCTAATTTAGGAGCATATCTGCCCGATAGCAGGCAGTAACTTGCAAATGTGCTTCTATCGGGCGGCTTTAGTCGCCAGGAGACGCCGATAGCCACGGGCATGCAGCTACCCTAGAGCAGCGTGGACTAGCACCAATTTCAGGCGTCGAGGCACCAACTGTTGCGTTCCACGATGCGCGCCTGGCCACCTGACTTTTAGGCGTGGGGTCCAGTAGTGGCGGTAGTGGTGGCAGTTCTTCATCAGCCCTACGGCAAGCCCAAGAATGCTTGAGCCGCATCATCTGTGCCAGGGACAGATCTGAAGAATCCGGGGAAGCTGGAAATTAAAGTGTCAAAAATGCGATGCGAACGTGGATGATGCGATGGCACCTTGATGGACATCGTATTGAGCATGTCTGTTTGCTGGTCGGCGACGTCGCCGAAATGCTGCTGATAGTGCATCTTCAAATAGAAAATATCGTGTTTGGCAATCGCGTCGTAGGTCATTCGCGTTGTAAGGGGAATCTCAATCATGTCAAAGGGCTCTTGACGCCTGATTAACAGCTTATTTGAAGCCCTGGTTGCACATCGTCATTCATGGGTCGCTTTTTGTGGCCTTGATATTAGCGGGCCCCTGGATTGGAGAAAGCTGGATCTTGGAATAGGGAAGTGGCAGAGGGAAAAAAAAAGCTCGGGCCACTCTCGGCTTGGCTCGCGCCGCAGTGGCTGCACGTGAGGAGGCAACCTCCAGTTTTCCTCAGCGCTAATGGGTACTGCTAGCTCTCGCGACGCGCGAAGTCTCGTTGTCCAGCTCGATTTGCGACCATCGCTGCATTTCTTGTGTGCCAACCCGAAGTCCCATCCCGGCGCACCTTATCGACACGACGTCCTTCGAGTGCAGATTCCGGCAAATTTGCGGTGCGCATCTTCTCTGGCCAGCTGTCGACACCGGGTTTTGCCCACAGTGGGTGTGTCATTGCGCGATTCCATGCACGCTTTAGATTACGATCGTGCAGTGTTATTCATGGCCTAGGTAAGTCATTCAAGCTGCCAAGACATGAATGGGCTGGGCTATGTTGTCAATGCAGCTTGAAATCAAACTGATCAGCAGCTAATATTTGAATTTTTGAGCTGCAGGCCCGAATAATACTCATCCGAACACACGCAGTCTATCTGTCGTTGCCCGTCAATTATCTGCCTGCATACCACCAAACAAAAACCACAGGGTGCGACAAGATGGTTAGCAGCAAGAGGAAGAGAAACTTGGAGGATTTCGACCCTAATAAGTCCGACTCCGAGGACGAAAACTTCGATCCGACAGAGGCAAGACCGAGTCGAAGCCTCAAGAAAACCCGCCAATCTAGAGGTGCCAAATCGGGCCAAAAGCGGACTAACCGATACCGTGGATCTGACATTGATGAAGACGAAGAAGAGCTCTCCGATAGCGACGAAGGCTCATTTGTCGAAGCGACCGAAGAGTCAGAGGACGAAGATGCCCCTAGAAATGCTGCCGGGCGGAAAGCTAGAAAGGTAGCAGTCAAGCAGCAAAACTACAAAGAGAGCAGCGAAGACGAGGATGAGTTGGAAGAAAAGGTGGAAGACGAGCAGCCTGACGAGCTCGATGACATTCCTCTCAAGTCTGGCAAGCCTGCCAAGACTGAATCCGAACCGAGGAGGCTGGTCAAGCTCAAGGTCCCTGGTCCAGCGTTAGCCCAGACACGCCGGACCAGGGCACACACTGAAGATGCAGAAGACTTCGTGGAGCTATCTACTTCTGGTCGACATGCCGTCGTATCTCGAAACTCGCCAAGCAAGAGCCCTGAAACAATCACGCGAAGCGGCAGGGCTACTCGTGGCATGAAGGGCGTCAAGACCGCTCCAGAGCCAATTCAAGAGGCGTCTAATGAAGGCAGCAGCAGCTTCCGCAATGTAGATGATGCCGATGCTCCTGATGAGCTCTCGCAAACACCGGCTAAAAGGAAGCTTGAGGACATTGACTCTGACATGCCAGATGCTGCTAAGGAAGCTGATGAGGCCCAAGAAGAAGAGGATCCTGTCGACGAGATCGCTGCTACAAAACAAGTTGAAGCCGAAGCCGAAGACGACGACGACGATGACGACGACGACATACCTACTACTCGGCGAACAAGGAGTGCTCGTGCTGCTGCTTCCTCGGAAAATGCTGTTGAGACTACTGAGGCTGTCGAGGCTGAAGCTGTGGCCGAAGCTACACCGGAAGCTAGCGGCATCCGTCGGTCTGGCCGACTGACGAGGGGCTCCAAGAAGTCTACCACAGAACATAGCAGTGACTTTGAGCCAGGTGATGATTCCGACGATGCTGAAGTCTCTGATAAGGAGCGGCGCAGAAAGAACGATGCTATGGAGAGTCCAACTCCCCGTGGAAGGAAAACTCGGTCTAGAGGCCGGACCTCCCGCCGGAGAAACTCTTCCGCTGACGACGAACCTGACTTTGACATGGACGAACTCAATGAAGAAGCTCGTGAGCTTAGACGGTCGGCGAAGCCACGTAAGGCCCGGACAGAATCTCCCATTATGTACCAAGAAAGCTCCCGCCGATCGCGACGTCCCGTCAACTACTACATGCCTCCTTTAACCTCTGTCAACATTGAAGAGGAGGCAGAGGATCCTGCTCCCACGCCCGCCCGCAATCGCCGGCGAGGTGGCGCCAGCGCCGGCTGGGATAGGAATCTAAATACTACATATGGCCCCTTTGGTGGCGGCGGCGAAGTCGGATCGCTGCTGGCCGGCCCATGGGGTACTGGTGCCGCTGGTGGTGCGGACTCCGATAGCAGTGATGATGAGATGATGCATCGATCCAATGCTGCCGGAAATGTAGGCATGACGCCGACATCTGCCGCTCCCGCTGGCGGGCTTGTATCTGGCGGCCAAGGGCTGGGTGTTGACGGCATGGGGGCCACTCCCAACGTTGGCAAGATCAAGGACCGCAAGGCACTGGCTGATGCCGATCCTCTGGGCGTGGATCTGAATGTGGACTTTAGCAAAGTTGGTGGTTTGCAAGGTCATATCGATCAGCTAAAGGAGATGGTCCAGCTTCCTTTGCTGTATCCTGAGCTCTTTACGAGATTCCACGTTACGCCGCCACGCGGAGTGCTGTTCCATGGTCCACCGGGAACTGGTAAAACGCTGCTTGCTCGTGCCCTTGCCAACTCCGTCGGCTCTGGAGGCAAAAAGATATCTTTTTACATGCGTAAAGGTGCTGATGCACTCAGCAAGTGGGTTGGTGAGGCTGAAAAGCAGCTTCGCTTGCTCTTTGAAGAGGCGAGAAAGACCCAGCCCAGCATCATCTTTTTCGACGAAATTGATGGATTGGCACCGGTCAGATCGAGCAAACAGGAACAGATTCACGCCTCCATTGTCTCGACGCTATTGGCTTTGATGGATGGCATGGATGGACGTGGACAGGTCATCGTCATTGGCGCCACTAATCGGCCAGACAACATTGACCCTGCCCTTCGACGACCGGGTCGATTTGATAGAGAGTTCTACTTCCCCTTGCCTGACATTGAAGGGCGTCGGTCCATCCTTAATATCCATACGCAAGACTGGGGTCTATCGAATGACTTTATGCAGTCGCTAGCAGAGAACACAAAGGGCTATGGGGGTGCTGATCTGAGGGCGCTCTGCACCGAGGCATCTCTGAATGCCATTCAGCGAACTTATCCACAGATTTACTCGTCCAAAGAGAAGCTGCTTGTTGATCCAGCCAAGATCTCGGTTCATGCTTCTGATTTCATGATTTCAATCAAGAAGATCATACCTTCGTCGGAGCGATCCGCGACATCTGGAGCACGCCCACTTCCAGCCTCTATTAAGCCTCTTCTGCGTGATCAGTTTGACGAAGCGAAGCGGGCACTTGATCGGCTGTTGCCCCGTAAAAAGAAGACGACTGCATTGGAAGAAGCCATGTACGAGCAATACGAAGACAAGGATCATGGATTTGGCCGCGAGGCCCTGAGCCAAGAGTTTGAGCGCTCTCGAATCTTCCGGCCCAGATTTCTCATCTCCGGTGCTCATGGAATGGGCCAAGGCTACATTTCATCTGCAATTCTCCATTACTTTGAGGGAGTCCACGTCCAAAACTTTGATCTCCCCAGCCTGCTTAGTGACGTACGAGTAAGTGGTTCAGTGCCTCCCCGACCGAAATACTACAAATTGCTAACTGATGTAATAGCCGATGGAGCAAGTAATTGTTGGCCTTTTCACCGAAGTGAGGCGCCATAAACCTAGTGTCATCTACATACCAAACATCGACACCTGGTACGCGGCACTGACTGGAACGATGGCACTCGTTACCTTCCGCATGATGTTGAAATCCATCCCTCCAACAGACCCTGTACTTCTCTTTGCTACTGCGGATTGCGAAAAGAAGTGGCTTCCGCGGGAATTGATTCAGGACTTTTTCGGCTACTCTAGTAAAAACCAGATGGAGATTCAGAGGCCTGAAAAGGTAAGACGGCGCGCAATGCTACGAGTACGTAGTGTGACCGAGAGACGCTAACGATATGTAGGCCAATCGCATGGAATATTTTGCGAAAACACTGGATTATGTGAAGCTGAACCCTCACGAGTTTCCGGACCTGGAAAATCGCAAGAAGAGAGTTCTTGAGGAGCTCCCAGTGGCTCCCCAAGCGACTCCTAAGCCGCCTACTAAAGACGAGATGAAGGCCCAGAAGAAGAGAGACCACCAACTACTCAATGCTCTCAAGATTCAGCTGCAGCCCATTATGGATCAGATCAACCGTAGGTATAAGAAGTTCAGACAGCCAGTTATTCAACAAAATCAAATTGATTATCTGTTCCTGGAGGCGGACCCGAATTATGTACGGCCGGATCTTGCAGAGGGGGAGATAAGGCCTTTTGAGATTGCCAAGGACAAGTATGGCAATGAAGTGCTAATGCACGCTGAATCCGGAAAATACTATTACAATCTCGAAACCACAACGATCGAAGAGCGTTTGTCAAACGGATTCTATGCCCGCCCCAAGGACTTTCTGTTTGATATCAAGTCTTTGGCACGAGATGCCAAGAATATCGGTGATAAAGAGCGCACCCTCAAGGCAAACGAGCTGCTCAGTAACGTCGAAGTCGATGTAGCCAGCATCGAAAACAGCACTAGCCATATTGACTGGGAAGCGCTCTACCAGCGCCAGCAGCACCGGGCTAAGGAAGCAGCCGCGAAAGCGCGGAAGCGAATAGCGATGCAGTCTGTGTTAGATAGGGTTCAGTCAGACCTCGGCGGAGGCAACGACAGCGATTCACAGGGCCCTCTGACACTTGGAGAAACGGTGCCGGGAGCTCGTACGATGGCTCGGTTCCAAATACGAAGCCCCTTGTCTAACGGACATGGCGAAGCTGGCCAAGACGAGCATCAGCTGAGCAACGGTACCTCTACCTCCAACCAAATCAAAGAGGGTGATGTACAAATGAGTGGAACCGATGACGATACTACCCAAATGGCATCCCAATCTCAATCACACCAGACGACGTCTCCCATGGGCCCACCACCCAAGTCTCAGGACGCGTCTTCGAGAAACCTGGGAGGCACGCAAGTATCGCAGCGATCTCTGGTGACTACTCTACCTCCTGGCATGTCGCCGTCTGCTGTGATTAACGAAGCGTCCACAACGAAGACATCGGATCTGTCAACCCATCGCTCATCCAACTGGAGCCAGAGCCAAAACACAAATGGTAACCACGAGGAAAATCGCCCGGTTGAACCTAACGAACAGACTGATATCCCCGATACGCTACCCATTGGGCAAAACAATAGTCTTTTATCGTCCAACGAGGACATCTGGCAGTCCACACAACTTCGGGCACAGCAGCATGTCGATAGTTCTCCGCCTCTGCTCATAGATCGGCCATCTCCCCGCTCACACAGACATCAGAGCCCGGTGGGTACGAAATCAGTGATTAGCTTGCCCTCTCACGACGGAAGCCCGGAGGAGCAACATTCGTCGTCCCGCAACTCTGGCCAGCAGGCTTCTCAGGCTTCCCAGCCGCTATCGGTAAAAGAGCAGCTAGAAAGCTTTTTGCATCGAATGACAGACGTCACCTCGGGCTGCACGATTGAACAGCTTGAACAAATCAACCGAGAGATGATGGACGAGATGTGGCGAAGCCGACATGAATGGAACCGGTTGAAGGTGCTCTGGGACGTGACGTCGGTATTCAACCAGACGATTAGCGATATTGAAAGTACGCAAGGCGTGGGTCCGCTGAGCCAGCAGCGGGATTACATGGACGCATAGGATCAACATACCCCGGAGAGCGAGAACCTCAAATCAATACTTTCGTCTTCTCGCAGTGGCAGCACTGGTACTAGAGTGACAATGGACAGCAGCGGAGTGAGCGAGTATACTTCGCCAAAAGAAAATTTGTAAGATTGATTATGGATAATGGATCGGGATGGTAAAGCGCTTGTTTTTTTCCCCTCCCTCTCTTGAGGAAGTCTCTTTTTCTTATACTTTCTTTGTCTGTTTTCCTTTTCCCTCTCCCTAAACCCCCCCTTTTTATTGTGTATGAGAAAAAAGAAGTAGAAAGTACCTGAAGTGACCGGTGGGCTTCTGATGTTGACTGAGGAGCCGGCGCTGACCAAAAGGAGTGGCCTTATATAATGTGCCTAATGTTTTTTTGGGAGTTTGAAGGAACTTTGTATTGATCTCTTTGTGTTTTCGCTTTCTATTCCTTTTTTCTATTTTCTTTTTTGAGATAGGCCAGAGTGAGATTACTATGAGGAATTTTAGATGTACACCCTTATGGATATAATATTTCAATGAACAATGATTCTGAGCTGTAATGGCATGGGCTGGTGCCTTTGATTTCAGCTTTGATATTATATTGTATTGCTGGCGAAGTGTATATATGAGTATGGTAAAACTGATATCGATTGATTTAGAAGATGCATTTATTTATGATATAACAGCGGTAGGAGTACTTCTTCTGTACATTTTTAACCATGCTCACTCTCTCATTGTTTCAACCCATTACCAACGTCCTGGTCTTGGTCCTGTCCAAGCACGGCATGTAATTGAGAGACCTCTGAGTATCCTATCCAGGCTAACAGACGAACGAACAAATGAAATCACAAAAGTAGTATTACAATTTAGATTTAGTAGTGCTATCCACCCTCTTCCCCTCATCTGCCTGCTCGGCAACAGTCAGGTCGGGCAGCTTCGCGGGCATGATGCGGCGAGGGCTCGAGCCGGGAATGACGCTGTATTTGGAAAAGTCGGTGACGCCGGCGTGCTCGCGGAGGAAATCTTCGTCGAGGACCAGCTCGCCGTTGACTCTTGCGGCGGGGGAGCGCAGGATGGCGAGGATGGCGTCGGAGAAGATTGTGGGCTTGCGGAGGTCTTTTTCCTCGCCGGGGTTTTTCTTTGTGAATTGCTCGGTGGCGGCGGATTCGATGGCCTGGATGATGGATTGTGTTAGTGATTTTACAATATATCAAATATATGTGTATGTGTGTGTGTTTGTAAACTCACTACTGCGGGCCAGATGCTTGTAATGGCCATGTCCTTGAGCCCCTCGCGCTCAAAATCAATGGCCAACCCCTTTGTCAAGACGCTCATGCCGACCTTGCCCATGGCGTAGGCGGTCTTGCCGCGGAAGAAGCGGCTGTAGATGGGCGGGCTGACGACGACGATGCGGCCCTTCTGAGATTGGCGGAGGTGCGGTAAGGCGGCCTGGACGACGGCGTAGAGGCCCTCTGGGTTGACGCGCTGCATGAGTTGGAAGCGCTTGAGGGGCGTGTTTGCGACGGAGGCCCACCAGATGGCGCCGGAGTTGTAGACGAGGACGTCGAGGCGGCCGTATTTCTGAGTGAATGTGAGTTTGATTGGTAAGAAAGAGTGTTAGTAGGTGGCTTACAGCAATGGTCTGCGCGACGAGGGCATTCACGCTCTCCTCGGAGCGCACGTCGACCTGGATGGGCGTGGCATCGCCGCCGGCGGAGGTGATTTCGCGGGCGACGGTGGTGACGGTTGAGTCGCTGGTCTTTGGGTTGGGCGTCTTGTCGGTGAGTTTGGAGGGGTCTGTGATGGATTTTGCGGCGACGACGACTAGCAGTTTTATCACGAGTTAATCATACGTGTAGATATATGTGAACGGCATGAACGGAGAGACTGAGCCTATGGGTGTATGGATAGATGAACGCTCACCTGCGTAGCCGTTCTTGGCCAGATCAATGGCGACTTGACGGCCGATGCCGCGAGAAGCTCCCACCACGAGGGCTACGGGCTTTTGGCTGGCCATTTTTATGAGAAGAATTCACGTATAATTGATGAAGAGGATCAAAATGCTACTGTGAATGAGACTGATGACGACGCTGAGGAGGATGACTGGGCTTATGAAAAGAAGTTGGATTCAATTGGGGTCTTGATATGTTGTCACGAATGAGAAGAAAGAAGAGAGGCTCAAGGCTTATTAAAGATGATGACTCTGGAACCTCAAAACGCCAAAGCACATGTCATCTGCCTATCGCCATCCGTCTCCCAACTTTATCAAATTCGTCTCTAGAACGTGAGTCTAGCAGTGGTGGAAGCTGCCGAGATGTGGAGCGTGGATGCTTCCCCGGGTGGGCCAATTTTTTGATTACTGAACACGTAGAATGGACAATCGATACCTCGGCCCGCAGACATTCGCAGATATTTTGCACTTTTGTACGGAGAATTGGCGCCTAGGGGCACCTGTAATCCCGCAAAAGACCGCAAGCTTATAGGGAGCTGTGCGGTATAGGAATAGTGGATTTTTGGCGGATTCGCAGGCCGGAGGATCCCCGTTGTAGCGCCTATTTGTCTGAGATCATGGAGAGTTAGGGGATAGAACTGAGGGGGAGAGCCCTGTAATATTTGCCGCTGAAATCAGTAGTTTCCAACCTACCTAGGCATAATCACTGCATACTCCATATTTACACTGACATTCATGAAGCTTGCCGGTAGCATTACATCCATGTAATATTTTAAGCCGAACCCGGGGATGCCAGTTTATTTCTAAGATTCTCTAACCTAGGCAGTCTGGCTTCTCCCTCGTCTTGATTTTGTCATCATAAATATCACGCCATCTGCGCCTAGCTGCGGCAATCTACACTTTGTTTTCCTGCTGCGGGCTTTTGATCTCGGTGACGAAGGAATCCGGAGAAAAAGAAATCTGGGGTAGCGGACCAGGGCTTTGAAGCATAATACCTGGGGAAGCTACTAATCATGGGTGCTAAGATTGAGTGCTACTTGGATCTCGGTAAGTCTTGGGTTGCGCTTTGAGTGTGTTCAGCTCAGTATATCGTCGCCTATTTAGGTGAACTACTGCTGTCTATCTTATCTTCGTTTCACATTCATTGTTGTAGCCAAAGCTGATCAAAGACGTTTGAGGAGGCAGCATCCTATTACAGCTACATTACCTTCACCGACTTGGCGCAGAATCGAGAGAAGCTGGCAGCCAATGGAGTCGATATAGAGTACGTGATGCATTTCGTGTGAGAGGACCCGTCATATCAGATCAAATACTCATCTTTCGTTCCAACCAGAATCAACCCCGTGCTGCTGGGCGGCATCAACCACTTGTCAGGTATGCCGGTCGGCTACTCATTCATGCTGATGCCATATCCTCTTTTGTGTTGTTGCTGACAAGTCTATTACCAGGCAACAAACCTCCATGGACAAACGAGGTCAAGGCCAAGTACCTCAAGTATGACTCTCGCCGTTCCGCCGATCGGGTTGGTCTTTTCAACATCCAGGGCCCTCCGGATCTCATGGCCGTCTCCCACACCGTCTCACCACTTCGCGCTTTGCTCTATATCAAGGCCAATTATCCAGAGGCCACTTTTCTAGCTGCCTTTGAATCCCTCTTCATGGCCTTTTGGACGCCCCCGAATGTGAATCTCATTCCGGAAGAGAATCTGCGGGCTGTGCTCCAAGGAGCGACGGAGAAACCCGGCAAAAGCGACAGCAAGAAGCTCTTTACTGAAGACGAGGTGGACAAGATTATGCAGTCGCGCGGTCAGATGAAGGATGTGCTCTTGGCCAATACGAAGAAGGCTGTTGATTTGGGGGCCTTTGGAGCGCCTTGGATTTGGGTGACGAATGCAAAGGGGGAGCAAGAACCCTTTTTTGGGAGTGATCGGTGAGTTTTATGACCTTTTGAACAATTGATGTGCTGTGCATCATTGAACAGAAAGAAAACGATTGCACTTGGAAATACATTTTGCTAACAAGGTTTAGATTTCACCACATCTACAAGTTTTTGGACGTTCCCTTTCAGGACATTGCTGTTTTAGCGCCTTCGAAGCTGTGAGCGCAAGATTGGTGGCGAGCAGCTGAGAGAATGATAGCCATCTGTACTCGGATGTAACGCTTAGAGTAGTAATTAAGCAATTTATGTACATTTAAATTGGCATCCCAATACCTTCTTCATTCTTTACTCGATCGTTGAAACTGCGCTACGTTCAGCTCAAAACCTCAACAATCGAGCTCAGTCCATGTAGATGCGCTAAACCGGCAGCTAACGACTTACACCCGTTTTTTTCATCCACCCACTCACAGTCATCCTGAATATCTATCTACATACATCCATCCGCCATGGCGACTCCCGAACTCACCCTCATCGTCGCGGCCACCCGCAGCATGGGCATTGGCTTCCAGGGCACCATGCCCTGGAAAGGCCTCAAGAAGGAAATGCAGTATTTTGCGCGTGTGACAACGCGAGTTCCCACTTCATCACCGGTATTAATCTAGAAGAAAATTCCATCCCCATCAAGCTATCATACAAGCCGCCTTCAATGACATTTTCATCAGTCCTAGCCATTGATTTCATTTTTAACAAACAAATTATGAAGCTAACATGTGTATTAGTCCACCATCCAGAACGCCGTCATCATGGGCCGCAAAACTTGGGATTCCATCCCCCCCAAATTCAGGCCTCTCAAAAACCGCCTCAACATCGTCATCACTCGCTCCGCGCCAGCCAACCCGCCTTCATCACCGCCTCCAGCTGACGCCGAAGTCCGAGTGCCCTCCGTAGAAGCGGCGCTGCGGTACGCGGCAGAAGCAAACTCGAGCAGCGGCGGCCGTGTCTTCGTCATGGGAGGGGCGCAGATCTACGAGGCGGCGCTGAGGCATCCCTCGGCGAAGCGCGTGCTGCTGACGAGCATTGATGCCGAGTTTGAGTGCGATACGGACTTTCCGCTGGATTTGACGGGTGGCAAGGCCGAGGGCTGGGAGAAAAAGTCGAGAGAGGAGCTGCAGGCGTGGACGGGCGAGGAGGTTGAGGAGGGAGGACAGGAGGAGGCGGGTATCAAGTACGAGTTTCAGATGTGGGAGAAGAAGGATTGATTGGCTGATTGATTCATGAGAGTATGAATATATAATTGTTTTTTGTTTGCTTATTTTACTTTTCCATCTATATATAAAACGTCTATCAGAGAGATGGGATGCCAAACCTCCACGTTTGCCCGCAGCTATAAGTCCGTACGCCACGCACTTGTAACGTACATCCGAGAACTATTATATACACATATACGAAGGACTTGTCTGCCTCGAATATCTCCGCACGCCTTTTGGTACTTTTCTTCGCTTTTTGCAGTTTGCATATTTTACAGATTTCCTCAATCGCCATTTTTTTTGGTCATCATCGTCGTCAGTTTTCTTTCCTCCTTTTCTCTCCTGTTTCTTGCTTTGTTTATCAATTAAGCGGCCTTGGCCAATTCTGGGGTAGCCTTTACTTCTTGGGCCTCTACCGCACTCTCCTTGCCCTGCTCCCTCTTAAAGGGCTCTTCAAGTCTCGTCCAGAACACATCCACCGGCTTGTCCAAGATCTCGAGAGCCCTATTGGGCATTGCCATGTCGGAAGCGCCCTCCAGCGACGCAAGGCCCGATCTCATCCACCCAACAATGGCCACCAATGCTCGGGGGTCGACCCCGGGATCGCCCTTGAAGAGGTTCCTCCAGACAGCGCTCGCTAATACGGCATCACCCTTGATGAGGCCCTCATCATATGCCAGCAGGAGACCTCGCCACTGGACAAAGATGTCCTTGAGGTAGCGCTGTCGCAGAGCGCTGGAGGTGATGTTGTGGTCGATGTGCATCTTCTTCTCGCACTCGAAGAAGAAGTGGTCGATGAGCTGCTGCTGCCAGCTTCGGTAGGCGTCGCGCTCGAGCATCCGTATGCGGGCGTTGATGAGGTAAAGGTGAAGCATGGTGACGTGCGACCAGGTGCTAAAGGTAGGGGAGAGCTTGAAGGCTGTTTTAAAGAAGAAGAAGGAGAAAACGTTAGCTAGAGTTACTCGGCACATGGTGGATTTGGATAAAGGTGGATGGTGGTGCCATACTGTCGTGCCAGATATTTCCCTCCTCGAGAGAGCGTCCAATCTCCTCTCCATCCTCTAATCGCTCCACCTGGTCATTCTTGCGCTCCTCCTCGGTGATGCGATAATCAGCTGCCTTGGAGCATGCCTTGAATATTCTCTCCGAGGCGCCAATGACCCGATACGACTCTCCAATCGAGCTTCCGATTCCCAAAATCTTCTTCGAGCCCGTGCTGCTGAAACTCCGTGACGGCGGCGGTGTCTGGATCTGGACAGGCGCACTGAGCAGCGGCAGAAAATTCGATCTCGCAGCGGTCGAGGACCGGGATAATACTGAAGTGCGGTTTGCGACCCGAAGCAGCGTCCGGGCCTGGGACCTGCAGCTTTCGCAGGCCATTGTGAGAAAAGCAACTGGAGGAATAAATTTGGAAGCTGGCTTGAGGGTATCTTAAGGAAAAGCCATGAGAAGATTAACAGATCAAGGCGGGCAGATTGAAGGTTGATTTTTTTTTAGATCGCCGTAACAGCTTCCATGACGCGCTGGATTTGGCTGTGCGCAGAAATTGACTGCGATCGGATCATGGCTTGGCGCAAGCGGCTGAACTTCGGCTGCCCCACGTACAGAGATCTTGCCCATGTTGTCAGATTCAGGGTCCAATGATGGAGGGGCAGATTCAAATAGGTTCGTTGTTGAAGGTCTTGTATATTAAATACTGTCTTACTGCAGTTGCGTGATTAAGTTTGGTGATATATATTTACTTGCATAATTGAATTGAGTGTCTTTAATGGTACATTTTATCCGTTTATCCAATCAATATACATGGTAGTTATACAAAGTGAAGCTGCTGTTTCGTAGAGATGATCGCCGTTACACTTACGGCGCACTCACTCAAACTTGGAAAACACAAGGGTGCTGTTCGTTCCACCAAATCCAAAACTATTGCTTAGTGCAACCTTGACTCCCTTTTCCTGAGATACCAGAGGCACAAAGTTGAACTCGGCATCTACACCCTGCTTCTCTAGATTCAGTGTAGCCGGGACAATTCCCTGATAATTTCCATCATTATTAGCTTCTGTCCTGAGAAAGTAGAGCTGCTGCTTCTGAAGTGAAGCGGAAGATTGTAATTTTGCCTTACCTCATGAATGGCTAGGATGCAAAACAGGGCTTCGATAGCACCCGCTGCACCCAGCAGATGCCCTATTGAGCCCTTGGTGCTGCTGACAGTAACTTGTGACTCGGACGAAACTCCTTCCTCGCCGAGCATAATGCGCTTTATGGCTGCTGCCTCAGCCGTGTCTCCCACCTGTGTGCTTGTAGCATGTGCATTGACGTAGTCAACTTGCGATGGCTTGATCCCTGCGCTCTTCAAAGCCTTCTTCATGGCTAGATACGCTCCATGGCCATCCTCTCGCGGCGCCGTCATGTGGTACGCATCTCCGCTGCACCCATATCCACTGATCTCAGCATAGATCTTGGCTCCTCTAGCCTTGGCGTGCTCGAGCTCTTCCAGCACACATACCGCTGCTCCCTCCGCAAGAACGAAGCCGTCTCGGTTAGCGTCAAAGGGGCGACATGCTGCTTGTGGCTTATCGTTAAACGCTGTGGCTAGCGAGCGAGCTCTGCCAAAGCCAGCAAAGGCGAGAGGATGGATGCACGATTCTGATCCGCCGGCAACCATGACATCGGCATCTCCCAGGGCGATGAACCGAGCAGCATCTCCAATGGAGTGCGCTCCTGTAGTGCAAGCTGTGGTGGCGGCGTGATTTGGGCCTTGGAAGCCGTGCCTCATGGCGATGTGCCCTGCCGCCATATTGATCAAGAGCTTAGGAACGAAAAGTGGTGAAACTTTTCTGTAGCCCTGTCTCCGATCACAACCCAATAGCTTCATGTTAGACGACGAATACGAATGTCCACGTAGATGGGGTTACTCACGCCGTTGCCGTGAGCCAAGCTCGTGTCATACATCTCTTCCAGATTCCCGATACCGCTCCCGAGGCATACTCCAGTCGCCTCCTGCTCTTCCTGTCGTAGTGCTTCCCATCCAGCATCTTTCAGGGCCATGTCACTGGCCGCAACCGCATACTGCGTAAAGATGGACATGCGGCGCTGATCCGAGGCGCTGAGCCAGTCGCCAGCCTTCCATAAGCCGTGGGACCTCCCGCCAGGCCCTTCCGGAACGACGCCTGCAACGGTGCATGTCAGCTCCCTCCATCGTTCTCTGGGCTCTCGTTCCGCAACGCTGACGATGCCTGATTCGCCGGCAATGAGGCGAGTCCACGTTCTCTGGATTCCGAGTCCGAGAGGCGTGATGGCTCCCAGGCCGGTCACAACAACCCGGCGCATTTTTATATTTCCATATCAAGAAGGGAGGCAGTGAAGAGCTGTTCTGGCTCAGAAACCAAACACGAGATATGATTTACTAAATAAGATAGGAAAATAGTTAGATGGCCGATTGCTTGTGTAATGAACGATATAAAGTCAATCTGATGAGAAATACTTAAATCAAGCAGGGTTAGATAATGCTGGCTGATCTGATCTAAGAAAATTAGCCTAGATTGGTCTAGTAGTCTATTGTCGGCTAGTGCCATGACGTGCGCTAAACCCCTTATACAGATGCGCAAGTAGACTAAGTGCTCACCGTTTTGGACTGCTTCAGCTTCGCATCTCTGTTTCAGAAAGTAATTTTTCATTTCTTACGATGCAATAGGTTTTCCCATTCGCTCAAGTAAGAGCACTCGTTCTAGTGGTGATACGCGGCTTCTATTGATTTTCCCAACTCTGACCACATATTTTTTGCCGAGGTGGCCGGTGCATTTCATCTCATTGTACGTGCTGAATCTCAACTGCTCTCCTGTCGCGTGGCCTCAACTAACAAAGCTTCGTAGTGGTTTGAGTGTCTCAAAACTAATCTCATCACCTTCATTGAATTGCACCAAGATGGATGCTGCAAACTAAAAAGGAAAGGGGAGAAAAATAAGAAAAGGGCTCATATCCACTTACGTGTATACGCCCTGCATTCTTCGCTGACCTTTCCCATCTACTGGCGCCGTCCACTCATGACGCTTTTGTCATAGCTTCCAAGCTGATAACTCAAACAGCGCCGTGGTATTTGCGGTACCATGGACAACATGGCTGAGACAAGCGGCCGTGAGACCGAGTCTGGGCTTCACCCCCGCCACTCTCTATCAAGCCCAACAACTGGCCTGATGGAGAACTTGAGGGAAACCATCTCTGAATGGCCAGATTCCGGCGCGCGAAACGACGCTGACGATGACGACCAAGGCTCGGAATATGAGCTTCTCATGGACCCAAATCTGCCAGAGGGGCATGAATCACGCCGCCGTTCACAGGCTGAAGACGGCTTGTCAGACGACGAGTCCAAAGAAGGTGATGAGCGGGAAGAAGAAGAAAACTCTCCGTATCCAGAGGTTCGAGCGGCAGTTAACAACTTCGACGAGGAAATGCCTTGCAATACGGTTCGCGCGTGGACAATTGGCTTGACCCTCGTCATATTCGGTGCTTCAATGAACACAATCTTTTCGTTGCGCCAGCCCGCCATCTCCATTGGGCCTCTTGTTGCCCAGATTGTTGCGTGGCCAATTGGTCATGGATGGGCCAAGGTTGTCCCAACACGGGAGTTCGATTTCTTTGGCATCAAGTGGAGTCTGAATCCGGGACCTTTCAACTGCAAGGAGCATGCGATCATCGGAGTAATGGCGTCTGTATCCTTCTCGGTTGCTTATTCGACGGATATTATATTGGCGCAGTTGGTTTTTTATAAGCAGAACTTCGGGCTGCTATACCAGATTCTGCTTACTGTATCCACGCAGTCGCTTGGATATGGAATCGCTGGTGTTATGCGTAAATACCTAGGTTTGAACCCTCTCGCTCTCTGTATGTTATAATCCAAGAACGTGATAACTGACCACTGCTCGCAGTGTATCCCGCGTCGATGATATGGCCCGCAAATCTGGCTTCCGTAACAATGATGAACGCCATGTATGAAACAAGCGATCAAATAGATCCGACCGTCTTTGGGGGTCGCTTGCCCAGATATACCTGGTTCGGCCTTGTCACTGCGGCATCTTTTCTCTACTACTTCATCCCCGGGTTCTTTGCACAGTTCCTGAGCGTCTTCGCCTTTGCGACGTGGATGGCGCCTCAGAACCCGGTCATTAACCAGCTTTTTGGTGGAAATACTGGCCTGTCCATCATACCCATCACTTTTGACTGGACACAGGTATCTGGATATATCGGTTCCCCTCTTGTGTCTCCTTGGTAAGACAGATTGTGGCCGTGCAGCCGACGTGATGATCTCTGACAAGACAATCTAGGCACGCAATTGCGAATACCTTGATCAGCGTCGTAGTATTTTACATCGGCCTATCGGCCCTCCTCCACTACTCCGGAACATGGTACGCTTCATTCCTGCCCATGAGCGACGCCAGTATATACGACAACACCGGAGCAAAATACAACATTAGCCGCATCGTGGACCCAGGTATTATTCTAAACGAAGAGTCTTACAAGAAATACTCTCCGCTATTCATCAGGTAATAATGCCCAAAAGCTGCCCAAACTCATGACTTATAGACCAATAGTACCACCTTCGCCATATCATACGGCATGTCATTCGCTGCCATTTCCTCTCTCGTCGTATATACGTACCTCCACCACGGCAAGTACATATGGAAGCAGTACATGAACAGCACCACCGAAAAGCCAGATATTCACATGAAATTGATGAAAAAATACAAGGAGGCGCCGACGTGGTGGTACCTCACCCTCTTCTCCATCGTCAGTCATCCCACCCCCTTTCGTTCCCTTTTCCCGCCAACACAGGCAACCATCGTGTTCCGCACCAGCTGACATCATTGTACTTTGGTTAGATGCTGGCGTTGGGCTTCTATACCGTGCTCGCCTACCCAACCAACCTCACCTGGTGGGCGTTCTTATTGGCCGTGTTCATCTCGTTCGGCTTCTCCTTGCCCATTGGCATCATTCAAGCCGTGACCAATAACCAGATTGGTTTGAATGTGCTTACGGAGTTTGTGTACGGCTACATCCAGCCGGGACGACCGCTTGCGCTTATGCTGTACGTTTATCCCAAATTGTGCATTGCATTGATAAGAATTGTTTGAAACTAACGGTGATATACGTATCTGACTACCTAGCTTCAAAACATTTGGCTACATTACTATGTGAGTGAAAGAAAAGACCGCTATAATTTTTACTGTCAAAACAACCTATACTCATGTCTTCTCCAGGTCCCAAGCGCTTAATTTCGTTTCTGATCTCAAGTTTGGCCATTACATGAAGATTCCTCCAAGGACAATGTTCATGGCCCAAGTTGTTGCTACTACTTACTCCTGCATCATCCAAGTCCTTGTTCTTAACATGGCCCTAAACATCATCCCGGATGTGTGCGACGAGCAGCAACCTGAGCGTTTCACTTGCCCAGGTGGAAGAGTTTTTTATTCTGGTACGTAATCAAACCCTTTAAGATACATCTACTATGTATACCTCGAATCTAACTTGCTCTGTCTTCCCAGCATCCGTTATCTGGGGCCTCATCGGTCCAGGGCGAATATTTTCTCCCGGCCAAATCTACTCCGGCCTCTTCCTCTTCTTCATCGTCGGCGCCATCACCCCCGTCATCATCTACTACCTTGCCAAGAGGAACCCCAAATCCCCAGTCAAATACCTCATCGCGCCACTCCTCTTTGGCGGCCCGGGAGCCATCCCGCCCGCCACCCCTCTCAACTACTTCTCCTGGGGCATCGTCGGCTTTGTCTTTCAGTTTTGGATCAAGAAGCGCCACTTCCGATGGTGGAGCCGCTCCAACTTCTTGACGTCGTCCGGCTTGGACTTGGGCCTGGCGCTTGCCACGCTCTTCATCTTCTTTGCTCTGACGATGCAGGGGATTGATCCCCCGAAGTGGTGGGGCAATGATGTCGTGAGTACGACGATGGATTACCAGGGGACGGCTATACGGGCACATGTTGCGGAGGGGGAACATTTTGGCCCAAGCTCGTGGTGAAGATTTGTAGGCTTCGAAATGGCTATTGTATTGAATTTTCCTGGTCGGACGTATAGACGAGTTGTGCGTAGACCCAGGCTGAACTTACAAGAGAGGCGATGTTCGTTCACCAAGGAAGGTAATGAGAGAAGTACATATAAAACAAAGTTGCTATCTAAATGCAAATAACTTAAAACGCTCATAAGGATATGAACAAAGGAAAAGATTGAAAAGGATTGACAGAGGTAAGATGAAGGCAGAAAACAAAACGCAATAAGAGTAAATAAACAGAAGGGGGGGGAAATGAAATAAGATCTTTACTTCCTTTTGTATGCCATCAAACATCTAATCTAGTCTTCCAGCACGTTCAAAATATCAATGTAAAACAGAAAAATTCGAGCTGATATCTCTCCCAACAAACACCATTGTAAGAATGTAAGATAAAAAAGAAAAAAGAAAAAAGAAGACAAACATGATGATAGAAGGGGGGAAAAAAGACAAAAGAAAATGGAGAAGAAGGAAGTCTTCTCTCGCTCTTTGTATAAACTTAATACCCTGAGCTGTCAAGCCCTCAAAAAAAAAAAAAAAAAATGTATATATATATATATCACTTATATTTTACCATCACTTTATAAATAGCGCCCATCAAAATGAGCTGAGCCGGCCTCGTGACTGCCCGCTGAAGGCATGTTGGGAGCGTTGAAGGGCCTAAAGTTACCACTATGGTGGACTTGAAAAGCAGGCTGATCCCCATGGGACATCATGGCCGAGCTGTAGCCATGTGAGTAAGCCTTCATTTCGTCTGATTCCAGGTTTTGTTGGTACTCGGTGCCATCGTGGTCAAACTCATCAAAGTTGAGTTCATTCCTAGCGAGGTCCAAATTTGCACTCCGGTAAACATTGCGGTCAATGTTTGAGCGCCTCGGCACAGTGGCAGAGCTCATCGAGCGCTCTCCCCTCATCACCAGAGGGCCCATGTCCTGGGCGTCAATAGTTGACTGGCTGGCGTCTGTCTCCATATGAGAATAGTACTCCATGACATCAGACGATGACCCTCCTCCAATGGGAGTAGAGGGTTCCTGCTGATTGCGTCGAGCGGTGAGGCTCTGTCTTCTGGTATGCAAAACTTCTTCCGGGTCACCAATATATGCATCTGGCAGAGCGAGCTCAGACTGCTCGCTTGCGGCCGGAGACTTTGAATGCTTTCCGACATCTGCCAAAAACGACTGCAGAATGTAAAGCATTCGCTGAGCTTGAACATCTGTGGCTGCGCAGTAGTCCATGATTTTGATAGCGCTGCCAACGGACTCTGCATAATGTTCATTCTCGTATAAACCAGCAAACTCATTACTCAAAATAATCAAGGTCGCTGCAAACAGAAAATATCTGAGATCTCGTGTTAATGAACGTCCCTTGGAAGGTTCAAGTCGGTGCACGTACAAGATAAACGGGTTACACCGCGGCAAATACTTCGCTTCAAATGCCGCCTGAATAATCATCACGGAATGAGTAGACGCAGCCACGCATGCTTGGGAAAACTTTTCTGCCCTCGAGAACGTCCGATGAAAGGGCTCTCCATCATTGGAAATAGTTGGCCGCGTCTTTACTAAAATGTCAATAAAAAAAGGTCTGCACAGCAGAAGGATAGAGTGGTAATGAAGTAGCTGCACGTGTAAGATGGGTATTCCCATCTCTTTGGATGCCTTGCCGCTGAGAAGGTCATCTGCCGCTAAAGACGGGTGGGCATTCAAAGCCCATAGCTGGCAGTCGCCAACAATCTCTTGGGCCAATTTTGTTGAAACTTTCTTCTCCGAGTAAACTTTTTTGAGCATTGTGCTGATGGTCGTGTAGATTCGAACCGATGAATCAAGACCAGCCTTTCTGATATCATCTTCTTCTTGGCCTGATTTGGGCGACTGGTCTGCTGGTAAATACAGGACATTACTCGAGCAGTCCTCTTCATATATGGCAGCGGGTCGCCCAAGGGCTGTGGCGAGGAATTTATCTAGCACAAAAAGGCTCCTCCAGAGATTTCGCCTTGCAGTTTCATTTTCAAACTTCATTTCAGTTTCCTGATGCATACCAAGGGAATATGCAGAACGAACGGCCATTCCTAGATAGGTGTTAGGACAAAGCACGATTGATCAAGCTCAACGGAGTCTACTAACCACAATATGCATACGCCGCGTTACGCTTCGATGTAATCAACATATAAAACGCCATCAATGTCCAAGCTTGAATCATCCAGAAGTCTGCATGTTCAACAGCGTTAAGAGGATCGCTCAGACACTTGGCAGCCCGGAAAAGAGCTTCTGCTCGCTCTTCAGGAGCTTCTTGTAAACTTTTAATCATCAGATCCTCAGCGCTGTTTGGGACAGGCGTTGCCAGGGCAAGACCAATCGCCAAAGTAAGATAAACTAAACAAAGGGTTGATGAATTGACCTCTAGCGGGGTCTCATAACAGGCATCTAGATACTGATAAAACGTTTTAGGATCAAACAGCTCAATT